AGGGTACAAGGTGGAAGCAATTTAAGGAGTCAAGAGTGGACTATATGAAACAGTTTCATGATTCCTTGGTGGTTCTTGGTGGTTGGATTGGTTGAACTATCTGAGTTCTCAACTTGGAAGGTGTGCAACGCGCCTGGTGAATCGCCTCGGATCACGTGGGCTGGATTACTCAGGAACGCCGACAAACTGAACATGCTGGAGTATAAACAAACCACGTATTAAATATCATATTGGGCATGTCAAACGTCTCATTCCTCGGGCGGGGGCCGGGTTGGGCGGCTGCACAGCAACTAATGATATCGTAGTAGATTTGAGTTCGATAATAACTAAGATTCCTGTTCTACTGTGAAGCTACGATGAGTATGATCAAGGACCAAACCCCAAAGAAGTATCATGTGTGGGCTATTTATTAGGCATAACGATGCGAGTACCCCAGCATTGATCATATAGTCTAAGAAATGAAATCCTATGTATCCTTCGTATCCTGAAACGTAGAATGCATGCTAGCTAGGAAGCTCTATAAAATGAAGGTAATCGTTTTCTCAAAGTCCAACCTCACCAGATACCGTATCCACTGAGAAGACCCAACCCCCTCAGAAACCCCACTGCTGGCACCAATGCCTCATCAACTCCGGGGTAACAGGCAGCACCCCGCGCATCGTGGGACTCGCCGCCTCCGTGCGGGCCGTCTCGAACCCCTTCGCCCGAGCCGTGGTGTCCCGCGCCGCCTCGCGGTACGTACTCAACAACTTCACACCGGGATTAACCTCCGCGTCCTGGGCCGCCATCGACCCCAGACTGGCCTCCAACGCATCCACCCACTCCTCGAACGGAACCACCTTCGTGATGCGGTCGCCGTAGAACTCGCACAGTCCCGGCACCAGACCGGCCCAATCGACCGCATGCGGATTGATGGCGTGGAAGTAGCGCGCTCCCTGCTCCTCCCCGTCCTCTTCAGCTCCATGAACCTCCGAACCATTCTGCGACCCCTTCTCCCCCTCCACCACCCCCGAAACCTCCAAAATCACCCCCGCTACATCCTCGACACACATCCACCCGCCCGCCGCCACCAAACCCCCCAGTGTGCTCGGCAAAAGCCCCAGGTACAACGAGCTGCGAACCAAGCTGGGCACCCACTCGCGCACATTCCACATCCCCCGTTCCCCGCGGGGCCCACCGACCTGTCCGACGCGGATGATCTTGCAGGGCACGCCAGACACCCGACTGGCCGTCTCCAGCACCCGACTGGCGACGAGCTTGGACTGGCCGTATCCGCCGACCGCGTAGTCCCACTCCTCGAAACCCTGTTCCGGGATGGCTGTGGCCGGGGAGGGCCAGTTGGCGAGGGTGCTGACGCTGGAGATGAAGCTGATGGGGATGTGGTTGGGAGATGCAAGGCTGAAGTCGAGCAGGTGGCGGACGCCGCGGATGCTGGGCTCGAAGGAGGAGAGGGCGAGGTTGAAGTTGACGGGCCAGGCGTTGTGGATGATTTGGTCGACGGTTTGGGTGAGCGCAGTGTAGAGGGTGGGTGGGAGGGCGAGGGTCGGGTGGGTGAGGTCCGCGGTGTGGAATTCCACGCGCGAGAAGTCGGTGGGGAGGGAGAGCGTGCTGTGCGTGATTTGTTGGCGGGTCGCGGCGCTGGGGTCGCGGTTGAGGCAGATGATTTTGGTGATGTTGGGGTTGCGGAGGGCGGTCGAAAGGAGGTACGGGCCTAGGGTGCCGGTGGTGCCGGTTAGAAGGAGGGTTTGTGGGGGGTTGCGGGAGAGGGGTTTGGTGGGGTCGAGCGCGGGGAGGGTTGCGGTGTATTTCTCTACGAGGGTGGTGTAGAGGGTTTCGTCTGTGGGGGGGGGCTGGAGTGTGGATGAGGGTGTGCTGGTGGTAAGGGAGTAGGCGTAGGTGGCGAGCTGGGAGATGGTCGGGTGGGTGTAGATGGTTTGGGCGTCAATGGCTCCGCTATCGGAGAGAGGGGTTGCCTTCTCCAGGCTCACCCGCAGTGACCGGGCCAGCTGGATGGCCTGGAGGGAGTCTGCGCCAGCGGAGAAGAAGTCCTGGTCGGCGCAGAGCGTGGGCAGCTTGAGCACGCTATGCACCAGCTTACGCACTGAGTCCTCGAATTTCTCGCTGGAGGTTAAGTCGAGGTCCGCTGCTACCACAGACGCGTCGCTGCTGGCTGCGAAGATGCGCTCGATGTCCTCGGCGTAGACCTTGACGACCATGGCACGCTGGATGGTGCCCTTGCCCGCCCGCGGGAAGGGCCGTTCCGCATCGGAGAGGAAGATGTAGTCCCGCGAGATGCGGCCGTGGGCGACCGTCTCGATGTTGACTTTCTCCACGATCGGCCACACTTCATCGAGGAATTGCTGCTTCTCCTGCTCGCTCGTCGGATGCTGCGCCGGCTCGATGATCAGCGCAGCGTGGAAGTAGTTGCTGCCGACGACCTGTGCACCCCGCACCCCCGGGTGGCCCATCACGGCGCCTTCGATGGTCGTGGGGTTGAGTTTCTCGCCGTTGGAGAAGATGATGATGTCGTCCGCTCGGCCGACGTAGGTCCAGTGGTTTGGGAGGGTGGGATGAGGGCGATACAGGTCCTTCGTACTGAACTCCTGCAGCTCTGGGAAAGCGTAGAAGCAGCCCTGCAGACCAGGGTGGTTTTTGTCCTTGCGCACGATCACTTGCTCGTAGGTGTCCTCACCGAACGGGCGCCATTCGATGCCCATCAGCTTCGTGGGAACGATGAACCAGGGCCACAGGGTGGCATCGGGTTGGTTGTAGTAGGGCATGTAGATATACCTGACATATTCAGTGAGCAATTGTTGTCCGCACCGCCAGCAAATTCCACTTACTCGGTCGAGCCAATGGCGTTGACCAACTTCACACCATGACTTAACAGATGGTTGGCGGGATCTGGAGCGACGGGGCCTAAAGGTAGAGGATCCGGTTAGCAATTATCCTCACATGGGAAAAGGCTGCACGCACCGCCTGCAAATCCCACTGCATGGAGCTTCTTCAACTCCTCGATCGCTACGTCCGACCGCGACATCTGTTCCAAGACTGCCGGCGGCATCAGCGTAAACCCCGCGTCCGTATTCTGCAACCAGTCCACCACATTGTCGCCGGTGATGGGTACGGAAGGATCCCGAAACGCGATCGGCGCATCGTAGTAGAATGCCATCAAGATCGTCGGCGCGATGCCTGCAGTGTGGAACAAAGGAAAGATATTAAGGTAACGCTTGTTGGGGAACTTGGCCCAGGTCGCCAGCCAAGGCAGATTGCCCTCGTACTCCGGGACATAGCGATGGAGGTCGTTCAGGGCGAGCGTGCCCTGGTGGATGACGACCGGCTTCGGCAGCCCGGTACTGCCGCTCGTGTGCAGCACCACAAAGGGATCCCATTCGGCCTCCTCGAAGGTCTTGGTGTAGGGGAACGGTGCGACCTCTGTGCTCACCCATTCGTCCCATGGCGCGACGGCCACGCGCTTCATCCCGGGGCGCCTCTCGACCCACGGTTGCACCATCGCGGCGTTTTGTGCTTCATGGTAGAGCAGGTTGCAGTCGGTTTTCTCGAAGAGATTCAGTTGTGCTTCGACCGAATTCCGCGGCGAGATGAAGAGTGCCTGGTAGCCGGCTTTGACGGCGCCGGTTGCGAAGATCGGATACCGCGGGTCCTCCAACCCGATGTAGGCGACGGTGGGAAACGTCCCGGGGGTCGGAGTGCCACCCTCCTTGGTGAGCATGTGCGCTACGTAGTTGACGGCGTTGGCGACCTGCGCCCAGCTGACGCGTTTCCATCCCGCCTGGGGATTGCCGTTGCTACGAGGAACGGACAGACACTCGGCATCGGGAGTTGCGCTGGCCGTCGCGTCGATGACATGCGGAATGAGACGTTTGCCGCACTCCCCTCCCAGGAGTGGCGTGGCGGCGGAGTCCGTGTAGGTGCCAAAGACGTTCATGGTGAATGAGACCCCTCGTGTATGTTGGGTTTCTCAATTATCTTGTGGCAGAGACACACCCATTGTGGGAGGGGGAGGGGACGAATGTAAATATAGTCGTATAGTCCCGGCGACTCCGTGTTCGGGTGGGGCAAAAGCGCTGCAAGCGTTGTAGATGATAAGCTGCCACATCAGGTGGCTTAGGGTTCAGCTGCGCCATCACAACTCGGCTGCTGCTGGCGGTTGCCGAGATTTGCCTGTTCGAGCAAGGCGGACTTCGTTGCTCCAATGGTCGATTGATGTGGCGTTGCGCCGTTGCGAGAAGCTGAGAAGTAGCGTGGGATTAAGTTACGAGTTCACTCCAATTCACGGAAGGGCGGGCAAGATTAGCCGAGACACAAACCATTGGAGACGATTCAGCTGTACTCCGTATTATCTTTGCCAAGCAAGAGTTCTAAAACGTGACAAACCCACATTTCTGCTGCCTATTGATGAAGGGATACGGTATGCACAGTACATGATACCTGGGCTTGACAAAACGTATGTACAGTACTTCATCGCTCGGTCGGAAGACCACGGCCTTGGCAGTATCAAGAACTTCAATAACTTTGAAGTGTTCAATACCATACCTGTACGGTTCGTCACATCCAGCCAACTCAGTGGGATCATGGATGGAACAATTGGGGATCTGGAAGGTCGAAGGAACACCGAGGCCCGGCCCGCCGTTGGGATTGTCACCGAATCTCAAGATCTCAGGAAGTGGGCCCCGGCAACAAAGTCCGCGAGTCAAATCAGCAAATCAGCAAATCAGGCTCGAGAGATAGTACACCAGTAAACTGCAGTCACAGGGTGCTAGACCCTTCAATCCTTTTCATTCTCGCTACTGACCCCCAGTGGTCATGCATCTGATCTAGTGCGGACAACAGGTGCGCTGATCTCTCCCGGTCTGCTTCATTGTCATAGGAGCTGACCGACCGCATGTGCTCTAATATCCGATCGGTTTCTGTCTCAACCAGCTCTTCCACCTCTTCCAAGCAGCTTTTCACCGGCTGATGCGAGGCCAGTCCCAGCGACGCCACTAGGTCGGCCCGAACTCGAACCCTCAGTTGGGCGCGAATCAAATGTTCCAGCCGGGCGGCCATCAGCGGCGCGCTGAACGGGCCTTCCTGGTGGGGCCAGGCGTAATGCGCCTGAAGGGCCTCCCACCGGACGGAAGGTCCTGGCAGCCATCGCCCACAAAGAAGAGCGTCGGCAGCACGCCCAGATCGACCAGCAACGTCGGTCGCTGTGGAAAGCGGGCAAGAAAGCATTAACTCCGATGGAGCAGATCGCGGTACTGCGGTGTGAACCGCTGCAGCGCCGCTAGGTCTCCGTGGAGGGGCCCCGTCTGCAAGCCGAGACCGACGGCCGTCAGCCAGATCTCGAGCACCTCGGCCCCACGCTGATCCTTCGGGCTGAGCCTACTGTTGTCTTGCTCCATGCGGAAGGCGCGCCAAAAATGCCGGGCGCGGTGGTATTGCGCCGTGAGACTGGCTTGCTCCGCCAAGACGGGCGCGGCGGCAGCAGACTGGAGTTCCGCGGGGGACATCCGCCAGCACTGCCGGATGAACTTGAAAAAGCGGTTGTAGAGGGGCTCCAGCATGTGGCGGGCGGAAGAAACGGTGTGTGGGCCTTTGGAATGCGAGGACCATGACGGCCATGTAGGGTCTACTGCCGGTTGGACCGCCAGCTTCGATCCTCGAAACGCGTCTTCTGTGCTGCTGCTAGCGTCACTGCCCTCACCCATGAACAAGCGATCACTGCCAATCTGAGTATCCAGATGTCGAAAGGCATGCAGCCAAAAGAGATGAAGCGGTTGACCGGCACTGCTGATTGAGAGCGTATCTTCATCCAGGATGCGCAGGCCAGCACGGATATGCTGCACGGCAGTCCCAAACTCCTGCCGTACCACGTCCATGATCGTGAACAACAGACAGCAGAGTAATGTCACCTCCCGCATCTGTGGGTCCCGTGGATTCCGTCGACGCAGGCAGGCGAAGGACCTCGTGGACTGTGCGACCGCCATCAATTCCCAGACGGTGGACCCGCCCATCAACCCAGGCTCGATGTGCTGGTGCACCGCGCCTAAGGCAACGACAGCATGCCAGACTGCGGGTTCCCGGCGCACCATCTGCAGCACAAATTGCTCCCATATCAGGGAGTCGAAGTAGCTGAGCACGTCGGGAATCGTGCGGGCTTGCACAAAGCCAAAGCAGCGGCGCTCATCGGAGGTACTGGCCCACGGGACGGTGACTGCGACCGGAGGCGACAGTGGCAGTCGGTCGGAATGGCGCGTTCGTGTCGTGGGGAGAAGCAGCCGATGGGCATCATAGCCGTCGCATTGCCGTCCAGTCGAGGTGCAATTTTGGCACTTGCCTGGAGTTTCGTCGCACTTAACGTGGCGGGCCCTGCCGTTATATAAGTGTCAGCCTATTCGCTGCCTAGTCGACTACTGGCTACCTGCGTACCGGCACGTGCGACAGCCAGTTTTCGACCGTTTCAGTCGGGCGCGGCGGGTTCTTCCCTGGTTCATCACAGAGTGCGGACGGTATGCGGGGGATTAAATAGCTTTAGAATAGAGGAGGTGGTGGAAGAAGAGACGTTGCGTAAGATCTTGGACAGAGGAGAGAATAAGCCATCGCTAAATCAAGCAAGGCAGCAGTCACTAGAAGAGACTAGCCAGGGATCTATGATATGATGATCTGCACCGTTTGGTTGCCGAGGCATGACTCGATGCAGCAGCAAGGCCCAACAGCTCTGACTGCAGGTTTTGGTTGAGCACTGAAGAGAGACGAGGAAGCATAAATGGTCACCGATGGTCTAACTACCTCAGAAGATTGGTCGCAGACTGAGAATGACTCGGTGTTTATATGGCCATGCAGTGGGCTATCAGTCACTCACGTGACGTACCGAGGCGGGGCTTTTGTCTCGGTCAGTGCTTTGGGAGGACATATATAGTCGACTTGTCAGAAACAGCAAATTAGCCAACCTGTCGACTCATCCTTCTAACTTGAAGAATTATGCCCTTTGGAATGTCCAAGAGTTGCTGTCTTGCCTCTTATGCTTGTTTTTGTTTTTCAAGTGCCACAGGGTACGGGGTAACAACTGAGCCTATGACTAACTCTCAATTTCCCTGCTTTGCCTTTCTCGCCGAGCCCCGTCTCTAGGCTTCTCAACCCGCCTTCTCACCAACGCGCTCTAGATAAGCAGAAATAGATATGTGTTGTATCTTGTCAGTGAAGAGAAGGAAATAGAGACAACCCCCTACCGGTGAATGTTGCTTCTTTGATACCTTAAGCGTATGGCTCTCAATTATCCCTCCAGCAGACCGCTGTCGGACGGATCTCGTGAAAGTCTTCGCTTCTCATGCGGGCTTTGATGTTAAGGATTTACCGACGCTTCTTCATCTTCTTTGCTACCACTACCAACGCTTTCTGTGGATGGTTGCCGAGAGTTCTGGATTACCAACCGATCGCGTTCCTTCTATGTCGATTCACGATGTGTCTTTTTGCAAAGGCTGCTGGTAGGTTATGTTTTTGTGTTGTATCAGGTGAGCATTGCGTGGTAATCGAGGTGCTGAGTAGGATTGATTCTTGAGGTTAAAGGTTTGAGCCAGTCATTGCTGGAAGCGGGAAGCAGTTCTGAAACTTGGGTTGGTGGAGTTCCAATTGCCCGGTTTTAACGGGTGCCGCATAATCGATGTTGCCTGATGTCTGCTGGTGATTCCAATTGTCTGAACTGCTGCTGTGTTTGGTGTTATCAATCTCCGGGAACACTAAATCATTGCTAGTCGACTTGTCTCGAGTACATACTTAGTGGTACTATGTAATTATCTGACCACTAAGATATCTCAAGTGGTCCACATGTACTCGTACGACCAGCCTGCCGAATTGACCAAGTTATGGCACGGCCCGAGCGATCAGCATGTGCCGGGTCTGCACAAGGCAACTTACTCCGATACCGCCGTTAGATGACGCAGCTCCCATACTCAAGTCCGGGGATTGAGTGGACGGGAAGATTATTTACGCGCATGGGCCCACTGATCGTAGTCCTCACAACTCAATGCAGGAAAGCTTCCGCAAACCAGGCGCGGCAGAGAGACCAGATGCTGAAATAGACCCTACCTTATCCAGGTTAGAGTACAGCCATTACCACATTTCCCAGTCCATGCCGGGAGATACCTCGGACTTAATCTTCACAAGGATCCCACAGCCGACCTTGCATATGTTTATAAATATGGACAAGGGTATTCCTGCAGGTACAACAGATTGACAAGCATATCCCGGCCTGCGAACATCTTTCTTGCTTGCCGCCTCACTCGCATTGCTTCGAAGATCGATGCCGTCATTCAAGCAGTCCGCTCTAGCGGCCCTGGCCGGTTTCGGCCTCTCTGCCAGCGCCAGCTCCAGTGCTTCCAGCCAATGGCCCACCCAGTTCACGCATACCTCGCTGGGCAATTTTAGCCTTCCCATTCCCTCCTTGGTGACCTTCGGCACAGGTGTCATTGGCGGTCTCTTTCGTCCCCTTGCCAGTGCTGATCCAGCCAAGGCTCGGATCGGCATCCTCGTCATGCATGCCGAGCAGGATTACACCACCTTCTACCCCTGCAGTGAGCTGCCCGTCCGTGGATACACCACCCTCTGCTTGAACAACGCTCAGAGCAAAACTGGTCTCATGAATGATCTCGACTTCGAGACGATGATGACCGACGTCGGAACGGGAGTGCAATTCCTGCGCAACCTGACCGACATTGACCAGGTGATCATCTGGGGGCACTCCGGCGGCGGTGCGATGATGGCCGCATATCAGAACGTGGCCGAGAACGGAGCCTCTGCCTGCAACGGCACTGAAAAGCTGTACCCCTGCTCCAGCGCGATGGATGGCTTGCCCGCTGCCGACGGAGTGCTGCTCATCGATGCCAACTTTGGCCTGTCCACCATGACTCTGCTGTCTCTCAACCCTGCCATCACCAACGAGACCACCGGAACCGATATCAACTCGGAGCTGAACTTGTACAGCGCGGCCAACGGCTGGACCGAGAACGGGGCCAACTACACCACCACCTTTGTGCGGGAGTTCTTGGCTGGCGTTGCCGCCCGGTGGAACCGCATTCTGGCCTCTGCGACCGAGCGCAACGAACTCATTGCCGCCGGTAACGGAGACTATAGCGATGACGAAGGATTGGTCATCCCCGACGCCAACTACCTCGGCTTCAACAACAAGCTCATCACCCAGGACGTGCGCTATTTGGCCCACACTATCTACAAGTGGCCTCTCCTGCACAAGGACGGCAGTAACACCACCCAGGTTGTCCCATCTGTTCGCGTCGCGTCGGCCGGCATTCCCAGCATGGTCGACTCCTTCTACGATGGAGCGCTCAAAACCACCATCACCCGGTTCCTGTCGACCTTTGCTATCCGCGTCGATGCTGATAGCTTCCGGGTCACCGCGGATAACATCACTGGTGTCGACTGGACCTCGTCGCAGACTGCTCCCATTGGCAGTGTTCCTGGCATCTCTAAGCCCCTGCTGACCATGGGTAACACGGGTCACTACGAGTACCTCAACGCCGAGAAGATCTACCTGGCTGCTACCACCAAGGACAAGTCGATTGCCTTTACCGAGGGAGCCCAGCACACCATTGACACCTGTACCGCCTGCGAGAGCTACCCTGGACAGTACGGTGACACTGTCAAGACTGCTTTCAACTTCATGGACAAGTGGCTGAGCCAGCCTGGCCGTTTCATCTCTGCCTAAGGGATGTCACCACGTTGGCGGCAACCTGACACTATATGCCTCATTGGATTTTTGTACACCATTACTAATGTATAGCGATATCTGAGTAATACATCACCTGTATACACCATAGACCTATCGCTTTCACTTTGAAAAGATAGGTCATGGGATTTTACTGTACCATATATAGTGTTCTATAATAGAGTATCCAGTCTAGCTCAGAGCGTTCAAGATCGTATTTCTCGCAGAGTTCTTCATGTAAGTGTATATCCTTGAAGCTGAAACCTGCTAAGCCCAGAGAAAAGTGAATGTATGACAAAAGGTTCTTGGAGTTTCCACATGCTGTGTTCTTCACGAGGTCGTTAGTACGGATCTTCTCAAGTATGAGCAGGGTTTGTCTTCGCCTATTAGCAGTGAGTATCTCTTGTCAAGCATTGATCGAGTGACCTTTTATCCATCTTCCTCTTCTGAATCCCATACTCGATTGTTGATGTCTAGCTCGCATTGACTGAGATTTGACGCCTGGGCTGTACATCCAGAAGCAGCCACCGATGCAAACACCTTTGTTTGTATTGCTACCTTTGATCTTCTCTCACTTTCTCGCTCTCCTTCCCTTCTTTCCTCCTCAACCTCACTTGCCTTTCCCACCCACCCGACATGTTTATCATCGTTCTTTGTGTTCCTTTTAATCGATATCTTTCAACGATCTCCTACAACTTACGGCGTAATCTTCCCCTACTGTCAAACCTACTGACCGCCATCATCATGGGTCGCTGGGGATGGCGTAAGTGCCAACCTCACTCTCTTCCTTTTGTGATTTTCTATCCTCAAACCAACGATGCTAACCTCTTTGCCCCCCCCTTCTTCAGGCCTCTTCGAAGGCGATCGGGACCTGGACCTCCTCAGCGATATGCTCCACTACACGGGTCAGGCCGACAAGAAATGGTTCTGGAATCTAGAGGACACAATCCTAGGCCCCGAGACCGCCACCACGCCCGCCGCCAGAGCACACATGCTACGACATGAGGTCCTCCCCTATATCCGCCAGAAGCTCGACACCGATGGCCTCGGGGAACAGATGCTCGCTGCGTGTCGCGCCAAGGAGGGAGACAAGGAGCTCTTCGACCCCCCCAAGTACACAACCATCCTCATGGGGGCTTTGATCATGCGGGCCGGCGGCCAGATCAGTCCTGCCTCCCTGGAGCATCTCCGTGCACTGGTCTCACAGGTGACCTGCAACGTGCGCTACGTGTTGCCCTTGGCTGACGAGGCGTTTCGCTCGCCGGGTCGGGCGCAGTTCTTGGCTGCTCTGTACCATTACCAGGCTGGGGTGCCACGGAGCTTTGAAGTCACGAGGTTAGTTATTCTTTTCTGTTGCTGGCGTCTGTGTTATGGATACTGATGATGCTTGTGCAGCTGCTTCCACTGTGGACAGATCGAGTCGGATGTCGGACACGCGCTTCGCAGGTGCGGCAGGTGCAAGGAGGCTTGGTATTGTGACAAGGTTAGTTGTTGGATCTCTGATGCAACGACATGAAATATGTGCCTGATGTCTCTTGGGTAGGACTGTCAACGCGGTCACTGGCGCGACCACAAGCACAGCTGTGTCCCCATGGACGAGCGTCGTATGCTTAACGTCTAGATAATGGATACTGTAGCTTTCGCCATCGGTTTGTGGTTACGCTCTCAATTGCATAACGCAATGTGGAGGACGGGTTATGCTGCTGGGAAGGTTGGGTTGTGTCTTTCTGAAACCTGTCCTACGGTGCGCCTTCCGGTTTTGTCAGAGTAACCAAGATCATGATGATGATGATGTTATCGTATTTGTCTTTGCTTGACATGCGAGTTTATCTCTGCTGACGACAGTTGTACTGTGGTCTTTTTAAGTATGTGTGTAGTAGGCTGCCAGGTCTTCGGACCACCTGTCAACAGCATTCCGGGTCGTCGGGTCCCAGCTGTGTTAGCCACACGAGTTCCTCGCAGCGCGTGGTTAAGCCGTACTGTACCCCATAAATACATGTCGACACATATACTTCGTTCTGGTGGGTTGGCTGTGGATTATCTTGTGTTCTGCCACGTCTGGCCACGATATTCGGTGAGAAGATTCCTGCAGCTGTTCTTGTAGAAAGTGGTTTCCCCTCACTCACTTTCCACTCTTCTCCTTCCTGTCCCTCTCACACACTTGTCCAGTATTACAACACATGCCTTATTTCCACAGCGAAAGCCACCTCTCCCAAATCAACGGCCAGAAAGTCTGCTCAACACATTAGCTTAGCAAATTTTCTTCGTGGTACCGACTCGTCAACCTGCGGAAAGTACATGTAACGTACACATCCCTTGCTGCCGGCGGGCAAGAGGCCAATGCAACAACACAAATAACGTCGCTGACGATAATTCCCAGAATCAAAGCAATGATAAGATACTGCAACCGCCAGAGAGAGCCTGAGATAACGATATCGTATAGATTGTCCCCGCCGGCCGAACTAATGCAATCGCAAACTACATCGTTACGTCTCCCACACCGTCGCTTGTCTTTGATAAACGTACAATGAAGACTCGCATCCAGTAAGAGTGGTGTGAAAAGACCAGAAGCGCAAAGAAACAAAGAAATATCACGATGCAAAGCAGTTCCAAGCAGTGATGGACACTGGCACCTTTGCGAGTGCTATCGTTCATACCGACCATATCTCACACGGGCGACACGAAACGTCCAGTCACACTGTCGACATGTCTCGAGTCGACTATTCACTCTGGGCAGTCGCCCCTGTTTCCTTGCTGACCCCTACCAAGGGATACCCAGTCCTCCCACCCCCACAGAATCTCCGCTTGACTGTCCGCCTGCTTGTCTTTCTGGTCACGCAGTAGGCCCCGACACGTTCCCGAGCAGCCAATCCACAATTCCATTACTCCCAGCCCCTCACCGTGGCTCGATGACTTCACCCAGATGAACGCCCCTGTCGGGTTGAAACTGATAGTCTGGGGGCTGGAGAGCTATTGCGTTGATGACGATTCGATCAGCCCATGGCTAGATTGCAGATTGTCCGGCAGAAGAAGAATACGATGGGCAACTCACTGGCTGAGCCTCCCTGGCCGTGATGGACCCCGCTCGAGGCATGGCGGAGCCCTGGTGTGTCATTGACGATTGGCCTGGCGAGCGCCAGAGAGGCCAGCGCGGAGAGCATGAAAATGATCAGACTGAGATTCATGGTCGCGTTCTAGGAAAGAGTCTGGTGGGAAAGAGAGGGCATCGGGTTTGCCGTGGGTGATGAGTGTCTTGTCTGACCTGGCAGGGGACCCATTGCAGGGTGGGATGTGAAGGACTTTTCAATATGGTGGAGCCAGTTCTACAGTAGTTCTGATCATAGACTTACCAGGTGCGCGACATTCTCGACATCAGTCGTTGACCTTTCGCAGATCATATTGGGCGCAGAATCCGGTGAGTATTCGGAGGCATCATTCTGTCCCGCAAGGGGCGGGTTTGGACTTGTCCCGTCTGATGCGATGATCACCGTTGTATTGCCGATACGATCTACATGTGGGAGAGAAACCAGGCTACTGGAGTCTGGCTATTGCAGCGCCTCGGTTGAACCATTGAATAATACATCTTGGAGAGTGCATGATCATGATTTACTGTATACGGTGCTTACCTACTTGTATCCTGCGGTACAGAAGATGGTACCAGTAGAGCACGCTATACGGCTAGCTTACCTAATCTAGAAACCTGGTGACAAGGTTTGATAGCTGGATTGGGAGTATAGTGCTTGGCGGTGCTATCAACAGAAAAGAACCAACTGACAGTAGCTTCATGCAATGATCGGTCCTCATATTGCGGTAGTGCAACATTCTCTCTTTTCTTGTATGACCGTGATCTTCGCTTCTTGCCTCACCATCCCGGCCTAAGTATGCATCGTGAATTTTGGTCAAGCCCCGCAGGCGTGGTGGGCAGTACACTTAAGATTAGATCAGTAGGTTCAGTAGTTGAAATCCAGTTGATCATATTGGCATTGCACGCCGTAGCCGTGCAAGGTAGATATATAAAGCCAACAGCCCGGATTTCTCTTCCTTGTCAGTACTCTCCTGGGCTTGTTGTTCTCTTCCCACCAGCTTTCTTGGTTCACTTTTCCTCAAGACGCAGAGCCCCCTCCCTTCTTTCTTCAAAATGCAATCAACATACGTCTTGCTTCTCTTCTGCACGCTGGTTGCAGGGATACTGACTAATGATGGTCCTTCAAACCGGTTACAAGGAAAGCGACAGCAAGAGGTAAAGTCCAACCCCTGGGGACCTACCCTAATCGCGCGGGGGAACACGATCATCTCACCGGCGGCCCGCGACTTTTCCCGGGGATACATCTAGAATGAAGGCATAGATTGGCGGGCTGACGGTCTACGATAGTCAATTCAAGATGCTGTAGATACCCTAGTAGTGAGTGTGACTACACCTGCTCCAACTCCATTAATCGAACCGCAGTGGCTGACAGCAGCAACATCTAGCACACGGTATGTCAGATGGCGGCCACAGGAGGCGTTTCAGACTTTGCGTAGATGCATCGAGGACGGGCTAACTTTTGATTATAGCTTGGAGGCGTGGCCGGCAATGTGAGTTGCTCAGCCCGCTTGAATCCCATTAACTCAACTGCAATCGCTGACGGCTGAATCGACACTGTTCCGGCACGAAGTAGGCCGTAAGTGCGATCCCACTTCCACTACCCTTCCTGAAAGGATGACCTGACACATCATTGGAACTCGTGCTAATGGCTGGAACTAATACTTCACTGTTCTCGCAGTAGTGTGTAAGTGTCCATTTGCAGATCACGCTACCCCCTGTGACAAAGTCATGGTTTGAACGTCGCAACAAGCTGATGGAAACTTTTCAATGTCTCTCTAGGTGGTAAGCAAATAACTACAAATCTCTTGCAAGCCATAGGCTCGATATAGCATGACTGACAAGCTTTCCCCACTTGACCACTATAGCCGGATCCTTGCGGGGGTTCTACATCCGCTGATGTGTTGCCCGAAATCTCACTTGAAGGATTCCCAGGCGTCTAGTGATCGGCCGGGCACCTCATCGCTTCTGCCGCCACGTGTGGGTATCTAGTTCCTCCCCGACAACCTGGGATTCACCACCTTGACGCCTCGATCATCACCATCGCCGGTGCAAGCCTGAAATTCTTCTTTTCTCCTTCCACATTCTTCTGGAGACTTGGTCTGAGAAATGGGGAATGCTACCGGGATCCTCTACGCTCCCGTTCTTACAGACGATGTAATGCTTCATCCTAAGTGTTATTTTTCTTGCAGACTTGGTTACGCAGTATCTAGTCCTTCCATTTGAAGAGTCGTTGACCCAGGTATAACTTACGCTACAGCACTGTTGTATTTCTCTTCCATGGCGAGAAACCTTAGGGTAGGTGCAATGCCAATTGCTACTTGCGGTAGAGACACCAAACCTGACGAACCAGACTAGGAGGCAGAGCAGTACTCTAGTAGCATTAATGATAGCATTTAATTCGTACAAATGTATATACATAATATAGGTCCGGGCCCAGTCTTCTTCTTAACAACCTTTGCTAACCTTCTGGTTGGAAAACAATCAATCATGATCCCCGTAACAAAACAAATATCAAGCTCTCTCCACGTTCACCCTAGTCATGATAGCATGATCCATGTGTACATAGCTACGAAGTTAGCATGGTCATTGTTCAGATACTTTTTGGGGTTGTTGAATGTATATTGCTTCTCTTGCATGAAATGCCTAGGCAAGCCACCGTTCCGCGACACTGGATGCAATTCCCGGCTGCAAGTCTGGTCTGTATGGACGAGAATCTCTGCAAGAGCTAGTCATTGGCATGGATTATGTGGGCAGGTGGACTTCCGAACTCGTTTACCGAAGGAGCAGCAGCGGAATGAATAATTGATTTGGGGTCGCATACAGTCCAATAAATAGGCTGACAGCAAGGCGTAGGGTACCAAATACAAAAGACTGCTTTTTGCGTCGGTTTAAACCGTGTGAGGCATCATATGCAGGGCAGTATTAAAGACTGCCGTTTTGCTGCATGCAATGATCGGCCGCGTCCCTTGCTGACACATTCCATTAACACGGGCAAGAGGCGATGGCGCCTTTCCTCTGCAGGTCTTCCATCGCTTATCAAGCTCTATCCTGTACGGTAATAGTGACTGAGCCACAGTGGCTTAAGGCTATTGACTTAGCAATTGGCTATCACGTACGCTGGCTGATAGATCCCGAACATGATAGAACCTGTCATAGTATAAAGATGTCTTTCATGCTCAATTACCTGTTTATAGTTTACCACTATGGTTCTTTACATCCCTGACACAGAGATTTCAACTGTTTTACAGCAAGGCGTAGGTTGTGGCTTGACAATCTCCTCAGCTACAAGTCAGGGATAGTATAGCTAACGAGGCCTATCGGGGGGAGCGTGGGAGAGCTTTTGTCTAAGGTGCTCCCTGTCGATGGTACAACTTAAATGATCTCCAGGCCCACTACTGCATCAATACAATGCCCAGTACCTGGTCTTCACCTCGGGTAGATTGCAGCATTTCACAGGCGTGCTGTTCCAGAGCAGATCAACTACAGCTCAATGTTAAAGTAGTCAAACTGAAGCTGAATGGTGAAATGACTTATCTGGTCACATTGCCGTTTTCTTCCCTTGAGATTCTGCACTGAACCCGCTCGTACTCTTTCTGTACATATATCACTGTTCGTATGATTTAACCTGACAAGCTCTTTCCTACCACCACAAAGATCCTCAATTTCATGCTGCCTCATGCCACTCGTGACAGAGTAATGATAGACTTGCCAAAAAGTCAGTTGCTCTTAGACTGTCTACCATAGTACAGCATCTGCAGGAGTGCCGATTACCTCATGTTGGCATAAAAGCATTACTTTGCAACAGGTGCATTCATCGACGGCGCGGACGAGAACGGTTATCAGATACATCCAAAGACCCCCATTGATTCAGCATAGTCCTATTGCCTATCCTGTGCATCTTTTTCACCCTGTTCAGAAACCCGTTTTCAGGTTGTATCAATGTCCCGGTATAGGAGCACAGATGTGTATCATGATTGAGCATATTATCCAACCACCAGGAGCTTCATTCAACCTGGAATGGTCGAGGCTCTATTGCCTATAGGCATAGTTCAGAAAATCGATGAGTCAAGTCAGGATTGCACTGGGAAGTCTTCAAGAAAGGTCTGGTTCGGGTCACATTCCCCTGCTTATTCAGCTCTTGCGTACCTGGCATTGAGTGCTAATGCTTCTCCTCGCTGGTAACTGTGCAATCCTTCTGTTCTGTTTGAAGATATATCTGACCGATGCCACCCAGTTTGAGCTGATGCGCAGAGCTGGAATGCTCTGTAATAGCCGATGAATAAGAGTATCTCCATTCATTCCACGTCCTTCGATTCCAAACGATCCCTTTATTCTGTGAGTCGCTCACATGGAGAACCACTCCGAGATGAGGGTCGACACCCTGCAGCCATAGGCCGGTGGGGTATCACTTACAAGGGCCACGATGCCTGTCCCTGGTAAAGTCCAGAGCTTTCTCACACTACAGCCATTGAAGTGCAGGACCAAGGACAGGCGTATCTCTTTGGTATGTCTCTGTCTCCTCGCGCAAGCAATTTCATAGGTAGGGACTGAAAGCCACCATGTGAGACCAAAACCTGGAATCCAGTACAGTCTAGAATTATATAGTATTTGCCTATCTCACCATGTTCCTCCTCACTATTATTGTTGGGAACTGGATCGCTGACTAAGAGTTGTGGTCATGCACCGGTTGCTTACTTGAAGCTTTGAGGCATGGCTCGCCGCAAGCGGACATGGATATCTGGGGCCCTGGGCGAGGGTGGGGCCATCGTCCTCCAACACGATGAGCTTATGGTAAACTTTAGTCCTGGGACTTGGCCTCGCCCTTGACTTCACCATCATCTACTTCGTGTTCCGGTCCTCTCGTTCTCGAACTCGTGTTGCGCTGTAGTCTCGGAGGCATCTTTGTCAACGGAGGAAGAAAGAAATCAGATTTTTAGCAGCCATGATGTTCTATACCTTCCATACATTGCTAAATACAATCATTGAAATCGTGCCTAGGAAAAGCCATGCTGGCTGTCGCGTTGATGTTGCTAGGGCAGGTTTCTTCATTCCAAATATCAGGTATTTCCCCGACTCCGAATGCATAATTACCTCCCTTTCTTTCTCATACCTTCTCAACATGGCGCTCTCTGCAGGCTCTGTTGGGTATATGCTTGATGCTTATCTAGCTGGTCCCAGTCAAAGATCCGGGGCTATGTCTGGAGGTTAAGGTTCGACACATAATATCAGTTCCCCCAAGCCATCGTTCCGATGATCCTCCTCCTGAGCCCCAATTGTGGATTGAGAAGGTTACGTCTGCCAATCCTGCGATTCAGGCGTCCTTGATAGATAGTACGCATACCTACTGGCTTTACCATATCCCTGCCACTCACAGCCCCAAGAGTGAGCCGGAACATGCATGCCGTCGTATATCCTATGGTTCTTTCGTAGATGTTCATTGACCTGAAGGAGTTGAAACTCGCTATATGGTCAATTGCATTGGACGCATCGATATCCGTGTAGCTCGTATTTCCAGACCAGCGGGATGGCATACTGCAGCGTGCGCAGTCTTGGCAATTCCCAGTGTTATGGTACGTCTCAATAGCCTGATACGACGCACCGTGTCAACTCAACGCAGTGAAGGAATCAGCCTATAGTTTACTACTAATCTGTTCCTCTGCAATGCTCCTTGGCCTTTCTCAACCATTGATCTTATCCTAAATGATGCTACAGACTTAACGAACCTTTGTCAGCAACTATCCTCCAGCGCTGGCTTGTTTCACTTAGGACACTGCTTTTTCGCAGACTCATCTTTCATACTAAAGACTCTTTACTTGCCAGGTACTGCGGGGAAATCGATCAGTTCTACATGGTCTAGGTTGTGAAGACCCGATTTGCCATTGAAAGACCTTGCCTACTGCGCCACCGCGATGATCCAATTTAGGTGCTATCTCAAAGAGCGAGAGCTCGTGTATCCGTGGTTAAGATCCTCGTACTGTCACCACAATTGAAGTTATACTAGCTGCATGCATGTGTTGACATCGTGAACTGAACCGTGACCATTTGAATCCCAATGGCTCCATAAGAAGAGTCTAGAACAGCCGTTCAACAAGGAAGAAACTAAATGTGGTTCACGTCGATCGCTTTCAACACGAGTATGGAGAATTGACCAATTCAGTTGTGCGAGTCTATCATCAAAAGCTATAAGAACGGCCCTTCGCTCCGGCAAGCTATCTGCACATCAATCTGATATTATATCTTGTCCAGTCCACAAGACAGCCATCCTCTCAGACCAAGTCACTATTCTGCAAATATGAAGTCCACAATTGTTGTTCTTGCTACTCTGCTTCCCATGGCCATGTCTTCTGCCGTACCTGCAGACGCAGACGCGGAAATCGACCTGAGCCAGAAGCAAGAGCTATCTGGCAATAACGCTCTGCGGTGCCAGCTTGGGAGTAGCATTGATTTCAAGAATGTCCCATGTGGCGGTGCGCCTATTGCCGGCAGTCTGAACAATGGCCAGGTCATATTCCTACGATGCCAGAATCACCGGGCTCCCGGCACGTAAGTCTCTCTGCGTTTTCTTTCTTGAAACAAAACGGTTTGGCATGCCGTCGGCTGGTCACTGCTACTCGATGACGGCCTGAACTCTGACCGGATATGCAGTACGTGGTACAAGACTAAGTCCGGGACCTGGGTTGCGAATGTTAATTGCAGGAGTAAGTCTCGCGATCCCTTTTTCTTTATACTACGGAATCATTGATTGACGTCCTATGCTACTATTGTGGAAACTCTTCTAACTTCTGAGCAGCCGGGAATATCAATAACTTGCCAGAGTGTGATATCTAGCCATCTTTGCCATAGGTATTATACTTGCCACGGATACTGAAACGCACTCACGGACCTGGGAGTGTTATTGTGAAGGGGCCGTAAAGTCAAAAACACTTCATTGTTGATCTTCTTTTCGAGACATTGTTTCTTGCTCATGCTAGGCCTTGGGCCTGATGTTGGGTGATGTACCCAATGATCAAAACTTATCTTGTCATGTGTTCCCTGCTATTTACTATATAGTTAGCTATTTACTGCAATCAAGTCTCTGTTCAGCTTGCTGCTGTATGATCTGAGAGTTTTCAGAGAAATTCCCTTCAGTCTAGAGTGATCTCTAGCTCAATAAGTATCGATTGTAGTACAATGGAAAAACTTGGGGATGATACTATAAATGCACCCCGGAGACATATTTGTGTCTTTAGTATCCTAGAGGATTGCAGAACCACGACTACTAGTCTAGTAGATCACACGAAACACAGGAACGAGACGAACAGTAGAGTATAAAAGGATGCGACACTGTATGGCAGTTCACCCAGCCAAACCCCACCACATGCGCCGTTATCCTGCCAATTGAAATTGTTGGAATCAGAGTGCGGTAGGCACCTCGTAAGCAAACCGTTCTTCTCCCGCCCACATCGGGAATGAGTTGGCCTGCGCTTGATAGTTCTCCGCTGGCAGCAAACTATCCAACTGGGACTCGACACAGCCGCGCTTGGCAAGAGGCCGGTGCTCGAAGCGGTCCTCAATCCACTGCAGCCAGGTGTGCTTCGCCGCGTTGATGGCGGAGAAATGGCCGCCCTGGGCGACAGCCAGCAGCTCGAGATCCCCCTGGTAGAGCCTGCACGTCTCCTGTACGGTGGTTCTTGTCGTGTTGTACATCACCGTTGAGTCCTCTGTCCCTTGAACGATGAGAAACGGTCCCTTGAACGGCAGCTTTCCTGGGTTTGCCAACGCTGAAAACGCATCAGCGTACCAGGTCTCGTTCCAACCGGGCTGCAAGAACCCCGCTTCTGAGTCGCCCAGTATGGCAAATGTCACCATCTGCGATCCCTCGATCTGATTCAAGAGGTCGATTCTGCTGACACCCAGCGGAGTGAACCAGTCACTGACGTTGAAGGTTGGGAAAACCGAGTCCAGCTCCTTGGCGATCCACGCGATAAATCCCGGTATGGTGACTGATAAGGATACCGTCGGAGGAGCAACAACCACCCCACCGAGGTAGCCCTCTGTCACATCAGTGAACTGGGAGTCGTTGCGGGCCAGGATCTCGGACAGGCCCCAGGCGACTGCACCGCCCTGGCTATGGCCTACCGATACGTAGTCGCTTGACAAGAGCGTAGGAAAAGACTCCCGTGCTGATCGCAGTGCGTTCAGGGCATCGCGCGCACCGGCTTCGCGGATGTTGTACTGGTGCGGGATGTACCTTCCATCCCAGGAAGCGTCAACACCTAGCCCTGCGTAGTCAGGAGCAATGACAGCGTACCCAGCCTCCGCCAGCACAAATGGGACAAAGTCCGCGTAGAAGAGCCCACGGTGGGTCGAGGGGGCGCCGTTGGCGTACCAGCCGGATGTTCCGTGGGTCCACAGGACCACGGGGGCGGATGATGCAGTTGTGGTGTTGTTCAGACTGCGAATTGGTCGTGGGTGGAATGGCCACAGGATATAGAAAGAAGCGGGGATCAGAGTGCCGTTTAGGTTGGTGGTGCTGTAGATGATGCGGGACATGGCCGTCTTGGCGGGTATGGAGAACGGCGACGGGTCGGTGAACTCTTGGAGCTTGAGGGTCTTCCCGGGCTCTGTGGGCCATTGGTCCTTTGGAAGGCCCTGGATGTTGTAGAAATCGTCCTCGTGTGCTCCGCCGTTGGCAAGCTGAGATCGGTCGAACTTGGTGATTGAGTTGACGATTGCCGCGAGGTCACTGGTCAAGTTGGCTTGTTCGACCTGATCGGCGCTGAGCTCGAAAGAAGAATTCCATCCTGTCGACTGTGTTGCTGCAACTGTCACCGCTTGGCCGGCAGCCAGCTTTCCTCCCAGTAGGAGTAAGATGAGATTGTGAAGGTATGCGACCATCCTGACCGTGTCGGTCTGTGGTACTATGCGTCCGAACTTGGAATGTCCTGTGGAAATTGTTTGATGATTTCCGCAACAGCAGTGGACATGATGCCTGGTTTTATACCCGAACCTGCACAGCTTAGCTAACATCTATCTTACCCTCACCATATGAGGTCGGATAGGCAACTTCAATACCGAAGGTCTCTGTATAGCCCATCTACAAGGCTCGCTGGAAAGTGTACGCTCCGCTGATCGCTGCGCTTAGGGCTCGGAGTCGGGCGATGCAGGGCGGACTGAAGCACCGCATCGTATTAGTAATACGCCTCCCAGACGCTTCACGATCCTTACCAAGGCCTGTCAGCTGGTGAGGCTCAACATCGTGCTTTCAATGAGCGTATACGTAATTTCCACTCGGCATACTGTATCTACACTTGAAATTCGGGTCTGATTCTGTTGCTTGGCTGTAAATCTATTGGCGGGTTGACTAGGCCAGAACACAGTTCTAATTCACTCATTGAGCTTCTAAGTTGCGTTCGCGGACAGCTTTTTCCCTCCAGGAAATGATATTACCCTCAGATTCTGTGGCAAGAGCAGCAATGCTACTGGTTTCTAGGAGATCGTTAGTTATGTCGATCATGATCAGCACAATTAAGCCGTATTTCATGGATTACAAAGGTCGTATGAAGATGTGATAGCTTTGAGGCACGGCCTGCATATGCCCCAGTATGACACCCTGAAAGAAGAAAATGAAGTTGATAACATTGTACCTGATGCAACAAGATACTTTTGGGGAGGAACGACGCTTGTACCCATGACTTATCCAAACCTCTTCAACAGATCCTCAACCGTCTCCACCAAAGTATCCTCCAAATTGCGATACTGCAACCCCAACACCATCTGCGCCTTACTCCCATCCGCAACATACGTGTCCACCCAACTCCCACCCTCCTGGTACGGAACCTTGTCCTTCAGCTCTGGAAACCGCTTGCGTATAATCTCACACGCCTCCTGATACACAAAACGGCCCCCAGCGACCAGAAACCGCTGCCCGCCCGCTTCGGGCCGGGTATACGCTTGGTAGTGCGCCTCCGCAACATCGTGCACGTTGGCGAACGCCATGAAGTCATTCTCCGGAACCTCCGCCCGGGATCCGTTGACCAGATTCCAGATTGCCTCGGCGGACTCATTCAGCCGATTGTGTCCTTTGTTCGGGTCGCCGAGAGCGGGACCGAACACCCAGGGCGGGCAGATAGTGGCCACGTCGAAGGTGAGCGGCCTGGCCTTGGCGGCGCTGTCGACCCACTCCCACACCTTCCGCTCCGCGAGAGCTTTGGACGCGCAGTAGGCGAGGCTGACGTCCGGGGTCAGCTTGGCCTCCTCGTAGCTGCACGGGTTCCAGTCCGCCTCGGTGTACCGGTAGCCTTGCCGGAGGCCCTGGGTGAGATCGAGGTTTGCGGCAAAGGAGGAGGTAAAGACGACGCGGCGGACGGTGGGTCCGTGAGCGGAGACGGCATCGAGGACGTTCAGCGTCCCCTGGATGGCCGGTTGGAGGAGGTCGGTCTCGTTGTCCGAGACGGTGAGAGAGAATGGGCTGGCGGTGTGGATCACCCCGCAAACATTTTGGACGGCCTTGTCAAAGGCCCCCAGGGCTGCTATGTCCGGCACGATGGCGAAGGAGAGGCGCTCCACGTATTCGGGTGGATAGCGGGATTTGACGGTCTCGGCGGTCGACGCGGAGCGGACGGTGCCACGGATATTATAGCCCCCTGCAAGGAAGCGTTGGATGATGTGCGAGGCAACGAAGCCCGAGGCGCCAGTGACGAGTATTGTTTCGGGCATTGCAGTGTAGACAGACTGGTCGTGATAGGTCTTGCTTCGTGTGGAGGGGGATGAATACAGGGCGCAAATGGTTCCAAAAAGGAGGTCTTCCAATATGGGCTAATCTCGGAGGCCTATCGGGTTAATATATGAGTGGCATGACAAGGAATACGGGCTATGCGGCGTGGGTGTCACCGATACGAAGATGACTTTTCGAACAAAGAATACTGACGTCGATCATCGTAACATGTCGAGTGGGTACGGTGAGGGGCTTTAGCCTTTCTGAATACTGTATGTCCTTCCGATTAGGGCTAATCCTCCCGCACCTGACGTTCCCGCCATCTTTATCGATACGATCGTTCGGCGGGGTAAGATCTCGGGTTTCGCTGGAACCGGACATGAGTAAAAATGACTCGGAGCAGCGAATGAACAAGATTGGAGACACTTTGCGCCCTAGTAGTGTCATATCCGTACCATCACATTGGAACTAGATGATGGCGGTCGCCGTCTGTCACGTGGGAGCACCAGCCGCCAGGTTGAGATCACATGCAATCGTCCGACAAACTTCGTGAGAGAAACAATCCTTAGGTTCGCATGCAAAATTTATTCACTTGTGACTATACTGTGGATCCTCGCTATAAGGAACCTCTTTCAAAAGAAATCCTCTATATAACGGACCTTTTGGGCTGGGAGTATCCGCCCCGGATCTTAAATTTGTTATCTTCGCTATATAACGAAAATCGTGAGTCAAGTTTACTCCTACATACAGAATTCGCGATATAGGGAACGAGTTATACCAAATAAGTTATGAGCTTTGACTGTTTCGCAAGGCAAGATTTGCAGACCAAATAGCTTGTTTTTTCAGGAAGCAGATATCAAAAACTATATATATACACGCCAAAAACCTTTGCTCGCTACAACCCAAATCCTCGAAAGAACGAACTCGTCGGCCTTTCCCAACTGATTCGGTATACCGAGAATCCACAGTATTACCAAGCCAAACACGGGGTGGAGTGACACTTTCCATAGGATAACAATCCTCCCACGCGCAAAGCGACGGGCGACTCCGGGAACAAGTCCGTCGGAACTCGGATCAACTCGCAACATCATACGGATTGCCGAGCAGAAACGGCACATCCGCCCCGCCACTGCAGCCTACTCAACCTTCTAATTCTAACCTGGTTATGAGCTCATCACATATGTCAGAGTCCGCCTCTACAGGCGCGTATAAAGTACTCATTCTGTCCCTCTGCATAGTCCAAGTCAGATTGACAACTCCCACCATGTTGACTGAAATCGACCAACTCGAGGCCCACGTGATCGTCAATGACGAACTGGACCCTATTTCCCCAAGCCAGAACCCGGCTGTGCAAGTTTCTAGCCGGTTCATGGGCATCCCGCTCTCTCCGCTGCCACCGGGCACTGAGCGAGGTGACGCGCAAATGGAAATGCGCATGGACAACATCTGTTGTGCGGCGCATGGGATCTCTTTGCTTCTGGTGGGTGGGGCTCGAACTTTGTGCTTCTCGGTCGGGGACCCTGGGAAGGAACCTAGCAATCATTAACGAGGATAGATAGATCGCGACCAAAGGCGACAAAAAGCATCATTTCTCTTTGACGCCGGGCCGGAGGGCGAAGTCTGGGAGAAGAATTCCGGTCGCCTTCGCACCGAGGTGGGCCGCATCGAGCACGTGGTCTTGTCGCACTACCATCGCGATCATTCGGGTACGTGCTGGAGCTATAATTCCCATGGCTAAAGAGTAGTCACTGATCTTCACTCCCAGGTGGCTTGACCAAGGCCATCGAGCTCATCAGAAAGCATGACCAGGGAGGCAGGAATGTCGTGGTGGACGTGCATCCGGATCGTCCAGCCTATCGCGGCGTGCAGGCTGATCGGCCCATCTCCCTGGAAGCGGACCCTTCTTTTGAGGAGGAGCTGGAAGCCGCGGGAGCGACTTTGCTCAAAAGCGACTGACCGCACACCGTACTGGACGATTTCTTCCTGATATCGGGGGAGATCCCGCGCGAGACCAGCTACGAAGATGGTATCTACGGCGGACGGCGGTTTGATGAAACCGCCAAGAAGTGGCAGGAGGATACGTTGATCATGGAAGAGCGTTATGTCATGTGCAATCTCAAAGGTGTGCCACAAACTCGCCATCTTAGCAAATCGAATCGTGGGACTGTTCTGACTGAAGTTGATGGGGCGGTGATGCAGGCAAGGGGCTTGTGGTCTTCACCGGTTGTGGGCACGCTGGCATTGTTAATACCTGTCGCGACGCAGTCAAGCTCGGCAACGACACCCCATTGTACTGCGTGGTGGGCGGATACCATCTGGCCGATGCAGATGATGCCAAGTTGAATGCAACCATGAATGATTTGAAGAAGCTAGAGCCAAAGGTGCTCCTGGCGGGTCATTGCACAGGCTGGCGGTTCAAGTGTCTCATTGCGCGTGAACTTCCCAGCTGTCTGGTGCCGTGTTTCTCTGGTAGTAAGTATACTTTGTAGAAGCAGTGCAGGATATCATGGAAGGATACAGCTTTACAAATTGAGAGAAGCGGCGTTGGAGCTCGGTTCATCCAATTCTGCTTCTGTGCTCTATTTGGGGCTTATTTGAGAATATATTGTGCAGCCGACTTCAACAAAATCTTTGCGTAAAGCTCATGCAACCACACCACAGGCCCTGGCATCGGAAGCCTGTCTGTCTGTCCAACGCCCTGAAAGAAGAGCGACTTGAATTCAAACTCGACAACATCATTCTCCCTGTCGACTCGAGCGGCGACCTCAATTAACGCGTCCAGCGGACGGAGGCCGCGATTGCAGGTTTTATCTCCACCACGAATGAGGATTGAGTTTGATGACCGATCAATGACCTCGAATTCCGCGACGATGTCAGTGCCTACTCTGTAATCGGACCGTAGAAGCTCGCAAGGGGACCAAAGTTGGTAGGTATTCGCATCGGGCTTATCCAGCCATTTGCGGAGGATTCGTTGCGGAGCAAACCCTGTACAATCATAAAAAGAGGTTAGAAACAACATAGGGCTTTGCTTGCGTCGAGACTCAATGCCTTACCAGCTCCCGCCCATATTCCCCCACAGTATCTTTCAAGAAGCTTCTTCGGATCCTCCCGGAGTGCAGGGTCAATCCGCTGCAGTGGCACCCTGAGGATGTGCAGGTCGTGGATGGTGGGGTTGTCGTTGGGGTTGTAGCTTTTGTAGTACCTGGAAGTGAAGATAGGGTCCGTCGCGTTCAAGGGAATTACATGAATGTCAGCTGTCGTGAAGTACACTCCCAGTGCCAGGCCGATACTCCCAGAGATGGGCGGTGCCTGCCAGCACTTTCCTTCTGAGAGACATGATGGATGATGTTTGATGGTTTTTTTTCTTTTCTCTCTTTTGTGGATATTTCAACGAAGTAAACCTTCAATTGTGGATTGGGGATCCCCTCACCGGCGAGAAAGTTCGCGGCGCATACAGGATCAGCTCATCCACTAGGTATGCCTTGGTAGTGCTTAGTTTGCACAGAAAATACCCACCGAAGCCTATCTTGCTCGGATTTCCGAACAAGTGGAGTAGGTCACCGCCTCCAGCCACTCACAATGAAGGCTTGGCTTCCGGAAATACCAAGGGGCTTTCGGTGGTTAGGCGTAACAGGCGGTCGAGCCTTTGGAAGCCTTTACAAAAAGTGCCGGAGAAAAGATACTTCAGCTTTGGTTCCAGTCAGTGTTCTAATCAAACCAAAATGCGACAGAGCCTCGATCCAATGTGTTTTGTCATCAGAGGAAGGTGGTTAAATATGGTGCCTTATCCTCGTCCTCCTCCAAGTTACCTAAACATTGGTCCACACAGTAGCCAATCATCTCGAGTGGTTATACTAAACACCGGCTTCACCCTGCTCTGGAGAAATTACGAGCTATGATGTGTGAACTGCTTCTAGACACGGCATTCGGGAAGCTCGTTCGCATCACAAGCGGCCACCGGCTTCTACCCTATCCCGAGGAATGTGACACGTCCATCGCGTCAGAGTACATCGATAACGCAGCAGAGGCCAGAGTCAGGTTTCCCGACCTGGAAGCAAATGAAAGAATTCTTGAGCCCAACGGGCTGCAGACTATCATGTCCCAGGCGTCGAATCGGTCACCGGGAGTCACCATCCATGCGCCCGACCACGTGGATGAGAAGACCATCATTGTGGGATGGAGACCAGGTGACACCGAGGTAATCCTTGACAGTACCTCCTTAATGAAGCAAGATCTAGAATTGACAGGAAGATAGAATCCCCAGAACTGGAGCCTCGGCAAGAAGCTATTGGTCAGCTCGCTTACCTGGCTTTTGACCTTTGCCATATACATTGGCTCAGCCATCTACAGCCCCGGTATCCCGGGGGTAGCGGGTGAGTTTGGGGTGAGTACTGTGGCCTCGACATTAGGCCTAACGCTGTTTGTGCTGGTGTATGGTATCGGTACGCTAGTCTTTCTGACCTGCAACCACCTTCCTTTCTGACCCTCGAATCCCTTCCGACTCAGGACCCATGATCTGGTCGCCTCTTTCCGAGCTTCCGACAGTCGGCAGAAGCCCTATCTACCTCTTCACGCTTCTCGCGTTTGTCATGCTGAACCTCGGCGTTCTCTACGCCAAGAACTTTGGCATGCTCTTCGCATTTCGCTTCCTTACTGGGTTTATTGGATCCCCAGCCCTGGCGACGGGCGGCGCATCTATGGGCGATATCTGGACCCCCCGAGTAGGATGACGAGCCAGAAACCAGACAGGAATATGAGACTTCGGTTCAGAACCAATCCGCAATCAGAGCAATCAGAATCCGAGTAGCTGAAAGGAGTTACTCTAGGCCATGTTAAGTAACTCGAGGCATATCCTTCGCCTATTTTTGTGAGAGAACCCCTGCCGGTTCTGGATTGGAGCTTCACCAGTCCATAAGTACGAATCCACCTTACGAGTAACCAAATGAAGAGTTCAGCATTCTCCGACTGGGCTACAAGCTCCGAAGCAATGGGTTCGATCTCACTATTCTCCCAATGTCGGCTTTTGGAAGCATGAGAGTTTCCGCATCTGGTTTCGCATGCGGAGCCGAACCCATGGGGAAGGTGGGTCCCATCCGGCGGTGCCGACGGTGTAATTTCGCCACGTCTGAGCCTCCGATCATGTACCGCACTGTGTGTGTGTGTGCATTGCGTCCAAGTAGGTTACTTCTGAATGGAAACAATCCATGAAAGTCTCTCTTTCAGGACATTCCCCTTGTACTGCACTGGTGTCAATGAAACCCTGGCAATCTGCCCACGTGGCTCGCGCCCGCCTAACCATGTGACTCTCAGGTTCTCCAAGTGCGTCCACCACGGCATCACTGGCGATCATAACCTGGATTACCGAGATTGTTGAACTTGTTCTCCTTATAACGGTACTCTGGACTTATCGATGTGTGGTTGGCGGATCGAGAATTACGCTACATATCTACGGCACATTTCCCTAATACGGGTGCCTGGGGTCATTTGCAGGATATTACAACATGAGACATCACTAGTGGATTAGGGCCGGCGAACTTTGCAAGTAATTAAGTAAATAGTTCTCTGGATGCCGTTGCGAATCTGAATAGCGATTCTTCTTTCACCACAAAGGATGCTGGTTGTTCTAGATACCAGGGCACTTCCGAGTCGTTAGTCCTAGGTTCCATGGAATACGGGTGACTACATGTGACTTGCAGAACTTTTTACTCTGGGTGAGTCTGCACACTAATAGCTCCCTTGAACCTTCCTTGCGGGTCATAGCGTCTCCGCAGTTCCCGTAATCTGGCAGCATGCGGACCCCAGATCTACACGCGTGTGTGAGCAGCTGTGACTGACGGGGGCAGGTAAGCCATTGGTGCAGCACATACCTCTGTCGTATCATGATAGTCCTCAAGGCCATTTGGCAGCACGTAGACCTCCGCATCATCCCCAAGTACGCTGGAGGGGGCATGGATCGCGAGATCGCGAGCCAGCTTTTCCTGAGCGGGACTGGCATCCGCAGGGCATCCGGTGCCGAGGAGAAGGATATGCTTCGTACCGCTGGGTCTCGGCCAGGCAGAACCAGAAATTCCGCCCACTGGGTCACTCTAGATCGAAGAGAAGCCATGCACAATCAGCTTGTGTTACAGTGCAGACCTACTACGGTAGGGTAAAGGCTTACCGAGCTTAAGAGTTCGAAGATCAAATAGGTGCAATCGCCTAGTGAGGGATCGATCTCTCGAATCTCTGCGAACCATTTGAAGGCCTTGATAACGACGTCCTTCGAGATGTCCTTGAGCAGCAATGGTTGCCAGAACTGCTTCATGGTTCCTTTAACAATCCCGGCTTTGTCTATAAAAGAGTTGCATATCAGTCACTATCACGGGCCAAGCGTTGGCGGTGCCCATCTCTCACCTTGCAGGTTTGCCACCCCGGCAAGAGTCGTAATCTTGGTCTGATCGATGGCGCCGGGGATATCCAACGCCCATCGGAAGTTGGCTCGGCCGTGCTCTTCCCCATTGGCGTCGAATACATGGATGACCAGCATGTCCTCGTCCGTGCCAATCGACTCCAGCAGGCGTCCCTTCACCACGTACAGGAACATGGTGATCCTGGGACTGAGCGGCCGGGAAAGGAAGTTCTCGATGCCCTCCGCGACTTCTTCCAACCTTTCCCTGGGCACCAGAATGGGACCGGCCCAGATATTCTGGGGGTAGGGGATAGTCCGGAGCTTGACCTGGACCAGGGCTACAATCAGATATGGAGATTAGTACAGACTATCACCCGAGCGGGGGCCGAAGGTACATGTACACATACCCCCAAAGCCGCCACCACCCCCGCGCAGTGCCCAGAGTAACTCCGGCTCCGTCGACGCCCACACCACAGATCCGTCATACTTGACAACCTTGGCGTCCAGCATGTTACCCGGGTCAGAAATGCAGCCATACTCGCTGGAAACCCACGAGTAGCCCCCATTGACGATGGTTCCGGCGACGCCGACACAAGGGGTCCGGGCGCCAACGACTGTCCGTTATACCGGGGAGCATATCAGCATCCTTCATGTTTGTTTGGTTGTATCCATACGGATACTGAACAAGAACTCGAAGAGAATCACATACCGGCATACTCCGGCGCCGCGGCAGCGAGCTTTCGATAGACATCCGCCCATGTCTGTCCAGCACCAACAGTCACCACCTCTCCCTGTGCGTCGAAGTGGAAGTCGTCGAAGCCCGACGTATTTACCACGACATCTCTGGCTGAAGCGGAACTGTACCCTTGGCCGGAGATGGCAAAGTCCAACGTGCTTCTGTACAGGTAGGCAAGCGCCCTGCTGAGCGACTCGGTGGAGGTGGGTCGGAGTGCCAGGCGGGGCCTTGCATCCTTTTGTGCGGCCCAGGTCTGGACTCTGGCCTCGTAATTAGGGGAATCCGGGGTGACAATCTCGTCTTCCTGCAGCAAGGAACGCAGGGTATCGAATGAATCTGCTTCCTGGTTCGACGCAGGCATATTCACTAGGTCTTGTTAACAATAAAGGGGGTGTGTGGGTGGAAAGTGGAGAGGCAGCAAGAGACTAGCCAAATAGTTCAGGTCGAACGCGGTGCTTGCGAGCATGATATGAGTTACAGTCTTGGAAGCTAGCTGATCTACCTTCTCATACACCTTGACTTAGACTGACCAGGGAGCCTGTATGCATGGCCTGAGAGTCCGCTGCAAGTTTGTTTCGTGCAGTTGGCCGACGATGGACACCGCTCGATTGGCCACATGCAGGTTTGCCACTGAGGATTGACATCTTGGCCATTGACCATCGCCTCCTGTGTCCTTGTTTGAGAACAGCTTATGGGCTAGAAGTTATGTGAAGACAGTGTTGGGTGGAGAAGGTGGGCTACCCCGAACGACCAAGCCGACTGCCCTTTTAGTTCGGATGTCCGAAAAAGTCCCTCCTCGGCTTTTGGAACCCGACGAGACTTTCTGTGCAGAGGCAATGCCGGCCCGCATACCAAAACCAAGAAGAAAAAACCCCTGGCCTATATCTCGGGTATTTATTTGTTGGGCCCGACTACTAAGCTAGCGAAAATGGCTAATGGTGGATTCTATTCGCTTCTCAACCATTAACTCCCGTCACCATCCCTGCACATCATACCATGCTGAACGCCCTCATCACAGGAAGCTCTCGCGGGCTTGGCCTCGAATTGGTCAAACAATTAGCTGTGCATCACGACTTGAAAGGTGGAATAGTCGTGGCCACTGCCCGCACATGTAGCCCGCAGCTGAAGGAAGTCATCTCCACAAGTAATGGCGCCGTTGTTTTCGTCGCACTCGACGTAGCGGACGCGGGGGCCATCGCAAACTCGGCCGAGGAAGTGAGATCGGCCCTTGGAGGACGCAGTCTGGATATCCTGATCAACTGTGCAGGTGTCCACAGTGAAACCCATGGCAAGGTGACTCTTATGTATGCAATACCCACCCTTTGCCTATGACCGTTAGCCGGGGCGGAGAGATTAACAGTGCTCAGGTCGGACCTCGACTGGCAATTATCGGTCAACGTGACTGGCACGCATAATGTCCTGCGACAGTGTCTGCCTCTCATGCAGTCGAGCAAGGTTAAGAGGGTGGTGAGCGTGTAAGTGGATGATTGACCGTCGCGTGCTGAGTCTTTCTTGATTGGCGAATGCTAACACTACAACTACAGCTCCAGCGCATACGGCTCCATCACCCATGCTCGAGATGTAGCCTATGCACCTTGTCCAGCCTATAAGATCAGCAAAGCCGCATTGAACGCGTTGACTGTACAATATGCTCTCTCATATGAGGATGACGGTTTTGTATTCCTCGCAGTCAGTCCTGGTGTAGGTTGCCTTTGTCACCAACCGAACAAGATTGACTTCATACTCACTAATAGCGTACAGTGGTTGAAAAGCGATATGGGCGGGCAGCACGCTGATCTCACCGTGCCTCAGGGCGCAAAGGCAGTATTAAAGGTGGCTTTTGCAGCCGATAGCCGGGATAATGGGACCTTTAAGAACATTGATGTTCCGGGATGGGAGAAATATGATGGACAGATTTTGGCGTGGTAGATCGGCATTGGCAATGATTTGGGGTTGAGTGTTGATGCTATTGGACAATGTACCTTGGACCCGGCCAAGCTCTAGATGGCGTTCTAGAGGGTTGTTGACCTACGTTGGGAGGTTCATAAGCATTGTGAAAATACAAGCATAGCGCAATTTAGACAAGCCAAATGACAAATGGCCTGAGAGATCCGTCATATCGGATGCCCAGCAGCATGTATAGTAGAACCACAGATCTTATGAGCAGCGGGTGGTAAGTTTACTACGGAAGAAAGGGCTCAGGCAACACGGCAGCGAGGCAGGAAGGCAACAAGGCAACAAGGAATGCCTAAATCTACCTGAGGGCGGCGACGGTCAACTGACGGCAAGGAAGCGGCAGAATCTTGTCAATTTTCCTGTCCCCGCCTCCCTTGCAGTTAGTTGAAGCTCGAACCTTTCTTTCTCACCAGCCTGCCTATCAAATGAGAATATCATATGAAGTACCATCCGAATAGGCGCCAAATAGCGTGTATGCAAAGATGACAAATGGCATCACCCCTGTGACGGACGTTCTTCCTGCCGTAGGTCATACCAGTTCAAGCCAGTCGATTGGCTTTGATGCGACGTTAGTAGTCATCCCAGGCTAATCCACCGTAAACAGTGTGACCTGTGCCATGCCAGAAAGGTTTCTACCGCGCCGGAGCTGAACGTATCTCTCTTGGTATAGCTGACTTCTACGTTGTCAAATAGGTCAAGTGTAATCGGCAAGCGCCATGCGCCAACTGCGCAGACGCCGGTGCGATGTGTAGACGCCAGCGCGGTGGACGTACATCGAAGAAGAGAACCCTTCAGAGGTCTGCTGGCATTCAGCTCCTTCTCATCAGGGAGACTCTTACTCTGACGTCAATTCGCAGCTTTTTAAGCCCCCAGGAAACCATAGTCGACTTTGACAGACAGATGTCCAGAAGGTACGGGAACCACTAGCTAAAGTCGATGACCACGTCTCTAAAGGAAAGTGCTTTCAGACAACGTCCAAACCCTGGCCGCACACTCACAGACTGTAGCCCTCCTAGACAGTCTGAGTATCCAGATTCAACTTCAATAGCTAGGCCTCCCTCTCCTGATGCTATCTCAACGACAAGTGACGAAGGGTCGAACTATCATGCAATCCAGGCAAAGAACATCATACAGATAGATCTTCAGAACCCTCGCTTTATCAGCCGCGAGCAACAGTCAATACTAAAATCGGCTCTTGAACTTGTGAGCACCATGGCCAGCCATCAGCCGCCCACAGCCCTGGAAGAAGGGAGCCATCTGCACGACCCCCCTGGTACTATTCCCAAAGTACCACCGCGTGAGCTCTTATTCATGCTTCTTCCTGGTATCGATATCTGACCCCTCCCTCACATCGACCCACTGCTGATGGAAATCAGGCCCGCCGGAATCTGTGCGTATACAGTGGCCAGATCACATATCCGACAAGGCCTATGTAAGGATGGCTACGCCCCTACTACAAGACCGATGCCAGCTCGAAGCCAAGACGTTCCACCAGTACTGCATTTGCATCTACGTCAAAGCCATTTTTCATATATATCAGGTATCACGATCCATGAACGACCTTGTTCTCCGAAAGGAAATGTCGGAATCCAGGTCCAACTATGTAGCGGCAGCAATGCGCAGCATTGAGAACTTCAACATACTCAAACCCCCAGATCTCTTGACCATCCAATCAATGATGTCTAGTGTACGTTGTCTTCCAAGTGAAAAGATGAACGACCCCCTTGGCTAAACCCTCCCCCCTCTAGGCACTGCTCATGCAGCACTTAGGGAGACCACACCAATGTTGGCTCTTTGTCTCATATGCCGCCCGACAAATCACTGCCCTCAACTATCACAAGATCCGTAGACTGCCAGCAACCTCCGAGGTGGAGCAAGAGATTCACAGTGTCGTCTACTGGTGCTATTATCTTGACCAGACCTTGAGTTCTCTGCTCTGTCGGCCCTCTTCGCTACCCGACCTCGAGGTCTCTCCTACCGACCTGATCACATTAGCACCGTCGTCCCCGTACGATAGTCTTTTACGGGTTATACTTGATCTTGCCCAAGTCCAGGGCAAGCTACGGGCAATCTCTTGTGGTAACAAAATCCACCCCACCGATAGAACTCTAGAGACATGCCAGCTCCTCGAGGCCAAAATGCAGGCCATCCTTCCACGTTTGCAGGCGGTATGCCCTACACCACTTACCGCTGACACGAAACCGTTCATCTAAGCAAGGCTTTTATCTAGAATCGTGATTGTCATCCCAAAATGGTCCAGTATGACTGGGTCGGCGTGGACTTTTGCTACTACGCCATATTTGTCGAGATCCACCGTACCCGGCTGAAAAGGGCATTCAGCCCAAAGGTTCATCAGGAATGCCTCATCGATGCGCGCAAGTCGCTCCGAGCTTTCCACTTCCTTCAGCAACACCCCGCCGAGCTACCTGGGTTTGATGATCCCTATCCTTCGTTTTTGACATGGTGCGCGTCTTGTTCCCCCGTTCCGTCCTCCACTGCAAACAGTTCAGACTAATGGAAGACCACCCCAGGACCCTATTCCTCTATCCCCTGAGCGCCTTCTTTGTCGTCTTTTGCAACATCATCGGCACTAAGGATCAGAATGATTATGAGCTCATGGGCCGGATCATCCAACGTCTGGAGCCGTTCAAGCAGGATCGCCACCTAGGCAAGCTCCTGAACCTGCTGCAGTCGTTGGAGCGTCTCTGTGAGCCCCTTTTCCGGACAACTGGTGATGGCGTTGTTTCTGGCTCCGAAGTTGTCGTGCCTGACGGCGATGCATCAGTGACATTCGCTGAGACCAGCGTCGACCATGCCGACAACACGGCTTCCCTTGGCGCTTTCCACCCCGTTTTCTCCGGAGCCACTCTGGGGTCTATGCCCGCCACCACCACGACCACCACGACCGACGTGGACCCCTCTGCTGACTGGCTGATGTGGCAGTTGTTCAATAGCCAGGTTCCACCGGGATGGCTGGACGAAGGTGTCGAGCCTTTCGATGGTGGCCCGATGTAAAGGACGGGCCAGACGAGGACAAAATATCCATCCTCGGGCCATGTTCATGTGATGAGGCGGTAATCTACGTCTTCCGGGCATGCGTCGTTGGCACAGAACGGAAGTGGAACAAACAGTCCGCAGCTGAGAAGGCCCTTGACGGGATGAAGGGAAGACGTTTACCGACTCGGTCGGACTTCCGGCCAGGCTCGGATCTCCGAAACCCTTGGATCGGCCGTCATTTTCTTCTTGATACAATGAAATCAATCCTCATAGTGCGCATGCATTCATCAACTCTTTCTACTGCTATTTCATCATTACCTTCCCGCCTCGAAACCTCCCTGCACACCGTATGTTGGAAAGAACGCTCACCTTCCTCCGCATCAAACATCACAAAGTCCTAAATCTTCGAGAAACACAAGCATAGCACATCACTTTACATCATACTATTAGAGACTTATCAAAATTCAAGGAGCAAAAATCACACACGACCCAGGGTCACTTCAATCCTAACTGTGGGAAAAAATGCACCCGAACAACAAGGACGCAGGATTTACCGTCCACGTGGACGCCCTCCCATGGCTGCCCCTTGCGCCGCGCGTCTTCATCAAGGTGGTCAAACTGGTCCCCGAGACGGGCGAGTACACGATCATGGTCCGCGCCGAGCCGGGCGGCCTCCTCCCGCGCCACCGCCACGTCGAGAGCGCCGAAATCTACGTCCTCCGGGGCAGCGGCGCCCATCCGCAGACGGGGGCCTTTGTCGCCGGCGACTATGTGTCCGAAAGTACAGGCGCGGTGCACGATCCGCTGCCCTTCGACTGCGAGACCGAGCTGCTGATGGTCAGTCGCGGGCCCTCGGTGTTCCTGGGGGATAACGGGGAGGATTTGCACGTCATGGACGTGGAGATGCTGCAGGGGATGATGGCGGCGGCGGCGGCGGCGGCGGATAGGGCTTAGTGTGGTTGTATGGGTTCCTGTCCTAAGATATCGTGGGAGCTGGGAGGTCTTGAGGTGCTTTCGTTCTTCGGTGGAGATGGAGGAAGGTGGTTGTCGCGGCGAGATGCTTCTTGGCGTTGATACGGCGTCAAGCATACCTGATACAGCACAGTTGGGACTATGAAAAGCTCTATTCCAGACTATCTAACATGTTTGCGTCGTAGGCAAGTTGCGGTTTATGAGCACAATTGTGGGTCACCCACAGCGAAAATGTTATGTCTTAACCAGTTTGGCTTGCCCGGTGGCTAGACAAAACAGGATCGGTCCTGAAGGAAGGCGTCAAATAAGAAATCATCCTCAATGAACCCTGCATTGTCGTTGGACTGAGCCACCAAATAGGATTAGCTGTGGCCGATGGGAAGAAGGGGCTATTTTCATACCAATGAGTCCAGACCAATCGAAGTGTCGTGAAGCATTGCTAGTGGAGACCGCTCTTGTGAGCTAGACTCTGGTTCACTGCAACACCTCAATTAGCCAAACAGGTAAGCCCGGCAGGGATGCTACGGCAGGAAGTCTTACACGGGCTGGATAGGGGAGTCGCACGCGAGTAAAGATGCCCGCGCGGTGTGTAGGAAAGTGCACACTTGGATTGCTCGACTTGCAGCTTGTTTGTCATTAATGACACTCGTCTCCGGGGATGTTCTGGTTTTGACGAGACCGATGATCATGCTGAGAAGATAGTACTCGTTCAGTCCATGCAGCGTTCTACTTATCCTTGTTTCCAAGATCGCCAGGACCTGCTCAACTGCTCCAAGGAGGTGTCCTGCTACCCCCAAGGAAGTGGTCATTGAGATGGCTTCTTCTCGGCGTGAAATGTCAACATAGTGTTTCTTCTCTCCCATCCGCCTATTTTCTTTTTCGTTTTCTCTTCGGATCAAAGCACGGTACTTTCACTCACCGCAAGGACTATGAGAAAGAAAAATCTCATGGCAAATGTTCAAGGCGGCCACCATCAGCCCAGTTTGACAAGCGTGCTTCGGGAGAATTCCGTCGTCGTCGAGTCTTCGGTAGCATTCCAACACTGTCGTGCTAGCATCCAAACGAGCTCTGCGACATATGGTTGAGTGGAACGAGTGCGGGGACTGGCAGATGAACCTGGTATACAATAAAAGCAAATACTGACAGAGCTGAATCTTTAGCAGAGTGCTTAAGTACATCGCCAGTTTTTGCTGGCGGGGATCTGCTGCGCGACTATCCCAGTCTGGGATATTTTGAAGCGCTGTGTGCAAAGCCTCCCCCAGTTCTTGCACTTGCTCAAACTGCATCGTTCCATCGCAGCCGTTGACATATGCGCATATGGCAAGTCTGGTCGGCAAGGATTGTAGCAGAGTGACCTGAAACGAGGTATCAGCCATTTTCCCCGGAGGTACGGCAACCTCCGTACAGTCAAGAGACTCGCAGAGCTTATCATCATTAATGTGCAGGGGACAGGCTATATAAAAGTCATCAGGTCGCAGAGTGGGCGGCATGCCTCGTTCTAGAGCGGCTTGGACATCCAGCTCTACGATGGTCATCCATAGCCTCCGACGAATCTCCTGATCGTAGGAGGAGATTCGAGCTGCTGGGCTGATCTCCCGGTGGTATCCCGCCGCCATGGCCAGCCGCATCAGTTCGCCGCTGCCGGTCCAGAATGAGCTGCTTTGTATGTAGTTCGCGCGCTTGGCAATAAGCACCAAGCATCGACCTGCAATTGCTTCGCGAGATTGTGGCACAACATTGTTGGTGGAAGTCAGCCATGATTCAGCGGCGTCGATCCAATTGACTGTTTGCATGTAGATTGATGCTTTGGTTTCGTTTTCGAGGTAGGTTTCGGAATGCAGGCTGGCACCAGTTGCAAGGACCAAAAGCAGCTGGGCGAGAAAGAAAGGAGCTGTTGACGTGGAACCGCTCCAATGACAATGATACTCGACCATGAAAGCCGACCGGTCCAACACGCGATATGTGGTTTCGAAACGATCAAGATAGGTCTGGACTAGCGCATCCGACACCGACTTGCTTGGTATCACAGCCTTGAGAACCGTTGTGCCCACCGGGACACTGATGTGCTTGCCAAAGGTCGTGCTTTCATGGTTTGGTGGAAAGACTCCGTCTCTCGCCACATTTATCGCAGGGTACTGAGCTTTCACACCGGCAATGTATGATCGAAGTGCGGGAAACTATGCCTTTTTGTGTTATATTGCCCAGATCCTATCTACTTGGAAAGGAGATATTGGATATTCACCTGCTGATAGAAGTTCATGTGATAGCTATACCCGTAGAACTGAACAAGGCCGCCCCTGCGACGGAGATGAGTCATTTCGTGAATTCCAGCCGGTGTGGGCTGGGATTCTGCTTGTAGGCCACTCTCTGACGACAACACTCTAGGCACCGGTGCAGCTTCCTGATAGTTAGATCTGGCAGGGCTGGTCATTCCATCTTTCTGATGAGTCGAAACCCCGCGATACGTGCACTCCTCGGCAATTCCGGCCCTCACACACCGGCTGCAGGATGGGAATTCCTTGCCACACTTGACTTTCCGCTGATAGCACTGGATGCAAGCCAGTGGAGGTCGTCTTCTTTTCGTACCCGGTTTCAGTGTCCGCTTCATTCTTCTTTGAGACTGATCCCTTGTTTTGGGGTGAGGAAGCTTGCTGAGTACGGTTGTTCGGACAATTGCGGGGATTGCCTACTGCGGGGCAGGGAACCATGCCTATGATATATCGCGGTTACCACCGGGCTCGGCAATTTATGCGTAAAGTCCGCATCCCGCATTTCAGTCATGCTTTGGTACCGAGGTGCTGGGAATGTGACTCTCATGATAGTACAATCTTGATGATGGGTCTTGCTTCACGGTTCAGATTGTGAAGTTCCAGCTCCTCCCGGAAAGCAAATCCTAGGCAATTATGGTTTCGCCTTGATAGTTAATGCTACCCCACGCTATTCTGAACAGATGTTCTTGGCTTTGTTGTATTGGAGAAAGGGTCTGGGCCCCCATAGAGCGAGCATAATTCAGTCATAATGTTGTCTCATGCGGAATAGAACTCCGTGTTGTGTTCATAGTCGAAGCGGCGCCAAAGCAGTTGTGCGGAGGATATAAACCTTCCTGCATTCTGTGCAAAGGCCTTCGTCCAGTCTTACATCCAGACTGGTGATTTTGACTAAGAGTCTCGAGCTGAATAAAGTCAAGGTTATCTGCCCAAAAGCGTGAAGCCTGTTTGCTCGGGGAGTCTTCATTTGAAGGCCGCACAGGTAATAACGAAAGAGCCATGTTGAGGCTCGAAGAAAATGGTATTCCTGATGCATTTTCCTATTACGTGACAAGTTTGAGACTGGCCCTCTAATTCACCTCGGAGTATTAGGCCCACGCATTGTGCTTCTTGTGACCACCCCAATCGGCGGCTCCTTTGAATATATTCGGGGCGCAGTAGGATATGATCCCAAACTATACTCACCCATCGAATGGTCCAGCCACCAGAATAGCAGCCTGCCAAACCTGAAATCCCGTCTCCGGTTTGTGACCCATTACGCCATGTGCGTGATTGAAACTGCGGTCTGGGAAAATACCGACATGACTCTGCTCGAGAAGTTCCGATACACACAGTTTTGGGAGCATCCTGGAGACGCGACTATGAGTGTCCCCTCTCACAGCAGTGCAAGCAGAAGCAGCGTGAAGGGCGTGGATGCCCATGCAGGTTGGAACTGGTGCGAGGATGAAATTTGCCGCATTGAAAGCGGTGATGTGATCGGGCGCACCCGCATGATCGATACAGAGATCGTCCAGAGTACATCTTCCGACTCAATTCAGTTGTGATGACTTAGTGCTAACCTGGGATACTTAGTCTACAACGACATGCGCCGAGGTTGGGCATGTATGTCTATTTTCTGGAACTGTCATGCTCTTGCGATTCGCCTGGCCTATCTTGTTGCTGTACCCTCTAGTCATGCACTGATCTTTCTCCGTACTTTGATGAGCTGGCTCTGGCAGGCCCTTGTGAGAGAGTACTATACTTGGACGGCTAGAGCAGGGAGAATGTGCATGGCGGGGGGGTTGGCAGGGTTCCTGGGGGGTGTCATTTCAGCCCCATTCCTTGCCGCCGCCGGTACGGGTTGTTTCCTTGTTGGTTGGTCGACAGGGGTCTCTGGCACAGTCGCAGCTGGATCCAGAAGCAGGCTGAAGTTGAAACTTATGCTCAACCTGGAGAAGATATTCCCATAGCTCAAGGAGCTTCATCGGCAAGCATACTGCTGACCCCACGCTTGTCATATACTGAGGTTCCAGGTCATGTTGAATTTCATTCTTAACCGTTAATGGCAAAACTGTGTTTAGAGCTTCGAATTTACTGGCTGAAATCCAACTGGTAGAAGAGTCAAATTCACCTCGTCTAGCAAAGGTTGTATTCGACCCTGCCCAGCAACTTGCCCCCGGCAAACCAAGCATCCATCGCTTCAGCCATCGCCTCCACATAAGCCCTCGGAGAATCATCCGATATCGCCTTGACCAGAAGCTCCTGCGACATCTCATTCGTGACATCCGCCCGGCAGGAGTCGACCACTTTCGCCTGGTAACTGCGCATCGCCTGGTTCAGATCCCCTGGATGCGCAAGAATCGCCTCACAGAGGTCCACCGCGTCCAGCATCGCCAGATTTGCCCCCTCGCCCGCAAACCAGGACATAACATGTAGAGCGTCACCGATCAGCGTCAGTCCCTGACGATGCGGATACCGCAGTCCCGAGGGCATGCGATACTGCGCACGGGGCGTCATATTCGCGTCCGCATTCCGAACAACAGCCTGGAGACGAGGATCCCATGTCGCAAAGAATTTCTCAATCAAGAACTCGGTCATTTTCTTATGATCACCCCAGTCGAAGGAGGGGTCACTCCATGCCCATTTCTCCTCCACCCGGAGACAAGGGTAGACGCGCACGCTACCGTCTCCGTTGCGCTGGATGAAGATCCCGCTTCCCTCGGAAAGGCAGAAGAAGGTGCCCCGGCCCACAAATTCACTGAGCTCGGGGAATCGTTCATCGATGTTGGATATGCGGCAGTCAATGACTGTCAAACCGGTGTACTCGGGCCTCCAGCCGGTCAGCATCGGTCGGACCTTGGACCACGTGCCGTCTGCTCCGACGACCAAATCGGTGAACACGGGGTCCTCTCGGCCTTGGAACAAGAGCTTGACGCGACCATCAGCCAGGGGCACAATCTCTGAGACGGAGTGGTCCCAGCGGATGTTGTCGGGGTCCAGGGATTCGATCAGGATCTTGCGCAGCAATGACCGGTCAATTTCCGGGCGGCCCTCTGCGTTTGCGGATGCCTGGTGGTAGAGCCAAGTTGCTGCGGTCTTGTCTCCGAAGCGATAGTCTTGGTCGTGGTAGCGGGCGTGCTTCTGGAATTGATCCCAGAGGCCCGCTTCCCGTAGGGCCCGTTGCCCGGATTCCGGGTGAAGGTCGAGGGATCCACCCTGAAATCGCGAGCTGGAAGAGGTCTCGCGCTCGAAGATGGTGAAGGGGATTCCATGCTTTTGCAGCAAGGCTGCGAGAGTGAGGCCTGACGGACCCGCGCCGATAATAGCGATGTGCTGTGGCATTATGCTGTTGAGGAAGTGTGATTATTTGTTGAGCGAGACAAAGCTTTGGAAAAGAAATAAGTATTTCTGTTTGTGTTGAACGTCCAGATAACTGCACACAGTATATTCATATTTATAGACGTCGAGAAGCCAGCGGTCTGCGAAGCTCTATACAAGTAAAGCCTCACCCAGAGCTCGGTCTATTCCAATAGGCCGACGAAATGTCCGAGGCCGGCTCGGCAAACTCGGACACCCCCTGTACCCAGCCAAATTGAGCTGTTTGTCAAGAAATGTAGCAGCTGGTCTGATCCATAGAACGAAGATTGACCAGACAAATCAACTATCATGAGGCTCTGAACATCTGTAATTCGAGCTGCCTGTACTTTCTTGGTCTCAAATGATGCAGTAACTTCAAGATGGATAACCACACCCTATTCCCTCAACTGTAAACAAGGTTTTCATCCTAGCATCTTGGTGTCAGTCTCTCTGATGAAGTATGCGTCAGGACACGGTGAAACATATTCTGCTACGTAAAAGGTATCTTTCCCACCACATGGGCATCTCTCACCTCACCCTACGTCAGATCCATTCACTCAGACTTATGTAAGATCTCGTCCTCTTCCTCCCAATCAAGCAAATATCTTGAACTTCCTTCCCCCACCAATCCTTCTTTCAAGACTGATGTCCAGAATATCCATCGTCGCAACAATGCTCACCTCGAAGCCCACGATCATTCTAGTTCAAGGCTCCTTCCAGACCCCGCTCGTTTATGAGCAACTCAGAACCGGCCTTCACAACGCGGGATATCCCGTCGTCCACCCCAGACTCCCCAGCATCTGCACCGACATGAACGACAGTGAGTTTCTTTCTTGTACACTAAAAGACGATGTAGACGCTGTCACTACAGCCCTTAAACACCTCGTCGAAGAAGAGAAGAAATCAGTGGTGGTTGTGATGCACTCCTACGGTGGCATCGTGGGCACCGAAGCAATCCCCAAGCACCTCACCCACGCGGCGCGGCGCGCCCGGGGACACCAAGGGGGAGTCCTCCACCTCTTCTACTTTGCTGCCTTTATCCTGCCCGAAGGTAAATCCGTACTCGAGGCCTTCGGAGAGTCTCCGATCAATGACGTGCAGGTATGCACACCCAAAACTCCGGGTCCTTTCCACTTACCTGGAAGGCAACCAGTCTCCTTTTCCCTGTTTTTCGATCATGTGCATCATTTCTCGCTGACCCGGAGTCCATACAATTTACAGCCAGATGGCAGATCCCGATTGGAGAACGGCGCCCAGACAGTGTACGGCGACCTCCCGGCTGCGGAGGCGGCGCTATGGGAATCGCGCCTCGTCCCCCAGTCGTACGCGGTGCAGACCACGTGCACGACCCGGGCGGCGTACGAGTACCTGCCTTCGACCTACCTGGTGTGCGAGGGGGATCAAGCAGTCCCGCCGAGTTTTCAGGAGGGGTTTGCGGGGCTGGCCCGCGCGGAAGTGGATCGGTGCACCGCTGGCCACTCGCCGATGCTGAGCCAGCCGGCTATGTTGGTGGGGAAGATTGCTGCGGTGGTGGATCAGGCGGGCGCGGCGGCGGCGGGGTCGAGCTTGTAGGCGCTAGACTTAATTTGTGTGCAGATCGGCGGGTGCTTGCGCCTGTCAGAGTCGTAGTATCATTGGTTCATGGCGAGAGTTTGTAAGTGTGAGTGTGAGGACCAGATATCGGGTTTCGCCGGGGGTGGGATTTGTAAGCGCCACCGTGATAATATGAGGATGACTCTCGGGCCTACGATTCTAATCTTGTATATATGTCAAGTAGGAACTCAGAGTGAGACAATTTAGGTCTAATTTCCTTTCTCCTCAGATATAGGGATTTTGTAAATGGCTTTTCCGGCATTGTATAACCATGCCCGATTGTGCCGCACACATTCTCTTAGGAAAGACAAGTTAAATGAGACTCGACTCCATAACATCCTGACATCCTGCCAGTTGAAGAGCGAGTGGTAAGATATCACAATCAGGGTGAGATGAACTGTGCAAGGGGACCTTGTTTGTTGTTATCAAGGAGCACTAGGGATCAATATACTAACGGGTTCTTTGATGTCTATCGAATCCCAAAACAATAGAACTTCTCCATAGCTGCAGAAAGAGTCTACAGGGGGGGGAAGGGGGGGTGTCTGAGAAGAGATGGTAGAGCTAGAAGCCAGAGTGATGAAAAGTCGAGGAAGAGGCTCAGGTTGGATATAGGTACATTCACTATGTGATAGTCGCAGTACATTGAATGAACAGTCTCAACGCGTCAGTCACTCCAATGGCATCAACTCTTACTGACTCCATTCACTATCCTCTTACAGAATCTTTTTCTTCCACTGCAACCTCATGAGGGAGACTTTGAATTTCCCACTCAACGCGAGCTTTGACCCTCCTACTTCCATCTTACTGCACACCTTCTCCTATCCGCAAAGTCCTCGACCGAGCCTGGTCGGAAATCTGAGCCACCATTCTTCAAGATACTCGTGTTACCCTATCTTTAGTCACTATGGGACAGGATACCAGCAACTCTGACGACGCGGCTTCGCACGCGCTTATCCTAAGCAACGCGCTCCTTTTGCAGGCCAAAATAGGGAAATACACTGATTTCGCCCTCTAATGTGACGGTACCACCTTTCCTGTGCACAAGGCGGTCGTGTGCTCTCAGGTCGAAGCTTTCGCTGCTGCCTGCGAGGAAAGATTCCAGGTACGAATACATAATTTGAAACCAAACGACTCTGGCAGCTGAAATGACTGCGTGAAGGAGGCATGCACAGGTGTCTACCATATTGACGGATTTCAAGCATCGACTGTAGGCTACATGGTGGAATACTTGGATGCCGGGGATTATACCACCGAGTCCGAGCGCAAGCGCGATACCACCGGTCTGTGTCTACGCTGCTATGACAAGGTTTCTGGGATGCAAGCTAACCAGTGATGGCTGTCAGAAGACTGTACCCGCAAAGGCGGAACCACCTCACGCCCCAACCGTTCGACTCCATTTCTATCTGGGATCTTGATTGCCCACATCCAGGTCGCTGAGATTGCGGAATATTATCAGGTGTCGAAGCTGAAGGCTCTCGTTGAGAGGAAGATCGACAAAACACTCCAGATGCCATGGTCTTCTAAAGGATTTGCGACAGCCGTAGACCTGGCTTACAGGGTCCCGAATGCTGAGAGCATACGTGACAAAATGGCGGGTGTTCTGGTGCAACATCTCGATGACTTCCTTTCCGATGAAGCGGCAGAGAGCCCATTTGCCGATGATGTGTCTGTCCGCGTGTTGTGTCTGATGCGCGAGGCGAGCAAGGCGTCTGCCAGGTCCATTCAAGCGCTGCACAGCGAGTGCAACAGCCTCAAAGAGCAGCTTGCCCGTGAGCGTGAGAAGCAAGCGCAGCCAGCGCAATATGCGGTGATGTCCGGGACCAGACTGAGACGTGATAGGAGTACTCTGTCCGCACGTTCTCGCCAATTACTTCTCACGCCCCGTCGTACTAATCAGTTACTGCGTCTCGACTGAGCCATGGTACGGTGCATGCAGACGCCTCGGTGGCCTTCGTGCTCGTCAGGATTCTTGCTAACAGAGGTTTTACTTTCGTCCTGCGTGTCTGTTGCTAGTGAGGCGGTCCATATGTGCACCCTCGAAGCTTTGGTGAAGATAACCTGACGGGCAAAGGTTTCGATATGGGGACAGCTTTGTCGGGAGGAACTGCGCTGGAATGATTCTGATTGGCTTCTTGTTATTTCGGAAGTGATTCATAATGGATTAACATGAGCTATGCAGAACTGAGGGCCTACTTAGCCAAAGTCTAAGGGCAAGTACTTGGACGGGGACTAGTTACGCAAATGGCCCATTCAGGCTATTTTTAGGATCATCATCGAAGGGAAGGAATCTTGTAAGCATGAAAGTGGGATTCGTTTAATTATTCACTTTTTCACACTCACCCCCGACCTCTGGAATAAGCTCACCATCCCAGTAGCTTAAGTCCCTGCTATGCTGTCTCACACGAAGACAGTGTTAGAATTTGCTCGCAACGCAGCTCCGTGCGTCTATATTGCCACAGGCAGGTATGATCTTGTACTTGAGAGGAACATATATGAACTGAGGGTTTTCCTCCACTATTCAGGATCTAATTCTCAATACGCTTCAGGGCGACCGCACAACTTGTAGCAAATGATATCATCATCATTAATGATGCGTTGACGCAATGAGACTGCGTCAACGGCTTCAGCAATTCTTGTCGTGCACATGCAGCAATAGCTCTTAGCCCATGGGCGGGAATGGCGCACTACATGCATTCACCTTGATTCCAACGGGGTGAATGTGTGGCCTAAATGGAGGTGCAAGGAGGATCAATCATTTGACCACAAAGTGATCGATCCAGCCTGCTTGAACCAACGGGCCAGCTAATGCTCCTGCGAAGCCGAGTTAGGAGCTTTATCAAGCAAGACCTATCCAATATCGATGAGCGCGCAGATATCTTCACCGTCGTCCACAAATGAAGTGCCCGTTTCAATCAGACCTCATCTCTGACGAGGTAGGCGTAATGCTCCAAGCTCTCCCCAATCATGCGAGCAATGGGCCAGGGGCTATTACAGGCGATGAACATCTGCGCCCACAACTTCGGCACCGCGAATTTCAGAAAGCGGATTGTTTCCTGTGGGCGGCGGAGCTCATCGTCTGCGATCTCGTATTCGTCACTGTCTGTCTCATCGTGGGACTCGAGACCGTCCCGCACCACGCGGATGATCCATTGGATGATCTGTCGTTCGTAGTCTGCCAGCACATCTTAGCGCTGCCATATACGTAAAGAAGTCGACTTCCGGTTGAAAAGAGGGACCTACCGGTGAGAGGCACGCTGGCGCAGTTCTGCGCCACCACCTGCAGCCATTTACTGGTGAAAACCGCAAACTCCAGTCCACAGAAGACATGATACAAGCTCCACGAGAAAGACTGGCGCGTTGAAAAGTACGCGACGCCCATGTGGACAGAGATGCGGAGCGCGTGGATCGAGTGGAGCAAGGCGTGAGGCAGATGTGGGCTCCGCTCCGGCAGCGGACATTCGTGGAGCTTGGCCGCGACCGTCGGGGGGTCGCAGCTTTGCAGCTGGCGCCAGGGACCCAGGTTGCACTGCAGCCGGACGTGAGCCATGCCCAGCAAGGCGGTGGAGGCGAAGGCCATGGACCCGTAGGTGTCATGCAGATCGTGGACGGTGTCTGGGGACGCCTTCCAGGTGATCCGCCAGTTGTTGAGGGCCCGCTCGAGGCTGTCGGTTTCCGCGGCGGAGAGGGAGGGGCGGTCTACGTCCTGGGAGAGGGAGTTTGCCAGATAGATTCGTTGGAGGAGCGCATGAATGAGAACATAGTTTGCCATCGGAGAAAGTGATGGGGTGGGAACTTGGGGCTGGGTGGTGGCCAGCTGTGAGCGGAGGCATTCCCTGAAAGAGATCGCAGGTGGCACTGTGGTCCGAGCAGCGAGCCATTCCGATGGCGTCGCGGCTATCCATTCACGGCACGATGAGGGCAGAGAGAGATCGAGCTCGTGGCTCAACACCATTGGAGGCGTGTCGTATAGTATTGTCTGTTTCATCAACAGACAGTATGCGCTGAAAATGGTACGTATGTCTTCCTCGATCGAGGCCCACTGCCGCCAGTTGTCCCCGGCCTTGGCGTGGTTGTGTTGTGGCATAGGAACGCTACGAAGAAGCGAGGCAATCCATCCTTGACACTCCAGAGACTCACGGATGAAATCACCGTCCTTTTGGGACAATGCGAACGTCGCCACCAGGACGAGTGCGCGCAGTCGGTCCATTGTACCACGCCCGGGTATACCGGCCTTTGCCGGGCTCGAGAGCGGCCCGCCGCGGGTTTGACGGTCAACAATAACCGACCTAGCTGCGTGGTACAAACGGCGAGCCATTTTTGTTTCGTATCGATAATGCGCGCCCATTGCTAGAAGTGCTAGAACAAACTCTGGGCTTCTTGCCGGGGAGGCGATGCTGAGCGTGGGTATGTGAACGAGGGGATGATGATTGCTATAACCGTCCACGTAGCCCTTCATATACCGCCCGAGAGCGGATCGGGATGGGAGCTTGAAGTCTCCAAGTGAGGTCTGAAACGGAGTCAGTGATTGGGTGATCGCAGCTCGTTGAGCTTCGCTGACCACCCAGGGATCAAGCGTAGGCTTCAGCTCTTGGAAGTCGTCTATCTTAAGTCAGTATCTTTGGTTTGTCCTGGAACAGACCTGCTGGGGCTATGCACACCGTTATCAGTCGCACCATCGGGTACTCTTGGACGACTGTGATTTGGGGTCACGTTTGTCTGATCGGAGAGCATGGCGCTTACCGGGACGATAGGCTGGACCTCTTGATGATCGACCCCCATGCCCGGGTTCATTGTGCTCCAGTCAAAGTCCGAACTCACCATATCCATGAACCTTGAAAAGTCTAACACCGGATCATCATAGACTTTGAGAAGATCATCAAAGTACAGTGGGCTATTTACCGGGAGAGATTGCTGGGGTACGGGATCAACAAACCCCGGGTAATTGGCAGGGGTAGGAGGCTGCGCCTGTTCAGACTGCGCAGAATTCCTATCTTGTAAGGAAGGACCCGTCGTGGTTGACTCCGGAGCTATGTTGAGGGGTTGCTCGCTTACTAGGTCTTCAATCAGCCCGACGCTGGCCTTTAGGGGAGGGGACTCACGTACATTCGACCGGCCAGTTACCCGCACGAATTCCATGGTTTAGTCGCTCATGCCTCCTCAGCAAATCCTTCCGTGTGAAAGCTCGGCCGCAGGGACAAGCAAAAGGCTTCTCTTTGGTATCTATTCCTAGGTTAGGTCGGCTGAAGGCATTCTTTAAATCTCTGGAATGGGGGCATTACGGGTTCTCCGATGACGCTGCAGATGCTCTAATCGTGCAAACGAACGCAGACACAAATTACAAATTAGCGACCGTTCGGCACGTTTTGTTGCTCCCGAAGACATGGCTTGGCCGCTGCAGAGTCCGTTGCAATGTGGGGGCTGAGCTTTGGGGATCTCCAATTGATGGAGGATTGAGGGGGGAGAAGCTCGATCAGGTAGAGGGATAACTCATTGAGAGAAGACGCAGGTTCGGGAGGAGATTTGGGGTTCGCGGATTGCGGGTGATGAGATGAGGGGGAAGGGGGGTCCGTGGTTAAAGAATGCAGATTGGAGAAGGAGATTGTCAACTGGCAGTGTAGTTTGGGGATTCAGTATTGGGGATTTGGGATTTGGGGTTACATCGGTTGGGGTTGTGGCTTGATTAGTCAGCGCCGGTCATGCATTCAATTTCACCACCATACTTTACACAAGATTAGGTAATTAGCATTTATAAAGATGAAGTCTTACTTCCCCTGAGCATCAGGATGAAAGTCACATCTTCTAGCTTTGAAATGACGGTGAGGACGCTCAAAGAAGGCAGTTATTGAATCCCGGGACCCTGTCCTGCCTGGAACTTGTAAGCCGGGAGGTCTGCGCCTCAGGCAGAAGCCGGGCCCACTTGCCCACTTTTCCTTTTCCTTGCTCGATGTGCATTTGGTTCGGTGAAGCTAGTCAATCTGTTGCAATTCTAAATCTCAAAATCATAAACGCATGAAGTACCTCCATCACAAAAGATCAATAATGTCTAGACGCTGAGGCCATGTCGCTATGATGACATCATGAATCTATTTCTTCTTTAGATATATATCTCCCACCCGCACCAACACTTCCGGAATGAGGACTCCAGACTCCGCGTTGTTCTTGCATGTTTTGCAAAAAGCAAGATCGTACTGCGAGCAGTTTCTTATAAATTCCAGTTTCTTGAAGTTATCGAGGTCAACTACTGTCGAAATATCTAGGTTGTGACTTATGTATTTGTCACATGCAAGTAGTCCGGGCTCACGTCTCAACAAGGCAAACCATCCTGTATATATCAGGGTTCTGACCTCAGCGGAAGACATTCTCAAGTATACAACCCTTATTATGAAGCCCACGCCCTTCTTAGGCCCCGACTCATACAAACTGCGCATATCGGCAGAAGTGGCCGACTATGACACATTTGGCGAACTGGACGGCGCCGCCACCAGGGCCACCAATAGTATTCCTCGTTGCGAACAACCATCTTTGAAGAGACGTTGATTGCCAAGAGGCGTTGTTTCAATAGGCTCTTCGAATGTCAGTCGACGAGGTCAGCATGAAATGGTTGACTTATTTTTTAAGATAATGCGGCTGACCATGACTTACTGATAGCTGGATCGCTGGGGTGGCCGATAGCTTGCGGGCGGGTCGAGCCCCAACTATTTACCCCGAACTCTGATCGATTCTCAACTGGATTACATCACAGACTGCAATTTATAACTCTACATCAACTAACTCCAAGTCTGAAATTGTCTCCATATACAGTTTTCATCTTCCGCTCACCACTAAGCACAAGCAATGGCGTCGCTTCATCTACCACAGTCCGCCAACACCGTCGAGGTCTGCCTCATCGACTCGTAGGTTCTTTTCCCGGTGACTGACTGCCCTCTTACCAAAAGCCCGGCTCACGCATCGAACATCATGTAGAGGTGCCCGTCTGGACTTCCCAGCGCAGGAATTCATGACCCCGGCAATCCGAGGCTACGACCGCATGGCCGTGCCATCATACTGCTTTCTTGTTACGCACCCATCGGGCCAGCGCATCTTGTTCGACCTCTCCATCCGGTCCGACTTCCAGAACCTGGCCCCGATCTTTGCCGAGCGCTGCACCAACACTGCCAGCAGTGACTGGAAGATATTCTCCCCGTACAACGTCTCAGATATCCTGGTCACGAACGGGGTGCCGCTCACTGAGATCAACGCCATTATCTGGTCGCATTACCATTTCGACCACACCGGCGATCCGTCCTTGTTCCCCACGTCGACTGATCTGGTCGTGGGGCCGGGGTTCACCAGGAACTTTACACCGGGATGGCCCGAGCAACCTGGTTCTCCGGTGAAATCAGCAGATTGGGCAGGCCGCAGCCTGCGAGAAATCCAGTTTGACGAGCAGCAGCTGAAGATCGGTCGCTTTCCCGCCGTGGACTGGTTCGGCGATGGAAGCTTCTATCTTCTGCACACCCCAGGTCATACACCGGATCACATGGTTGGATTGGCTCGCGTGCAGTCGGACTCATTCGTTCTCATGGGTGCGGTAAGTGATTGCTCAGCTGCGTTTCCTCTAACCCCCATCCGGCAACACAGCCCTAAAGCCTGGCGAAGAACTTGAAGAGCCCAACAACCCACTGACGCAAATCCCACGAGGGACGCATAGGATTTCGCTCACCACCCCGGCGAGTTCCGACCCTCAAAGCACATTCCTATCCCTGAGACGATCCAGCCATCTCCACTGCCTTCCCACCCCCGATTCGGGAGTGTCTGTCCCGGCCATCTCTTCCACTCCTTGGGCCGTCACCCAGGGGCGAATGACAGGGCGTTCTTCGAGCCCGCGGAAGAGTTCACCAATGACTTCGACCAGTGTCTCTGCACAATTGATGGCCTCACCGAATTTGACGCTGACGAGCGGGTCCTGGTGCTGACGGCCCACGACCACAGTCTCTTGCCTATCTTCACGGGCGCCGAGGATGGGGATGCCGGCTGGTGCTTCCCGCATCGGACACTCAATGGTTGGCGGGAGGCGGGGCTGGCCGAACGGGGAAGGTGGCGGTTTCTGAACGATTTCCGGGATGCCGTTGGGGAAGAGTGAGGGCCTGGAAAAGTGGGTAGAAAGTTGGAGATTCGGGGATTCGGAGAGTTGGGGGTGGGGCAGATAGAGTTCGGAGAATCAAGCTGTGAAGTCCTTCGCTTTTGATTCCTTCGCTTTTGATTCCTTCGCTTTTGTGGATCTAGATCGCTGTAACACTTTACGTAATGGGATGTTGATTCTGGGTTGTTTCGTTTACATTAGTCACAATATAATCTTCAATTCTCAAGCGCAGAGTCACGTAAGACCTATCCAGTCGGTTGTCGAACTATGTGGAAGCCACTGCGTTGCATCTATACATCCGTTGTCAAGACTGAACGTGGTTGAGAATAAATGGTCCGTGGCCACCTGCATAGGCCACCCTTCCCACAGTGTTAGTACTTTGGAGTCTGTCGTCGCGTCGGGTATCGTCACTAAGTCTTGGTTCTGAACTGTACATGCGGAGTCTAGCATCGGCCAAAGCGGGTCATTCGCGGAGATGTCAATTCCCTTGAGTGTCTGCGGAGACATTATCACGTCTTGACCGAGACTCTCCCTGGACCCATCCCCGTTGGATGTACTTGTCGCAGATAACTCCGTCGTTGTCTCAGTGGTAGACCGATGGTAATGAGGGTCATAATCTTCTGACTCTGTTGGTAATACTTGCAGCCGACTCAGGATCTCATGGATAAGAGGTTGCTCTTGTCCGCTGGGATGAAGCATCAACGAGTCCCGACGACATCCTCCACTGCTGCATCGATATAACTTCCGGAGCCCATCGATCAAGCGCTGGCGATCGCTCTCGAGCATTTCGACGTATCTATCCATTTCAGCCACGGTCGTGTCGAATCCGCGCTCATGTAGTGCCTTCAGTGCCTTACCCTTTAGGTATGACCCTGTCCTTAGCTCTTGTAGTCCTTTGAAATGTGCAGTTTGTACCGGAAGTCTTGCACCGGTGGCAAGGGTCTGCACCGTCACACTGCATGGGGTCTTAGTGCACAGTAGCTCAATCTGTGGAGTCGTCGTATTGTACCTTTGCCTTTTTCATTCTACAGCGATCGCAGGCCCTTGAAACCCTCTTTCTGATTCTGTTGTCGCGATGATCTTGTTCCGGGCTTGCGGAAATATTGCGGCAGGGATTTCCTTTTTCCATCGTTCTGTCGCATTAAGTAGTCTGGTGGGTTCCATCAACATGATGGGTAGAGAAAGATTATTCCGATCATATATATACACCTTGAACAGGTTCTGGAAAGTGTTCGAAGGGTTTGTAAACTAGGTGATTGATCATCATCGTCATCATTCAGGTTTAAAGTTTAAGGTGTACAGGGCGCGACAGCGCTAGGGTAGGGCGCAGTGTACCCTGAATCAGTCAATGCAATGCATTTCAGGGTACGGACCCAATTATCCCTGAGTCATAAAAACCTGGAAACTTTTCACCTCGAGGCACCTAGTTACGCCGAGTTTCATCCGAGCACATTCTCAGATTCTCTTCACCAGCAATGTTGCTTGGCGAGCACTCCCTCCAGACTGCCTTCTGCTATCCTGGCAGCCTCTATGATATTCCCTAAGACTGCATCCTGCCTCACTAACGACAATTGCAAGTTTTTGAGAGGGAAGGGAATGACGAAATTCTGAAACTAAGCACTCATAGAATGAGTTGAATAAGGTTATTGTGGCTTTCCCTGCACGTGGTTCTAGACCCTGGACGAGCAAAAAGAAAATCCCCAAAAGCCAATTCTCCAATTTCCTTACGTGGGTGGGGCTTCCCCGAATGTCCTCGGGGATCCGAGCCGCTGAGCAATTTGGAGAACCCGCCCGTTTGAAGTGAACTGCGTCATACATCAAATCCAACACATACAAATACTGTACCCCCGCTTTCTTCTTTACCTTCATCAACAGTGCAGGGCATGAGTCGAGCGAACCTGCCTCCCAACTCCCTGATCTGAGACAGGAAGGACAACACCACCAACAAGCTACCAACCAAAACCAACAATGTCAAACCTCACCTTCAACTGCGCCCTCATCACCGGCGGCGGCGGCGGCCTCGGCAAAGCGATCGCCAGCTACCTCCTGCGCAAGGGCAAGAAAGTCATTATCGCCGGCCGCACCGAGCAGACCCTGCGGCAAACCGCCCAGGAGATCGGGGCGACCGACTACTTCGTGCTGGACACGGGGGTGGTCTCGCAGATCCCGGCCTTCATCCGCACGCTCACGGCCCGATACCCCGAGGTCGACTGCCTGATCAACAACGCGGGCGTGCAGCGCCCGCTGGATGTGCTCGGGGACGCGCCCGCCGACTTCCTGGCCAAGGCCGACCAGGAGATCGACATCAACATCCGCGGGCCCATGCACCTGACCCTGGGCCTGCTGGAGCACTTCCGCGCACTCCCTCACGGCCGCGCGACGATCATGAATGTCTCGTCCATCCTGGCGTTCGTGCCGTTCTCCGTCATCAACCCGGTGTATAATGGCACCAAGGCGTGGTTGCATTTCTGGTCGATGACGCTGCGCACGCAGCTGGAGAAGGGCGGGTACGAGGGCATCAGGGTCGTGGAGGTCGTGCCGCCCTCCGTGGGGACGGATCTGCATCGCGACCGGTCGGATCCGGATGATAATAAGAAGCATAAGAATCCGAAGGCGTTGACGGTGGAGGAGTTTATGGAGTTCTTTATCAGGGGGCTGGAGGGTGGGCAAGATGTTATTGCGCCGGGGGTGAGTCAGGAGGTCGTTGATAAGTGGTACGCGCAGTTTGGGGGGATGTATGATGAGCTCGCTGGGGAGCATAAGCAATGATATCGGGATGGCACGGATGTTTAGGAAACATAGAGGGGAGTTTTGGAATTTGGGTTAGAATAATGAAAGTAAAGATTAGCGCTGCATTTCTGCAAACTGCTCTGCGGAGAAGCATAGGCAATAATGCTGCAAGAGATAAGGTAGAGTGGAGCGCCAATGTCTTCTCTGGTCATTCTCTATCATTTCGTACTCCTCTAATAACGAAACCGGAGCTACATCATTTCCTGAGATCCGAGTGTGAACCACATCCTTGCCCTCAAGAACCTTGGATGGTTACACTCCTCCAGCCGTTCCCTGTCTCCCCATCATGACGGGGCCTTGGCTGACATTCCCGGTATCAAGCACCTTCATCCCAAGCCGGGTCTCATACGACGCCTGACTCTTTGCGGCCGAAGTCCGCAGCATCAGCCACCGCAAGTACGGCAGGGGGCGGACTACCTCATCCACACAGTCGATGAGCCACCCACCCAGCCCCTGCCCTTGGTACTCCGGTAGAACATATAAGTCGGTGAGGTAGGCGAACGTGACGCCATCAGTTACCAGCCGGGCGAACCCGATCTGCTTCACATCGGCTACATTCAAGTCTCCGACCGGTCGCTGTGGGTGGCCGTTCTCATCATCGCAGAGTCGATGCGAGCGGAGGTCGTAGACGCCAAAACAGAAGGAATTCTCGATAATCTTCTTTAGAATATCTTCGGGAAACGGACTGGCCCAGTACATGTAGTCCTGTGCGAATGCATGGTTAATGGCCGTGGGCGAGAGATATCTCTTATCGGTGGAGATGAGGAATCCACCTCGGGTCCAGTGGATGGGTTCTGTGGGTAATGACATGCTTGATCACAGTGAAATCGTGCAAAAAAAAAATTATAGTGTCAACAATGGAGACTTTAACTATGAGAGATGGGTTTGGCACAGTCACGGCAGACTTTATAGCAAATAAGCTCGTGGGGGTTGATGTTCGTTGAGTCATTCTAGTCGTCAGCGCTAGGTTGGAAGTGGTATGGATGGTGGCGTGGCCCCTGCTAACCGCATCAAGTTACCATCGCATCACACCCTTAGTCAATGGTAGCAGAAACATCAACCCATCTGGACGACAATCAAAGCCATCTAATGATCACCCTTCGGAATCTTTTCATATGCAGGCAAGGCCCATTTCACCATCCATTCTGACTCGAGGATCTGCTTAGTCGTACATCGTTCCTCGGGCCTGAATGCGAGCATCGGCCGTAGCATGTCGAAAATAGTAGCCCGTTCATCGTCGCCAAGAACGGGCATCCCTTCCTGTCGTCTGGGCTGCTGCACGCGGTCTTCAAACCGATCGCTCCAAGACCGGAATGGATTGCGGTTGATGGGCCTGCCATCTTCAGTGAACTTTTCCCGTCGCGCCTCCCACCCCCTCCACCATTCCAACGGCAAGATGCCAAGGGTATCGACATGCTCACGGGTCATGTCATCCTCCGTGGCAAGGAACCCTTCGAACAGCGGTCGTTGAGCTATGATAGACCATATCGTGCAGACGAGAGTCCAGATATCCGACGCATACGATAGCGGCTTATGTGGTTCAAATCGACACTCCGGGGGACGAATGACAAGCGGTGTGCGAGATTGATACTTGAGTTCTTTCGGGTCTGAGTATGAGAAGGACTCCCCAAAGTCGGTAAGTAGAATCTTGGCTTCGGGAAGTGTGATCTTCTCACTTGCTGCGCCAAGCCATAGAGGCACAATCCCGTGAGATGGACCCCCAGGAGGAAGCGGCTTTCCATCCAAATGGATAACAGGCTCGGGCTCGGGGGCTCCATATTTCTCATATAGTTGCTTGGGTCAGAGCTGATCAAAATGGGGAGTGACTTTGAGGAGGATGTTACCCAGATGCAGGTCTCCATGCACATACCCCTGCGTATGTAGCTAGTCCGCGGCAAGGACGAGCTGGGCAGCCAATGCACGAGCGACATCTAGCTGGAATAGACGGATTCACGAACCATCCTTCAAATCCGATAGACTGGCTCGTGCTGGAGTGGTAATATGGCAAGCATGAGTCCCGTTTGGGTCGTGGACAGTGAAAGTGTCTAGGATGGAAGAGATCATTGCCTTGCCTGAGTTGTTGGTCACAAGAAAGCGAGGACGTGTGAGAGCCGATATGAGGTCCACTTTGTTATTCGAGTGCGCCGTAAAGATTTTCAGTGCCACGAGCTTTTTCTTCTGCTCATCCTGAAGCAGCCATATAGTCGAATAGGAGCCATGACCCATCTTGTGGATCACTCTATAGCGACCATGAAAATGATCACCGATTTGTATGGGGTGATAGCCCCCTGGTTGATGACGTTGAAGTCTCTCGACTCTCTCGAGAAGCTCGTATAGAACCTGGAATTCAGTATCGTCGTGAGTAGTCGTTGGCCTCCATGTGGTTGTAGCAAAAGAGCGGCGGGGCTGTTTACGCAGGGGTATCGTGCGCGCGTAGTGTGTGGCTGATGAAGCGGCCTTGAAAGTAAAGTCACAGGGGCGCAACGAGCGCAAATGTCGTCGAAGCATCGAGGAGACTGAGGAGAAGAGTTTTGACCAAGGTAGGTACGCAGTGGTGTGGGAATTCGACACAGTGAACGGGACGCGGGCCTCGTTCCCAGCCACGGATGCTTGCGGTGGTAGACGCGGCGTGGCCTCTCCTGCACCAGTCGGAAGGCTTCCACCTCCTCCCGCCCGCTTACCCGCGTTGACCCAAGCATTCACTATCCCGGTACTGTAACATACCTAGGATACTAGTGTCTACGGCACAGTCTCGTTTCCTGACTCATCCATCACAGAGTCCTCCCCCCCAGCTTACAGAATACACTCCAAGGAATCAAATTACAGAGAACATACACAATTTTCAGACTATCATATCTTAGCATCTGCGCCATTCAAGCAATTATCCCCAAGACTAACAAACACAGCTTCTATGTTAGCCCAATTCGCATACAAACGACGGACCCATCACACATCCTGCCTGAGCTCCTCCTCCTTCTCGCACGTGATCATCTGATGGTGAGCCTGCGCCACAACGCTGCGATACTTCTGCGCGAACCGCTCATCTCCCGCGAGAAAGGCAAACTGGCGCTTCCATTCCGCCCAATTCTCCCGGCTCCAGAGCTCGCGCTGTCTCACGTCCACCCGCTCCACCTTCTGGCATTCCGTGTACGCATATCGACATTCCTCGGGACCTAAGATCCACTGCGCCGCGCCGACCATGTAGTTGCCGAGTTTGTTGGGTCCGTGGATGGGTTGTCTGGTCAGGTCGGGGTACTCGTCGTCCGTGGGAAGGATGAAGCGGAGGGAGCTCAGAAAGGCGCAGTCGATCAAGCCCGCGCAGGTCAGGCGCGCCATGGCGGAATCGTAGTTACGGATGCGGTAGGGGGCCCAGATGTCTATCCAGAGCGGAAGAAGAGAGAAGGTCAATGTTGTTAGCCTTGCCCTTTGCATGATGGTGTAGGATCAAGAGATACACAAGGGTGAATAGTTACCAAGGAGAACGGGAGAAGATAGACTAACAAGCATATTCAAAATCAAAGGCTTCGGCGCACGATTCCCAGCTCCCTTCGCGATGCGGATCGTCGAACTCCCACATATTTGTAGCTTTCCATGGTTCCTCTTCGATCTCGGCTGGCGACAGGCTCTCGGGGACGATGTGACGGGGCAGCTCGTTTAAGGTCTTGATCAGTGCAATGAGGCTGGTTTGGCCGGGATGATAGGGTGGGAAAGCTGAGCATAACTTCGTCAAAGCATTGAAAAATGGCTCAATGAAATACTGTACGTGCCAGGGTTCGATGCCATCGTCACGATTCGGACGCGTGAGGGCGGTAAATACGCCTGTCCATGTCGAGCGCGACTTGGCGGGGGGGAATTTGCTGGTTCACCAGTGCCTCAAGTCTGTGTTTTAAACACAGGTCATTTTCGTCGTCCCACTCATCGTACAACTTTAGCTGCAGGGGGTGATGTTCGCCCTCCTCAGCATAGTCGGGATTTTGAACTAGGGTCGACATGATATTGTTGGTGGTGGTAGTGTTGGGGGTGTTGGCGACAAGGTGTGTGGGAAAGGAGAGTGTACAAAAGATGGAAGGAAGATTGGAAGGAGACGAGAGAGAGACGAGAGGGAGATCGAGGGAAAAATGTAGAAGGTGGAGGGTGAGATGACCTTTTTTAGACCCTCTTTGTACCACCTTCTGATTTGCTTAGCCCCAGGCATCCATCAGGCTTCCAACAGGAACGACCCTTAACCTTCTTCCAATTTCGCTACATCTCACCTCAGCCCTATCCCTGTTGATCCTCAGCCTCGCCCCCCACGGCCCACCAACAATGGTGTATTTCATTTTTCTGAGTCACCGTCAGTTAAGCTAAATTAGTCAAGCCGGGGTCTGATTCCGTTGGTCTGTGATAGTCTAGTAGTTGGCTGCTTTTTAGGGCACTGGTCGTTAAATCCAACATCAGTTCTGTTTAAATTACTCCCAGCTGCTCGCTACCACATCTTGTCTCAGACACACATGGCCCCCAACCGGTCTGTCTGAATCTGGATATTGCCGGGACGCGAGAATGACGGCGAAAATGGTTTTCAACATGGGTCTCTATCGTAGAGTAAGAATTGCGTGTATCTGTATTTAAGGCCCTCAGCCCAGTTTCATTATCTTGTTAACATTTCTTGCACTTTACATACAAACCAGACTTACAGTTCCAGCTTCGTCTTCGTGTCCATTCTTTCCTCTCGGCCAGCGCGTCTTTTAGGCTTTTATCAGTCTTCCCAATTTTTCAACACTCGTACGGGCTCCAGGTGTATACAATGTATTTGTTCGGTCTCTTGGTTCCTTTTGTGCTCCTCATTGGGCCAATCATCGCCACACCAGTACCTAGCAGTAGCGTAACGTACCCCCACCATACTCATCTTTTCATCCTTCCTCAGAGAACTATTACCATATGCAGGACACTGTCACGTGCACGGCGACAGACATTAGTGACGGCAAAAAGCCGAAGAACGTCAGCTGGAAAGTCAGCGTTGTGACCGCCAAAGCCGAGATGGAAAAGGCGGGCATCTCTCGCCAGGGAAAGACAGGCTATCCGCATCCCTATCTCAATCATCAAAGGCTCGACTGGAGCGTGGGCACCTGCAAGAAAACCAATATCGATCTTCTCGAATACCCCGTGTTCTGGCAACGATACGCACCGATTGACAATACCAAGAAGACCAATGAACAGGCCCATTCACCGATCCGGGTCGTGTACGCCAACGACGGCGGTGTGATGGTGTACTGCGGAGTGATGACCCATGAGGTGGCGAAGACGGAGCACAATGTCGGCGGGCAAAAGTCGTGGATTGGAGACAAAAGGTTCAAGATTTGTCTTTAGGCCTGAGGTCCGCGGCGATGGTGGTTGAGCGAGGATTGGGCATGGTATGCGTACTATCTGTGGCGTGGCGGTTCTGGTACCAGGTCAAGGTAGCAGTGCTTGGAAAAAGAGGTGTATGGGTGCAGATCCGTGGGGCTTTCGTATCGACTTCTGTTGTGTAAGTTTTGAATATATGTAGCAATCTCCACTCGTCATATAGTTGTGGCTGCTTACCTAAATCACTGGCATACAAGGCTCGTTGGTTTATTCAGAAACGTAAAGGAAGGTTTAAAGGGTTGATACTGCAATCAACGGATATGTAGATTGTAAATCAATCGCGTGGATCCAGGACTGTTAACGAGCGAATAACATAACGTGTTTCTTGTGCGATGATAGTCAAGTCCTTCGTCCAAGTACGGCCACAGCCGCGACCCTTCCCCTCTGAATGGTACTCTTCATGTGTCCGTCCTTGCCTTCCTGCTTTTACAGCCTGCAGTAACTCGAGACCTTTAGTGGGGGCCACTGGCGCCGTTACCGCCATTACCTCCACTGCCTCCGCTACCCGTATTTCCGCCGCTACCGCTGCTACCACCCCCGCTGTTGGAGCTGGAAACACCACCAGACGAAGTCAACGTGGCCGCGTAGCTCGCGCTGTAGCTGGCTGAAGTATCGATACCGATGGTGATCCACGAAAAGAGTCCATCCTCCACAGTGTCCCCAAGGAGAACGTACTCGAGCACCGGATCCGAGTCACTGTTCTCGGTCTCGGCTGCCAGGACCCGGTCATTGGCGTTGAGGGTGATAGCCACGGTGTTCTCACTGTACGGAGACAGCGCCTCCACCTGGGTAATGAGGTCCTGGTCGTAGAACAGCTGCCCGATATGGGCGATATTTCCGCCGGTCAGGGTCCCGTTGGACAGCACGGTCGCGCCAATGTGGGCAATGACATGCACGTGGGTGGCGCGGCCGCTGTAGTGGCCGGGGAAAATGGTGGTGAACTGCGCCACCCCGTCCGCGTCGGTGGGCTGCAGGCCGCGTAGCGCAGTGTTGTCCAGATTGCTGGCGTCGTTGCCGTTCCCGTTGCTGCTGTCCTGGACTCCGGAGTAGACGCCGGTGGAGTTGCAGTTCCAGACGTCGAAGTACAGATTCTCGATCGGCTCGCAGGTGTCGATGTCGATGAACTGCGCGTCCATCACGACAGACACTCCGGGCTCGTCGTCGGTCACATCGGAGCGGATGTATTCGCCCTTGACCCAGAAGGGGCCAACTTCGCCTTCCGGGGACAGAATGCAGGACACATCGTCTGAGAAGAAGACGTCTTCGGACGAGTCGGCGGTCACACCGGTCAGGCTGGAGAGGTGAGAGGTGTTGATCACAGTCGTGAGGTCTCGAGCCTTGAGAAAGCCTACTACATGCATTAGGACTATTCGTGGAGAAGAACGGCTGTCGTGCTGTTGCAGTACTCACCCTCTTCTGCACTTCTCTTGGCTTTCTTGCTTGCGATATCGCGGCGACGAGCAGCCGCGCGAGCCTGCAGCGCACGAAACTCAGCTTTCTCCGCGCACTTGGACAAGCTGTTACGAGAATGACGAAGGAAGCTCCTTTTCAGTGCCACATTGGAGCCAATGTCTTCATGGCCGGGATGGGCCACCGCGACAGCGGCCATCCCTAGGACAACGAGTTTTGAGAAGGAGACCATGATCGATGCGAAGGCTCAAGAAATGGTAACTATCAAGCTTCTACTCTGGAGAAGCTGTTGCTGTCGTTGCTAGAGATAATTCCTCTCGAGACCCAGCGAGATATCGAGCGCTTTTATACCTCGTCTGCTCATACTTCCCCTCTCTTCACGGAAGGTGCAATATCGTTGTGCATCGCCGGTATCAAACATCTTCATTGCGGTCTTTCCGCTTACTAAGAGCGAAGAGGAGTATGGATGCCGCTTTTCCGTACCAGTCTGTATGCGAAGGACATGATGGTACAAACGTCGTCGTCAGCGTCTTGGCTCGAAATAGGTAGGGCAGGGTCCAACTCCGGCGGGGTCCGTGGACGCGCGTCGTTTCCTACCACTCACAGTGAACCCATTTCCAAGTCGCCAAGCATACCAATATTGCTTCACTTTACTTCAATCAACCATAAGCCCTTTATTCTTCTTGGCGTCGCCAAGAAAATACTATACCCCAGGCCAGGACGATTAAAGTTGCCCTTCTTGGAGCGGAATCGGGCCGTACCCGTGCCAGTCTCTTTGTCCAGCGCTCTGCCAAGGCCAGTTTCTCAGGCGCATGAGTCCGATGCAAAGAATCTGTTGGTGAATCGATTGTCTGGCAAAGGGTTCAAGCTTGCGCAATTGGCTGAATGCATCCTGTGATGCAGACTGCAGGTTGCATGAGAATCTTTCCTCCCATGCGCAAGGGTAGGAAGTAGAGTGAAGGGAGGGGAACGGACTTCAATTATCTTCCGTGTGATGATGAGTTCTGGATATATGCTATTTCACATATTATACCACTAGTCAGGGTGGAACGCCGGTCGCGGCTGGGATCTTTGTGTATAATAAATAATATGGAACACTTTGCTGAGCACATGTGGATCATGATACTGGCAATTGGGCTCACAGCCCGGAGCCGGTCCTGATGTTCTAGGTGTGTCCATCGCATGAGACAAACACTTTTTCAGACATTCAATACTAAGTAATTCGTGTCCCATTCCAGGTCGGGGATGCCAGGCTACACTTTCGTCGCACGCCTAGATTTTTCTATTACAGCCCACAACGGGCAGGAACTCGTATCGCACATTGAATTTAAACATGCGTATGGGTATGTCGGAATCTGTTTGAGACCAGAAGATTCGGATTCATACCTTTACCCATTCTTAGAAGTCTTTACCTCTGATACATAGTGCCACTGTGCTTAACGTCCCATGACCTTTTATGGCAATTGAAGATTTCAACAGTAGTTTCTTGAACCATGTTTTGAAATCTTTTCATTGCCTTAAGCTCCTGTTCCAAAGCTTCATACCCTCGAGCGAAAACGGTCAGGAACATCCAGAGCAAAGCGCTTTTCTTGGCGAATCACAGCATCACACCTTACATATACTGTAACGTCCACGGTTTCTGGCATGCATCCACAGACTGTCCTTCATGTCACCAATGCAACACCCACGCTCTCCTTCTCCGATATCGGATAGATGTACTAGGCGCGCCGATCCTTACGCTCCCATGTGGTAAGAGAGACATCCTCACGTTACTAGTCCGTTGGTCTGAGAGCTCAGAGGGTATCCGTCGCGGTGGCGGAGCTATAGTCAGGCTGGTATGTCGCCTCCACCTGACCGTGTTTTGCTCGCCTTCTCATCGGATCTTTCCCTTCAATCTTTCAGACGGTATTTGTCCATGTTGGCGTATATATACGTGAAGGAGGTCACTCAAAAACTCGTATCATGTCTTGATGACTTTCAACCTAACCGATAGCTGTGGGTCACTAGGGCTTTTGGCATTGTGTCGAGGTTAGAAGACGGAGACTGGAAACCCCTTTGTTCTTCTCAGTATGACATTACTACCTCATTCCATTGATATCAGGCTGAATGTAAGCGCTACTAACTGCGTCGCCATTAAGCGATAAGAACTTCTCAGTCGAGCTGACTGTGTAGTGATGGCCGCTTGCGCAAGAACCCTTGTGCCTTCGGTGAATACTAGTGGAGGAGAAATGTGAACCAGCAGCTGATGCAGAGCGCCATTAGGATATTTCTTGGGATTTACGGAGATCTGGGACCACAAGAGATAAAGTGTTAAAACAATGTTTGTGGAAGGTTCCGTTCTTAGTGGTGGTTTTGCCTAAAACATATCGGAGATCATTCCGGTGCTGTGGTGTGTTGTTAGACCAGTGGGCCCTCTATTTACAACGTACTGTGCCTTTCCTTTTTGCTTTCCTAAAACACTGGCTTTCTTAATATTTTGTACTCGCTATACTATGCAATTTCCGCGATATTCTGCATTGCTGACATAAGTTAGCCCTACACGCAGCCTGCTTCATCCAGCGATGCGGAACAGAATCGCAGGGGGCGGCCTCGGAATCGGCTTCGGAATGAGTCATGGAGGCTCAAGTGAGCTTAGCATCCGCTGGCTATGAAGGAACAAAAGGTACTCCCAAAACACATAAATAAGCCTCTAGACTGCCCATTATCTCGTTGGAGGAACAGACCCCAGAAATAAAATCCAGATTTTGCTGCCCGTCATGCCCATCCTCTACAACCCCCAAACGCAAGAGCCGTACCTGCGCCTCCCGGCACCGCTCAGCCACATCATCCTCACCCCGCACCGACTGCACCAACTCGAGGAGACCATCGCCGCCAAAGTCCCGCTCCTCAATGACCCGCGCATCTACCTCAATCTAACCGGCCCCCCGTACCCCTATCTCCGCGAGCATGAAGAAGAATGGGTCAAATCCAAATGCGCGGCCGCTGAGCCCGTGCTTCAGGCTCTACGCGCCGAATTCCAGACGTCGGTTCCGCAGCAACGGTACTTTGACCTGTGTCCCTTCACGGTCATTCGGGAAGTCACAGAAGAGGACCCACAGACGGGCCATCCAAAACAGGATGTCTTGATTGGCGATATTGAGATCGCGCGGTACATGTTCTACGAGTATCGCCACGACAGTCCGGAACGAGCTGAGGCGCAGCGTCTGAATAATGAGCTGCCGCCGGGGGACGAGGGGATTGCGTGGGGGATTGGCTGTGAGTACACCGGTTATTCAATCTGCATCAGGCTATTCGTATTGTGCTGGACTCTGTTCACTAATGATACTCTCGTGTTCAGACTTCCTGGCACCGTCCCACCACGGCCGAGGAATCATGACTCTGGTCCTGCGGACGCTGATCCAGGACTGGGGAGTCCCGCGGATGAACACCAAGCGACTCATGGCGTCGGCGTTTGTCGAAAATGCCGGGAGTCTCCGCGTCTTCGAGAAGAATGGTTTCGAGGTGCTCTGCACCTTGGAAGACTGGGCGCCCTACCCGGAGAACAGAGGCGGGGGGTGGAAGTCGCTTACCGTTGTTCAGTGGCGGGGTTTCTGAGAAATTGCCAGCGTGTCTTATTTGTTTCGGTTGTATACTGCTTGGAGCGTGCTTCATCACTGCTGATTGGCGATGATTAATGTCCAGGAAATCTTCAAGCTTTCAGAATTTATGTGACCTTTCTGATAGGCTTTAAGGTTTTATCCAAGCCTGTATATACAATCAAGTGCGGTGGGAAGATGACTCAACTGCAATGGCGGCTAACTAGTCACTGTACTGTATGAATGGTCATCAGTTTACCCTATCATATAGCCCCGTACAGCGGAAGTTTGTACTTCTGGGATACATCTCATGGATTTCGGAACTAGAATATAGAGTTGACGCAGATCTCCACATGAATCACCCTAATTGGTACGTTCAGTTCCCCCTTAGTATGTATCTCCACGCTACGGTAGACTCAAAAACACCTCCAGCAACTTGGGAAAGTTCGGTGTTCCGAGTCCCGTCACGGGATCCCAACTACAAATTTACCGTTAGCATCACCTTGTGAATTGAGCGAAACCGTGATGGCTACATACCCAGGAGCAGTCGAGAATCCATCCGTTCCGCAGCCGGGATTCGTCCCGTTGGTGATGTCGTTCAGCGCATCCGCATTGCGATAGAGCACCGGGTTCAGGAATCCCACAGGGCCCTTGCCGGCAGCAATGCGCTTCTCGATGATGCGGTTGATCACCGAAGAGAAGATGGGGGTACCTGAACATAGATCAGCTCTATCGTCTTCTGATGGGGTCCCAGGAGGAGGTCGGTGGTGGACAACATACTAGCGCTGGTGCCTCCCTCAAGAATGTACTCGCCCGCATTGAACATGGCGATGTTGTCACCGTTGGCGGCGACATCGGGGTATCCGCGGCCCAGTCGGTTGTAGAGCCCGCCATTCTTGCCTATGTTGGCTGCGCCCTTGTAGTATGGGTAGGGTGGGTTGTGGTTTTTGAAATACCTGCGCACATTGGGTTAGTTTCGAAGGCAGGATTGGTGATTAGTTGGACTGGGGCAACTGACTCAGCGACAGCCGCCGCTTGATAGCTTGGGATAGGGTAGATGTTGCTGAAGCCGCCTCCGGAGGCATACGCGATGGAGTATGGGTCGCCGATCGGGTCGTAGGCGGCGCTCTCGCCGTCGGCGACAGTGTACCCTGGATACAGTTTTGTCGCACCGACATTGGTGACCCACGGGCAGCTGCGTTCCCCTTAGCAAAGAGACATCTTCGTGGAGGTGTACGAGGCCTACCTGTTGGGGAACGCGGGACTGAAGATGGTTCCGTTTCCAAGACATCCGTCGTCGGTATAATCGCCCGGCGGGCCCGCGACGCCGTCGTCGCCGGAGGCGATCAGGATAGAAGTACCCTGAAGACCGAGTTTGAGGAACCTAGGATATTAGATTCGTGACTTTCCTCAGGGAGGAGGGGTTTATTCGTACTCGTTGCACTGACGCTTCTGATAATATTGCGGAAGATCGTCTTCCTGCAAGCCGTAGGATATAGAGATAACGTTGGTGGGCTTGTAGGTGCCGCACATCAGCTGTCCGGTGTACCCTCCTTGGTTTGTGTCGGGGTAGACGGGGTCAAGGCCTGATGCATCGCCGCATTCGCCGTCCGCACAGTAGGTACAGTATGACTGAGGGACCTTAGTTAGCGCGGTATGTCTTGGGGAGAGGAAAGCACTTACCCCATCAAGCGCATCGAGAAAGGTGTTGAAGAACCCCGAGGTGTAGATCTCTTCACTAGCGTAGTTGTAGTCATCATTCTGGAACAATGTGATTTCCTGGGGGTAAACAATGGGGTATGCCAGCTGAAAGTCCAGGTCCGACTCTGCTCCGGCCTCATCAACCGGAACAGGTGCCTCGGCCCCGTCGATAAATGCAGGCTTGGGATGCGTGCCACTGGGAATCCAGCGTGTGAAGTTCTTGAAAAATAAATCCAGGTCTTCTTGGGCGTAGTAGTCGCCCTCCTCGAAGATCCCGAGTGAGTTCTTGGGGCTCACATCTTTGCTTGCCGCAGGAATCTTGTACAATGCCGCCACGCAAGCAGGGGTAATGGCTTCGTCACAGGTGGCAAGCGAGGAGGGGTTCGGGGTTGTTTTCTTGGCAGGCTGGTACCGCAGAGGTTTTCGGCCGGCCTGTCGCTTTCTCGAAGTCAGTGGCAGGATCACACCGGGCTTGATGTAGTCGACGTGCTGCGTGACAGACTGGGGAAGACGGTATCTAATCTTTGTCAATACAGATTCCACGTGTGGGAGAGTCAAAGAGGCTTACTGATCGGTGGCAATGGCGGTCGAACCAGTGACCGCGTTCTTGTAATGATAGTACTGGGTGTGGAGAAGAGTCTCTGCCTCTGCAGTCGTCGCGTTGAAAACAATCCAAGCCTTGTTCTTTGTCTGGGAAAGCCGAGAGCTGTCAACCCCGGCTTCGATGAGCCATTGCCTCACAGCAGTGACGGTTTCATTCGAGGGAGCAAAGGTCTCGGCCACTTTCTCTGGTGTCCAGAACTTTGCGTAGTTAGGAGAGACTGAGTCCGATCTGTTGTATCTCGTCAGTTGTGATTGACATAGGCTCGAGAAAACAACCACATACACATCCATCAAGTATTCATACCCGCGGTCGAGGTTGTTTTGAGTCAACCCGATTCGCACAATCACGTTCTCGGTCCCGTTCACACGAGCAGCCTTCTGCCACAGGGTAGAGGCGCTACTGCGCTTTTCATGGACGACATGATCAGATGCAGGGAGGGCCCCCGACAATGCCGCCAAGGACAATGCGACGAAGGAGGACAGAAACTTCATTTTGACTTGCAGCCTGACCGTGGAGATGAAACAATGGCAGTCTGACGGGAACATTTATAATCTCGTCACCTGGGCTCAGTGGGCCGGTCAATCTCCGTTTCCTCCGACGGAGGTGACATCGGTCCTGCAGAAGGGTTCATCTAGCGCCTTGATTGAATATAGCTCAATATGCCGTTTTAGTCACTTGGTGAGGATACGATAAGAGTCTTGCCGTGCTGATTCGCCTATCAGGGACATGGCCCGCTTTGAGTGCTGAGACCATCTCCACTTGACCTGCATTAGTGGCCCATCACGCAAGCTTGATTGCGGCAGACAATTCACAAATGCTTAGCATAGGCTCGAGAGCAGTGCCGTTGTCTTAGACTGTTGCCAGACGGAGGATTATCTGCAACCCGTAGCAGAAGATGAGGGCGCGTTGGGAAGTTGACATACAATTTCTGGATGAATTAGTTGGTTACACTAACCACAAAATATCATTCTGCGCTCGTGGAAACATACCCGACTAGTGGCTGAGTAGGTCTGACTAGGGGTATACCAGGTTATGAAAAGCCTAAGGCGTGTTGTATCGGTCTCGCTAGACTTGAGTTGCCCTAACCGACGATCCGGCTACCGGGTACTGTATAGCCACAAAGGTGAAAAGTAGGGCTTCCCGTACACTCATCGACAAAGACCACCCTACCCAACCTCACATCAGACAACCACTTCCATCTTCAGGAAGAATATCTCTTGGGAGTAAATCACTGCTATGCTTGTTCGAAAAAAGGATGTAATAAAGAATACAAGGTGGGCGCCATGCAGCCTTTCCCGACCAGACAATAAATCAAAGACACGACGGAGTTATACAAAGAAGAACAGATACTTTGTTCAGACCTCAACAAGGCAATCATCTCCCCTGTTTATACCCTGCGTCCTGGGCTCTCCATGTGTATATAATGACCCAAAACATCAGGCTGTGACGATTTAGCCAACAGTCGCAACTCGAGAACTGCGCGTAGTCCAACAACTCGACCTTCACCAAGATCCCCACCTGGGCTCTCTATTGCACCAGAGATAAGCGCGATTACACCCCGGAGAGCAATTCAGTACAAAGATGTTGCCACCAGAGGAACGGAGACAGCAGCAGGCGGTGGTAGAATCCGTGCCCTCGGACATGGATGGTTACAGCGACTTGAAATGCGAGATTTGTCACCAGCACCAACATCCGGTTCAGGGCACTTTATTCTGGCGGTGCTCGAGGTGTGGCGGGATGCACCATGACGAATGCGTCGTTTTGCAGCCAGAATTCGACGCCAATGGTCTTCCCACCAAATTTGGCTGCACCAAATGCAGAACCCCTTGGTTTCTGCGCAGCGAGCTTTGTTGCACTGGGGATTGCGGCGAAGAGAACGGGCCCGAGGGGGCCGATGTGGACGAAAGTCTTGATCTGCCGGAGCAGCGTCAACCACCCGTCGCCCCAGAGGTGCAGCGGGGCTACCGGCAACTTGGGTCTCATATTCCCATGTCTGATCGACTGGAACCATCCGACGAACTACTAAGTCCGAGAAATATGCCATGTGACATACGAACTAGCAGCAAAGCCAAGATTAAGAGGCGCCGCCAGAGGAAGCACCTCTACTACAAATGCCCACACTGCCCTTCGCAGTACTCATGGGAGACTAGTCTTAGCCAACATCTTAGGGGCAAGCACCCAAAAGACCCTTCCAGGTGCCAGTGGTGTAGGATGTGGCTTCCGACAATAGCCGCTCGAGAGGCTCATGAAGCCAATGCGCACCGGCGTCAGCCCTGTCTTAAGTGTGGTGAGTGGTTTAGTGGATTGGATTGGCTTGAATTCCATACCGCCAGATGCCCTAGCGACACGAAATAGGGGATAAATTTGCTGCTCTGGTCAAGCAAAAGTTCAAACAAACATCACGCCAGAAGGAGTCGACTTCTTGAACATATTTAGACTTATACCATCACCAGTCAACGTCTATACAATTCGAAACTCTTACAAACACTTCATGATAGTCAGGTGGCTGTATGTATCACGGCTAAATCTTTCCTTTGCACTCAGATGAGGATCGAACTTCGATCGATCGTAAATGTCACCCTTCCGGATGACTTCAAGTCTTACAAGCTCTCCCGGGTCGATTCCATATGCTGTCAATGCGAGGGAGCACTGGAAGAAAACATGAACATAGACATACTCAGAAGCCACTCAAAGATAAATAGCGGGATGACCAAAGCGCTGTAGCTAGGCGATTGGTTTCCCTTGCTTTTTCATTGTTCTTTTTTATGTACACTAGTGTGAGCAGCCTTCGGAAAACCGTATTACTATCTCATCTACGTTGAAGAATCCGCGTCCGACTAAAGGGTTGCAACATGGATTGCTGAGAAGATTGCAAAATTGGGCTGATTCTCAATTGTGGAAGCCCTACATCTCTAGCCTAGGTTACAACCACGTCTGTCGATAATCGTCAAACGTGATTGTCGTCGCCAATATACGCCAACCGCTATTGTTGGCAGCGCGGAATCTATCTTCAGCTGCCCTCAGCACCTTAGACTTGTCTCCTTGGCTAGAGTGCTGCCATATATACGAATTGACCTTAGGTGCCAAGATACGCATCAAACTACGCGGTGCATTTAGGACTTTTACAACCTCCGTGACTCTAGTGTCTCTTCTTTTATCTTAATCTGTGGACGAAGTAAGTCAAATATGCGTTCTGCTATGCGGAACAATGTTTCGTTAGCAAGCTCAGCCGAGACTGGAGAAGCGAGATGCCCGTACCCTAGTGGCATCGCTCGTGGCGCCTCGGTCGCTGAGCACCGTCTACACCCTGATCGGGGTGGTGAGCTCGGTCGGCATGTTGATCGCGGGCCCTCTTCTCGCGGGCATGTTCCACCTGGGAATGGTGCTTGGCGACCTCTGGGTGGGTCTGCCATTCTTGGTTGCAGCCGGGTTTTACGCGCTGGTGCTTGCTGTGATCTCTGCGGTTAGGGTTGGGGCTGTGGAAAGGGAATGATATGAGCGGTGGAGAATGTGGTTCTGCATTATTCACTGGACTTTGCGATAAATTAATCCTGTTCTTTCTGTCCAACTCTACTCTCAAACCCCGATTACTTCACCTGTCCAATCGGCGAGACACCATTCGATACAAAATCCTCCGCAACATCCAGTAATCTGCCATCCGCCATGACGGCAACAGCATCTCTCCCCGGGATGAGTTGCTCCACTAACCCCCCAACTCTATGCGCCACCACAATAACAGTATGCCCCTCCTGGGTAAACTCCTCGTCGATGATCCGCTGAATCGTCACCTCCGTCTCCGCATCAAGCGCCGAAGTGACCTCATCCAGCACAACCACAGGTCTGACACCACATCCCCGCAGCACCCGCGCCTTGATCAGCGCGCGGCACAGCGCGAACAGCTGGTACTGTCCGAGGGAAAGTTCCGAGAATGATGAGACATTCCTGTCCAGCACGGTGTGTTCACTGCTGTCTTCCAGGATGTCGATGACAGTTGCCAACGCATCGTCTGCGCCGCGCGCCTCCACAGCGGAAAAATGCTTCCACAGGCCCGCTTTTCCCAACGCAAGAGCAATCATCTCGTCTGATGCGGCGGAGTCGGGGTCGAGGTTGAAGCGCAGCGTCTCTTGGGGGAAGAGAAGGGCGTCCTGTGAGACGGCGATAAAGGCGCGCTGGCGGAGGAGATCAAGTCGCACCTGTTTTATGTCGAGACCGTCGAGCTTGATGATGCCGGATTGAAGCTCCAGGAGGCGCAGGAGGGTGAGGAGCAATGTGCTCTTTCCGCTGTCATCCCACCATGCGCGTTAATGGGATGTATATCGATGGGAGGGAAAGGGGTGACTTGCCTCCCTGTCCGGCCGCAGATAACGAGCTTCTGGCCGGCGGGAATCCTCAGGCTCAGGTTCCGGAGCGCGAACGCGTTGGGTTGCGCACTGACATCGGGTGAATTGGCAGCTTTGACGAGTATCTTTGTGGGAAACACTTACTGATATGACGCAGTGACATTGTCGAATTGTATCTCTCCCTTGGAAGGCCAGTGGCCCGGAGGATCCAGCCCCCCTGCCTTCCCGCCCTCGGTCGGCGTGAACTCCTCCAGCGCTTTCAGCCTCGCGATCGCGCCCAGGGAGGTCTCCAGGTTAGTCCAGCTGACCACGAGACTGAGAAGCGTGGTGTTCGTCACGAGCATGACGTTCAGTGCGATGCCGACCTGCGCGCCGCTCACTTGTCCCCGCAACGCGACTGCCGTGGCCACGACGATCGTGGCCAGGGCAGCAGCCAGAAGATCCAAAACAAGACTCAGCCATCGCCGCAGACACAGGAGGAGGTATTCCGGCCGCTGCGCGTGGTCCACGCGCTGGATGTTATCCTGGATGGCGGCATCGGACCAGCCGTACGCGCGGATTGTTTCGAGCCCGTCGATCTGTTCCCTTGGTTAGAGGGGATACATTGTGTTTAAAGCGGGGGGTGTACGCACTGATTCCAGAAAGCTGGAGAAGACGCCCGCGCGCGATTCCAGCTCCAACAAGCGGAGTTGTCGTGAGGTCCGGAGGTAGACTTCCTGTACGAAGTAGACAACAAGCCCGCACGCTGGTAGGGATACCGCGAGCCAGCTGTCGGCGATGCAGAGTAGGGTGATTTGCATTAGCAGTTTGAATATCTCTGGCTGAATGTCAGCTCGGGAATATTCTGCAGTCAGAGACTGGCGGCTTACGAGTCATGACAGTCTGGAAGGCTGTGGGAAGCTGCCTGTCGATGAGCTGGATGTCTTGACTGAATCTGGTAGGTGTCAACGTATTCTGATCGATACCCACGGAAGCTAACCCATACCTGTTCAAGGTTGAACCGTTGTCTGTATTGGAGAAGTAGGACAAAGGTGCGCTGGAAGATACTTAGTATCGTCTCGTATGTCTCATCTCAAACAGTGAGAACTGATGGTACTGACTTTGCGACTATATCCAGGAGACGCTGATGCAGCCGTTTCCCTGACTGTGGTGCGATCCGAATCACAAGAATTCTTTTGATTATCAGCACTGGAACAACGTTTTCTAAGCAACGCTAGACGTACCCCATCATGACACTAGTCGACATCCACGACATACTCGACAAAAACAGAAATCCACACACATAGAATGCGGTATTTCTGCCATTGGACTCGGTCCACAATCGCAACCAGTACTGCGGGATGGTGATGAAGATGCCGTATGATGCGCTCGTGGCAATCAATAGAGCGAGGTTGATGGCATCGATGAATCCTAGATAGTATGCTGTATCCCGGTCAGTAATGTACTGCCTTGCGGAATATATCCTTACCATAAAGAGCGGGGTCACCAGTCTGTCTCGCAAGGTCCAACTCCGTCTCGGCTTTGGCTCGCAGTTGAGCACCAAGCTTCTCGAAATTCGCAGCCAGGACAGCATTGTTTTGCGTGTGTTGAGTGCCTGAAAACTTCTCGATGGATGCAGCTTTGATCTTCAGATTCTCGCAGCGTCCCTGGTCTAAGATCCGATGCTCACCGAGAACCACGATGTGATCCGCAGATCGGAAATATTGAGCTGTCCTGCTGTCAGCAATTAGACGCCTAAGGACGTTATCGGTAGTGTACCTGAGTTTGAGACAAGAACAGCAGTTCCATCCGATGTCCTGATAAGTCCGTCTGGTCCAAAAATGTTATCAAACACCTTTTGCTCCGTCTCCCCATCCAGGCCGCTGAAAGTGTCGTCTAAGAGAAGTAGATCGCATTTGGCAAAAAGTGCGCGTGCAAGGGCCTGGAGAAAATTAGCTTAATCAGTTTGGAGCAGATGCAGCAAACATACCACACGTTGTCTCTGTCCACCGGACAGATTAAGTCCATCACTGCCACACATGGTCTGATCTCCATCAGGAAGGGAGTCGAAGTCATGGGTGAGACAGCACATCTCTGTGACCTCATGATACCACTTCTCATTATCTGGAGTCCTGACCTCGGTAGCGCCGAAGATGACCCTCCTGATAGTCTCGTTGGGTAGCCACGGCTTCTGCGCACAATAAGCTATCTTCCTTGTGGATACACTGACCGATCCATGAGCAGGGACAATTTCCCCCAGGATAGCGCGCAGGAGGCTCGTCTTGCCACTCCCAGTTGCACCGGATATGATAACGAATGACGCCTTGGCTATTTTGAGGTCTATGTTCGCCAATACAGGTTGCTCATTTCCGATGCGTAGTTGAGTGATTCGGATAGCAGAGGCTGCCTGTGCTATCTCGCCAGTTCCCTCATTCCCCAAGGAGATGTCAGGGATGTCTTCAGCTAATACCGCACGATTAGCAGGTAGATCTTCGCGGAGTAGAAAGGCTTGAATCCTTTCAAAGCCAGCGAATGCAGCCACCGCACGCGGGACGATCGTCATCACCATATTGGCTGGATGCGTGACCATGCTCAAGATAGCCATGGTGGTAAATGCCGTCTCAGTGTCCAGGGTGCTCCCGCGAGCGACCGCGATGAGAGCATAAATCACCACGGTGATCGCTGGAGAGAAGATCCCGAGCGCATTGGCTGTTGGCCTATTAGTCTCCTACTCAAGGTCTAAAAGAGATGAAAGTGTGCATAACAAACCCGAGGCATTGTAGTATACCATAACCCATCTCAGTTTGGAGGCAGCCAGTAGTTCTTCCTCTCGCAAGTCCTGAATGCGATCGGTGAGATTGTTTTGGATGCCAAGCATCTTCACTCCTTTCATCGCCCTCAGTAGAGAGCTGGTAGCACCTATCCGTTGCTGCGTAGCTGAATTCCAGGCCTTCTGCCGCGGTTGCAGGTGCTTTGCGACGAATTGGCTCATGTGCGAACAGACTAGGCAACTTTTAGCCTCGGACTCAGAGTACTACCTAGATAGCGGAAATATGCGCGCCCACGGTATATGAAGAAAAGGGGAAGGGGCCAGATCCAGCCGACCTGGCTGGCTAGAAGCCCTGTCCCAATCACCACCTCGACGACCTGAGCCCATGTTTCATGAAACATCTCTGTGATGCCATCGAGACTGTCTGCGTCAGTGCTCATGAGCGTGGTCGCCTCGCCGTTGTTGTACGCAATGCTGGGCGACTTCATGGTTTTGTCGTGGATCAGACCCACCAGCGCACTGTTCGTCATGAGCTTCAGTCGGTTGATTTGGTGTCGGTATATGGCGGTCGAGATCTGGATAGAGATATTAGTTCAGGAGGATGCTTGACTAGATGAGGGAGAGCTACAGCTAGACCACCATAGATGGCGACCGCAGACACAATGAGTCCAGCGCCACGCCCACTGGCAGCGATGGTAGGGCCCGAAGCAACGTATCTGATAGACTCTTTTATTAGAATCGGCTGAGAATAGCGAAAGCCAAGAAGGAATAGTCGCGGAATGACAGCTGCAAGAAAGGGTCCTTTGAGACATTGGTAGAGAGCCATCGGCAAGGTCCGCTTTGTTTCGGGTTTGACTGGTCTAATTTAGCAAGATGCACATGACCATACAAGGGAGGGGACGCACGGCGCTGAGACCATGTTTCTAGAATTGATTGCCGTGTTTTTGCTGGGCTCATATCTTGGCGCAGTGGTGGCACATCTTCGTGGCTGAGAATGCTCCTGGAACCTTGTAGAAGAATGGGATTGATCCATAGAAAGAAAGTCCGGCTGATGAGGCTGCAGCGTTCCTCTGGGGAATGGTCTTTGGCCACACCGTCGAAGTCTGAACATCGAGAGGTGCAGAGCTCAATGACGAAAAGCATAATGTGCATCGAACAGCGAGTAAATACCATGTGCGAGACAGTGCCGTTCGAGCTGTCTTCGTAGATTATCTTCAGGTAACCGGCGTCGCATATAATAGCCGGGACCAAGTACACTAACGCTAGGACGGAGGGTCCATAGCATCGTTGATGCTCCTTGTATAGGAGTAAGCCTAAGCTCAGCCCAGCAGCAATAGACGCGAGAAGCGAGATCAGGATTTCAGTTTTATCTTCAATATCCGAGGTCGATACTTGGACCAAGTAGTAAGACAAAACCACAGACAGGGAAATTGCCAAGAGCTAGCATCTTGCCTACATTAATTGCTCACTCGAAGTACGAAACGGGAGGTAGTACTGACAATTTTCAGACGGCCCAGCCAGCGTGAAGGATTCCAGGTACCGGACTTACGAAGCTTCCAAAGCCTGAAGGGAACGATCAGGACAAAAAGTGAGGCACAAGTTGTGAATATGATAGGTATGAGCTGCGTGGAGCTTGGAGCCATTGTGGCTAGGGAAGACTGAGCAGACAGCCACAAACGATGTTATGATTAGTAGCATCCGAAGCTTGATCAACCAAGGTACTGTGAGCTGTGAGGGGCAGGCCCTTGGCATTTTATCTTGGCGGTCAGTCGTGCTGACGCCTTTTTAGCCCTGATTTGTGAATCCCAATCAGCTGTGGTTGGGCCGTTCAATCGAAATTAGCACTTCAATTATAAACGAAGAATATTCCATCTAAATATAGCAACATACCGGTACGGTACGGAAGACATACTCTCCGCACGGTAGCTAGAGTTTAACTAATACGACGGACTTTCATGCAGCTTGTTGGCCTTCAAGCTTTCCTGAGCAGTTCCACGTGTATTTATTTATACTACCAGATCCACCCTACATGATCATTTCCCAATTTTCACTTATCCAAGGCACGCAACAATTCACACGGACAGCTTTCATCGAGCGCATAAGAACAAGAGGCCGGAGGGAATCCATAACTAGCTGTGCCATCAGCACTAGCAAACCCCATCCGTTTCCCCGCCCAATTCCGCAATCAGCCCTAAGCCGCCTCAAAAAGCCGCCGCCTCAAAAAGCCCCCATGCGGCGCCAGAAACGCAGCATCCGGCCCAGCAAATCGACACTGAGCGGCGCATACTTGATATCCGGGGCATCCTTGAGCGCGACGAGGGTATTGGAGCAATCGTACCGCGGCGTCTGCCGGCTGGTCTGGAAGCGCGACAGCCCACTGATGACGGGCTCCTGCAGCATGGGGAGGAGCGGGTTCAACGGATTGTCCTGGTCCTCGATCTCCTGGAGCTCGCGGACCCAGTCCCAGTACGGCAGCAAGCGCAGCGAATAGCCTGCGGCGACCAAGATCTCATACGTCCGCTCCATATCCACGGAGACGGCGGGCGAGGGCGGCACCAGGCAGTACGAGCGGCCGAGACTTTTCTTCCTGGCGGCGATGTGCAACGTCGCGTCGCAGACGTAGTCCACCGTGACGAACTCCATGCGCTGGTTGGGGAGATGCGGAAACGCCCCGAGGCGGATCGATCCCATGAACAGGCGGGACACGAAGTCATCCGGATTGCCGGCGCCGTGGCGGGTGTCCCCGAGGACGAACCCGGGTCGATAGATCACGGCGGGAAGGCCGCGGTCGCGCGCGCCTCGCACCATCTGCTCGGCCACCCACTGACTGGATGCGTAGCCGATGTCGAATGCCAGGGACCCAATGTGTGGGAGCAGCGGCTCGTCCTCCAGGAGCACCCGTGTCCCGTAGATGAGGCCGGTTGCACCCCACGCGTCGAGACTGGACATGTAGTGGAAGGGTTTCCGGCGGCCTTGCGCCGCCAGCTCAAGCAGGTTCTTCGTTCCGAGAACGTTGGGCTCGAAGTGGGCCGAGTAGGGCTCGCAGTAGTTGACCTTGGCCGCGATGTGGAAGATCGCGCTGGTCCTGTCCGCCAGTTGCGTGTAGTCGCCGCCGGATAACCCGAGGTCCTTCTGCGTGATATCGCCTTCGAGGACGGTCAGCTTGTCGAGTTGATCCGCCACTCGTTCGTGGAACTCGTAACGCCGGAGAGTGTTCTCGACGCGCTGCCGGGGGGTCTGGCCGCTCTTCGCGCGCGCAAGGCAGACGACCTCCTGCACCTCCGGCATCTTGAGCAAGCGAGAGAGAAAATGCGCCCCCACGAATCCGGTGACCCCGGTCAGGAAAAGACGGCCTTCCCCTGGAGCAGTCCAGTCTACGACTGAATCCCAATCCTGGGCGGACCAGGTCGAATTGATCTTCAGGTCATCGGCCAGTCGGGCATCAGCGATCCAAGTATCGGCCTCGTCGGGAGCATTGCCGCCTTCGACGAACTCGCCCAGATAGGCGACCAGCTCGTGGAGACGGGAGTTCTCCACAAGCCCGCGCATGGAGACTGTTCGGCCCGTGTGCTCGCGCAGTTTGGCTATCAGGGCCGCTGCCTGCAAGGAGGTGCCCCCCAATCGGAAGAAGTCGTCGTCTTGGGCGAAAGACGGCTTGTTGAGCAACGAGGACCAGAGGCCCTTGACGATGGCGGTGGTGTCACGGCTGTCCTTACATTCGAACTTCTTGTGCTCGCGCTCCGTCAGGTAATTCTGAATCAAGGCCTTGCGATCAATCTTCCCATGATCGTTCAATGGGAACTCCTGGAGGAACACGATATCGCTGGGGATCATATATGCGGGCAGCCTTTCCCCCAAGTATTCGTCGAGCCCCCCGAGGCGCAGAGTATCAGCGATAGCGGGAATGACGAATGCAACGATAAACTCCCCCACGCTCACGCTGCTGCCCGGTACCTGCACGACGACGGCGCCCACGAGCTGACCGCTAGAAAGTAGCATGTGCTGGATCTCTTCCAGCTCCACGCGAAACCCGCCCTGCTTGACTTGAAAGTCCGTGCGTCCGGCAAATTCGAAAACATCGGCCTCGCCTTTTCTCCATCTGGCTCGGTCACCGCTGCGATAGTACCGGAGGCCGTCTTCCAGCTGCACAAACCGATGCTGATTCTCTTCGGGGAGGCCAACGTATCCGCGTGTCAAGCCGGGCCCAGTGAGGAGAATCTCACCGACGACGCCGGGGGTGGTGATGGGACTGAGGTCTTCATTCACCAGCCGAAGGCGTCCATCCCCGAAAGGCCTTCCGAGACCGATGTTATCGTACTGGAACTCTGACGGGGTGACCAGATGCATCGCGGCGTGGGTCGTGATCTCGGTAGGACCGTAGGTGTTCCAGAGATGTTTCGGGGGCAGAGACGAGTTTACGACAGCCTTGACTGCTCCGACGTTGGCAATGCTTCCGCCGATCAAAAGGTGCTTGACGTTGTGGAAGGTGGTCGGGCAGGCGTGGGCGATAATGCCGAACAAGGTGGAGGTCAGATAGATGACCGAAAGTCTCTTCTCCACGATAAACTCGCGGAAGGTGAAGGGGTCGGTGACTACCATGCGAGGCACGATCACGAGCGTCGCTCCTCCGACGAAGCCGGAGAAGATCTCAAACAGGGAGATGTCGAAGCCGGGGTTGTTGATGATGGCGACTTTGTCGGTCGGGTCGAGGATTCCGAGCGGGCTCTTGGTTGCCAAATGCAGAATGCTTCGCTCCATGACCTGCACCGGCTTGGGCTTTCCGGTAGATCCAGAGGTGTACAGGATGTGGCTGCGATAGTTGGGGTTTTGGCACTCCACGAATGAGTCTTGGGTGCCATCGACACCATCGGCGAAGCCAGCACGGTCCGCGTCACGGGTCTGCTTTTCTTCGTTGCGGACTGTGATGGGAAGGACCGTGAATTCACTATCCAGGAGAATGTCTTCCGAGTCTGAAAGAACATATCTTGCACCCACATCTTTCAGGATACTCATGAGGCGAAGCCTGGGCGTACATGTAATCAAGGGAATACATGTCAAGCCAAGGCGTATGAGAGCCAGCTGAGCGACAATGACCTCAATGCCGAGATTCGCCAGGATGCAAACTGGCTCTTCATGTTTGAGGTCGTGCTCCTCGAGCATGGAGGTGAGGCTGGCTACTTTGTGCTCGAGCTGTTGATATGACAGCTTGCGGTCGCCATCTTCGACAGCCGTCGCCTGAGGGCTTTTCGCGGTGTGGGATAAAATGATTCTGTCGATGGTGGATTGAAACAAGGAACCCATTTTCGATGTTGGTCTGAAATAGAATTTCAAGCTCTTTCGTTCAGTTTTGGGTTCTCCACTCGGCTTTGGATTTGGACTTCGTAATAATCAATGTGAAAAAGTCCACAGCTTTGAGCAAAGACTGAGGAACAAGTCCACTTATACCTTTGCCCTCAGCCTCGAGGTTGGCGGGGTATACACCTTTTCAAGATATGTGATGCTTCTTCTTGGCTCAAAACCTGAAATTCTCTATGTCTATACCAATTCAACAGTCTACCAGTCATAGGATAACTGTGTTACGTGTCACAAGTCTAAATAACATCATTGTAGCATCGGGTTGACAGGGTGACAAGCTCCATGGTTTGTGGCGTGCCATGACGCGCTGCATGGCCTTCGAGGTCTGATCTAATAACCAGAGCGATACGACAACAAACAGAAAATGAACTCAAGACTTGACTGTAGTGCTTGCATATATCACCACTCAAGCCACAGCATTGAAGCCATCCAAACTGTTTCATTCCACAAACCTTGTGTGTACAGCAAACTTTCATAGTCCTACTGAAACAAAGGGCCATGCCAGGAAGGGCAAGACCCGTCGGCTGGCCCTGACTTTGCCGCATCCAGACTTTGGTACAAGGTAGGACACGTGTGGGCAATTCCGAATCCTACGGGCAAAAGCGTTCACATGTTTTTGTTTATTGAGTGAATGGCTAGCCAGGTTCCATGGTCCGACACCGGGAAGTCGGGATTCTCCATGCTCCTCCGACGTCACGAGGCTTCCGAAAACCCTAACCTCAGCTGAGCCGTGAACATGAGTCTGCCCTGAGCGATGTGTATGACGAGTTGTTGTGATCCAGAATTGGTGGACGGTTTCTGAGGCCTAATCTTGCTGTTCAAGCCTGTTTGCAGTTGTTTACCATTGTTTACGCGACAGCTTGCGAGCGCATCTACCTGGACGCGGCGTCATGGGTCGGGCAATTCAATCAAGCATATGATTATCTCCATGTCTAGACCATACGACTAGAATTGTCGTGCTATCATCTGCTACTAGATAAATAATACTCCGATACATCCCTCCTTGGGTCCTTACGACATAGCAGTCTAGACTGGCGTGTCGTGAGTCTCAGCCTCCCGGTCGCTGTCGTTGTTGAGACCCACTTTTTCCGTCGGTAGCAACAGGAACTGCCTTTTGAGCTGATTTGTTGTGGGACATCTTCTTGGTTGAATTGGATTGACATCATGACTTCGACAAGTTATCCGGAGAAGAAAGGATGGCTAGACTGGTATTATCATAGAGACTCTATCCTCCATGACCAGGGTATATGAGATAGAACAGCTACTGAAGTCCAAGATTATGGACCACGAACATAGTTCGTTACATATTATCCAGAGCGAAAGTATCTCATTGAACTTAACCAATTAAGGTATATAATCAGGGAGATAGAAGCCTTCAGAAAGACATACTGCTGGAAATAGCTCTTGACCGTTCAGCAAAAAGGTTTTTGGTTCCCATTGGGGAGAGTGGTAGGGCTAAGTCCTGGGGGGCGATTGACACATTCCGCACCTTGATCACCCTTTGTGAACTGCTTTGGGTATGAAATGGTCGAATCCAATTCCAGGCAGACCGATGCTCAATGCCTGTAGTGTTTTTGTAGTATGTGTTCGACGATGTTTCGAGTGTTCCGTTGTTTGCACTATTCGTCTGTCCCACAAGAAGATCAGACTTCACCAAGAATCGAACTCACGATATGCGACCGTGACGGAAATAGCCCTATTCGTTCAATCAAAAATTTACCAGATACCTGGTCAGTCGGGACGCTTTTGCTACTATAACTGCAAACTCAAATGCTAACATATACTTTGTATTGCCTTCAATTCTTCATGTGACTCCTCTGCCCATGAGTATTTAGAGTAGTCCGGTGCACGCTCAGGTATGCTCTACGAGAAATAACAGGCAGCATGCACCTGGGCCTAGGTGTTTTGCCTTCCAGCAGGGTTTGCATCAGCAACAAAAAAGAACGCTTCGGGCAATCGCTGCGTGGTTCTGTATTTCAGACCATCTATGATCATAGGATGCACTTGCTTTAGCAAATTCTCTATCCATATCGACGTATTCAATACTTCATTTGCATCATAATGCAGGACACCTCAGCGCACGGCAGGAAGCAGATTGAATGGATCAGCGAACCTCTGAGCCAAAATACCTCAGGTACCTAGCACTCTTCTATATGCTCACTAGTCGATAATGTATCCAGGAAACTAAAATCTCTGGTGAGCGAGCAATTCTTATAAATCGACTGATGAATAGGGCGCACTCATCCATCTCCTCACCACCTCGGGATAGCTTCGAGCATAGTTGTGAAACACGCGCGATCCCACGGTCGGAAATCGTTCATCCTCGCACAGATACTCGTGGAGCTCGTCGGTCAACATCCCATGCTGGGCGCGAAGCTCTTTCCTTAATATCTGCAGAGCATCCTTCGTCTCTGGCGCGGTGGTCGAGATATTCAGCCCCAGCCCAGTGCCGATGGCATTACTGTATCGCGGGCCGCTGCCCGGGGCAGGGGGGATCACGCGGTGCCAGGCGGTCTTGCAGACACCGTACGTCACCGCATCTGCGCCCTTATCGACCACGTATACCAGCGTCCCAGGCACAGGCGGACAATTAATTCAGATCCGCTGGGCGTTCCGCACCTGCAGCGAAATGTGGTCAGTCAATTGACAGATGAGGGCTGCAAACGCGGTCTCCTGGTGCGCACCCAGGGCCTGCGCTGCCGCCGGATCCGCGCCGGCCGGCTGAGATGGGTACTTGATCATTCGTCCATGATACTGCTGCTTGGCATCAAACATTTGGTCTAACAAACTGTTTTTAATTCCAATTGCTTCGGCAGCCAGCTTGCGGATGGCGGTCGCCACCCCGGTTCTCTTCTTGATGAGCCGTTGGACGAGAGGCGCGAATTCCGGCAGGGACGACTCGGAAGGCCACTGAGTTGGGCCCAGCAGATTGCGGTATGAGAGATCTTCGATTTTGCCGTTGACCTCGGTGGCCTATGTTCTCGGGGCGGAGGAGGTTGAGGATCGACTATAGGTGGGTTTTCAACGGTACGAGGGTCGCATGGATGAGGCCTGCGCTTGCGGCTGCTGGACTTGTTTATCGAGGGTCTTGAGGTACTGGCACGGCGAAGCTGACAGGATACCATTTCAAAGATTATTCAATACTCTCTTAGACAACAGACTGACATCGCCGTAGGTTCTCGGCGTAGCAGTTGTTGTTCTTCTTTTTCGTTTGTGCAACCAGTACGGTTGCACAAACAGATCAGACGGAATAAACCTGACAAACAATGCACATATTGAATGGTCCTTATCAACTGACTCACGGTGCGAGGTCAGACCTATATTATTTGTACAATAAGCCCTACATCATTTTCTTCGGTACACGGTTCGGGCTGGAAACAAGGTTCGAATGAAGTTATAATGACGACATTAACATTAGCACTTGTCCCATATGTAGGCATATAGGAAAGACAAAAATCACTGTTCAATTATATAAATCACAGTACGTACTACCCTCATGTTCAGTAGATACTGAGTAGAACTCATTATTATTATTACCATTACATTAAGACACTACATGCCCCGTACCCAAGGCCCAACTCGCCATCCATCAACAAACTTCAACGCTCGGAGACCATAACCAACAGACCCGACCTTGCACGCCCAAGCCAACATCCCTCATCATCAAGTCAACTCATTCCTCGGCGTCCCCATGAGCTCACTAACCGGCCGCAAACTATCCCCCATCTCCGAGGCAGCCTCCACATCTGCCGCCGGGAGCTCCGCAATCAGCGTCTCCGCCCCGGACACCCGCGACATCCGTGACCCGTCAAACGGGGATTTCGGCTGCTCAGCCATCGCTGGAACACTATGATACAGATGCTGCTGCTGCGATGGCGGCAATGGTAGCTGTGCAGACGATCCATCTCCGCGTCCCCGTCGCTGCCGACGGCGGTACATGAACAGCAACGCCCCGGCCAGTGACAATGCCAGAACGCCTAGCGGGACTCCGAGCCCGACTCCCACTTTCTGGGCAGTGGTGAGGCCTCCCTTTGCGATGGCTGTGGGACTTTCGTTGGGGGTGGATGACGATGTTGTCGCTGATGCTGGTTCTGCGGATGCGGTGTATGGGTTAGCAGTGATGGTGGTGGAGGAGGAAAGGGTGTTTGTCGATACGGCGGAGGTGGCGGTGGAGGGGGTGTCGCCAAAGTTGTAGGAGGTCGGTGCTGGGTCATTGGTGTATCGCGGGTCGACGCCGAAGGGAACGCTAGTCAGGTTGGGAAGGATGAGAGAACCTTCGTCGGTGAGGGAGACAAGCTCGAATGCACAGCCTGATTCTGTGTAGTGGTCTCGGGTGGCGTTCCAGACGTAGCTTTGTGTGTTGGAGACGTTGGCTTTGGATCATCGGTGTCAGCGGTGCTTGTGTCTAGGGTGACTGAGGGAAGCAAGCATAGGGCTGAAGGACCTACATTCTAAAAGGACGGCCGTGGCGCACATTTCATACAGAGAGATGCGCGGGGAGACCGTGTCCCAGGTGACATTGACCAGGTCTCCGACTATGAATTCGTTCACGTCGGTGGTAGGGAAGGTGAAGCCCTCGGCGCGGACGAGACACTGTTGCGAGGTCGTGAGAAGCCATGAGAGTAGCAGGCTACTCCTTGCAAGCCTCGAGAGTGCCATCTTGTGAGAGTTACCGAGTGCCATATGACTAGTCGCAGCAACCAGCAGCGTCGTAGGGTCTTTTAATACGTGGGCTGCCTTCTAGCGTAGATTCTAGGTAGTCAATAAGAGGGTGCTCCGCCTCAACCATCGCACAGGGTCGGCAGCTCGTCTGTCCTGGTCGGATAACCGGTTTCCCCGCTGTCTACGCCCGCAGCCATCCTAGACTGTGCTCAATTTAGCCATCGACAGGGATCTCTACAGCTCGCCTGTATTGCCTGTCTACCATTGGTGGAAGCTATAAGATAGGCAAGGGCTAGCGCTCACTAAGAACACACCCCTGTCGTTGGGCTGAGCCGGGATTCCCTCCAGCTCAACAAAGAGACTGTCCACCTGGATGATTTCCTCGACGGTTTGGGTGGAATTCTGGGTTGATCGTATGCAGTGTAGTGATGTAGAAAACAAGCTACCGGAGACTGTCATGAGTGCTTGTTGGCTGATTTCAAGGGTGTATAAAACAGAAATCAGGGTTAGCTGCTGGCCTCTTCCCATGTGGGGTTCCAACCAATGGTCCCGGCTTAATCTAGAGATAAGAGGCTAGTGCAAGTGAGAGGTCCCATGACAACACACTTCCGGCTAGAACAGATTTTCCGGTGGGCTGTCTGGAATTTAACTACTGCTAATCAGTGCACGAGGACCATTGGAACGATAGCACATGGGTAGTGTGGCTAGCTGGTGGTTGTTCAACCAATAAGACAAATTGCTCGCACTGTCCCGCACGACGAACGGGACGGGATACTCCTTGCCTGAGGCAATGATAGATGGAGGACGAAGGAGAAAAAAACAAAAAATATGGAGCTGCGGGGAATCGAACCCCGGACCTCTCCCATGCTAAGGGAATATTATACCACTAAACCACAGCCCCAATTGTTGAAACGAGGCTCCTAATTTGGTTTCCTGTTCTTATTCACTGCTAGAACTGGCGCAATCGGCCAGAACACAGTCGGAGTGCTTTTGTCACCATGGACTAAAACTGTATGTTCTGGAAATTCGTGGATCCAGATGCAGTATACATGCAGGGCACTTCACACTTCTCCTATACTACTAGCCAGATAGGTTTACCATAAACATACCTTCCACTGGAATGATTGGGCATTCTTGTGCATCCCTTTACCCTTGCCTAGAGATATATATTGCCACAAAAATGCCAACACTAACCCTGATGCCACTGGAATTCCGTAGTGTGAGCTAGTAATGAAACACTGTAAAGTCTAATTCATATAAAGTCTAGATAATCTATTCCACAGACAGCATGCAGTTGATCATGATCTCATCACACCCCACCATTCAAGCCCTCTTCACATCACCCACCGCAGCAGCAGCCTCAACATCAACCATCTCCCCTTCTCCCGGACTGGACCCCCCGGACCCCATCTCCCCGCCGTACTGCCGCCTCCTCAGCCCCGCCAACGACACACTGCCCCCATCGACAAGATACATATACCAGTAATAAGTCCCTGCAACACATGTCGTCAGCAAAACCCACGTCTCTCCGTTCCTTCCCACCAAGCACCCAAAGAAGAAAACCTACCAGCGAAAAATCCACCGCCGAGTATATTCCCAATCAGGGTGGGGATGATCCCCTTCCAGATATACAGCCCCACCGAGAGGCCCGGGGCATCCAACCAGATCCCCAGCGGGATGAAGGTCATGTTCGCGACGACGTGGTCGAAGCCCATGGACACGAAGGCGAAGATCGGCCACCAGATGCCGATGACCTTGGACGCGAGGTCGCGGCCCTGCAGCCCGAAGAAACAGGCGAGGGAGACGAGCCAGTTGCAGCCGATGCCGCGGAGGAGGATCTCGTGGAAGGACGGAGTGAGCTGCTTCTTGGTGGCGTAGTCGATGGCCTCGGATTTGTAGGGGTCGGCGGTGAAGATGCCTCCGTCTGGGGTGAACATTAATATCCAGGTCACAGGTTGGGGAGGGAAAAAAAAGGACGCACAGCCGAAGATGATGGCGACGACGAAGAGAGAACCGCACAGGTTGCCCCAGAAGGTGACGAACCAGTGCAGGAGCATTTTCCACCAGGGGAGTTGGCGTTGGAGGGCGGCGACCGTTGTGAACTGCCAGACCCGGGGTTAGATTCCATGCAGCCACATCTCCCAGAGGGGATCGAGAAATACCATGAAAGAACCGGTGCAGAGGTCAGCCCCGGTTAGGATGATCATGCACAGACCGTAGGGAAAGACCAAGGCGCTGATGGTGCGGAGCAGCCCCGGCGCATTCTCCGTGAACCACGGCGAGGAATTGGTGCTCAAGGAGGTTCCGCAGGCGAAGGCGAGCAGAGAGCCCGCCGATACGGCGCTGAAGAAGACCTTGTCCAGGCGCATGTGGCCCTTGCTGGCGCCGGTGCGGGCAATGAGCTCGACCACCTCGGCGGGGGAGAACGAATCCAGCTTGATGGAGGACATGGCGAGTGGGAGGGAATTGAGGGAAGCACACTGAATTGGAAGGCAGGGATGAGCAGCGAGACCGGGTATATGTATGCAGTATTATTGTGAGTGTGAGCCCTTGGTATGCGACCGGTCGGCAAATTCCAGGCCAGACCCCCACAGCATTCAGCATTATGGACCTCTCTGCGGATACGAGCAAGACCGAGGCAGCGAATGGGCAGTAGGATGGGTGGTTAGATCGTCGGGGAATCCTCTCGGCTAGGAATAAGGTTCGGATCCGGGCATGCAGATCAGAGATAAGTCTCGCAATCCGACAACTCACAACGCTGAAGCTTATCTAGTCAGATGGGGGGGGTCTCCGCGGAAAGACGGAAGGGCCACACTCTTGACCCAGTTACCCCAACACAGTCCCCCTCATAGGCCCATTCTGGTAGAGAGAGGGCTAGTCGAGGACCTAGGGGAAAACTAGTCATATATAAGCAAAGGCTTACTGTACCAAGCTATATTAAGCGGGTGCTCCAGGAAATCTTTTCTTTTGATTGTTTGGTGAGCCAGATCTGCAACTTCCACACAAAGTGTTGAGAACCTATGCATAGCGCTCTGTCCCACACCCGTGGATAGTTCTGCCGATATTTTTCTTGTTTTGTTTCTAAAAACCCGCGTGATATACAAATCATATTGATCAGAGAATTAGCACTACAACCACGGGGTGTGAAAGATAGGGCCCCCGCCCACTCAGCCGTACTTAAGCCACGTATTAAGCAAGTGACAGTCGGACATGTTGGCGCTTTGAGCGCAGGGTTCTGCCGCCTCCTTGCAGCCAGTTAACTCTCACCGCCCTCAGATAGATTCAGCTAGGGAGATGTGCTACGTAACTTATTGCTTTCACTCCTGTCTGCTTACGTTCATACGGACGACCAACAGTGATAGAACATACTCTCAGCACTGCTTTCAGAGTGCTATTAGGAAACTAATATAGGTTCAGACGACACATGGGTTAAGCTATTATAAAACACAATCAGATCTACAGCCGTCAGGGATCGAGCCACGCCGCAATGCTTGGCTTTCCCAAGACAGGCCCTACTTTGAATAGTGACTATAGCAGTACGGTGGTTACGGGGTATCGTCCATACGGGGGAGTCCGGGCGGCAGGTTCCTAGGCCCAATGGTGTCACTTACCTGACCCCAGCTTGAATTGCCATCCAGTGGTCTGGGCTAATGGTGATGACTTCCATCCATTTGTTAAATGGAGCATTGACTCGGTGCGTAGACTTTCCGCCACTATATACCTCGCGGGAGATAGTGCAAGCTCCTCGGATGGAGGTCAACATCGCTGCTAACATATAACAGTCGTTCCCGCTGCGTTTCTGCTGAATCAGCATTCGAGTGAAAATACGGACAGAGCTCATCCAACCCCTTGTGTCTCATCCTTCATTTGTTATCCTCAGTGTAAAACCAAAGCTTCCTTGCCTCCGCTTCCGATAGCCTTTCTGATTCTCTTTGGACGTAGAGCTCAAGCAATTCATCATGCCTGGCTTTGACCCTGTTGAAATCAAGCTGCGAAGGGACCCATCCGTCATCGTCCGACCGCAGCAACTCCCGAGTATAAGACTTGAGTTTATGCCAGTCTTCATATGCAGCAAGCTTGAGATTATGCCTCTGTAGATCATCGTTCGTTCGTGAATGAGTAAGAACAGCAACCCGGAATCCCCGTCTGACCCCAGTTTTCGCATATCTGGACCAAGGAATCACGAAGGGGTATGATTCCATCCTTTACCGTTCTATCGCAAGATGTTAATTAATTGTTGGTGACAAATTCTGACATATGAGTCGTGAGCATGAGTCAGAAGATGACGGTGATTATGTGTAAGGAGCTTGAGTTCCTGTATTTCTGCAACACAAGAAAGTGATTTTTACCTATGACAATTGCATGAAACGCATATAACACTCCAACTCAAGAACGCCTGCAATGCTATCGTTTCTATCAAAACAAAAAAGAAAAAAAAAAGAAAGAGTACCAAGAAGTAAAAGCAATTGGAAGAAAGGAATCCAGCATTAGAAGACAGCCTCAGCTCCAATGATCTCGATCAGACCTTCGAGTACACATGTCCAAGGGGAATACTTGCCTCAATATCAGTTTTGGCCTTTATACCACTGGGATACCACGTCAGGTAGATGATCATGACAATCGCCATCGGGACAGAATCCAAGATATACATCGTCCATTCGTGTTGCAAGGGATATCCACTGTTCCCAAGCACATATTCAATGATGCGAAAAATTGAGCGGATCATGATCAAAGCACTCACAGCATAAAGCATGTATAATGTCTTCTTCCATGGAATTCCCGGTTGGAGAGATTCGGGAGTAGGATTGCGGCGGATACGCCTCTCAAATACAATGGCTGAGATCCAAAAAATGGAGAATGAGATAAGCTGGATCGCTAGTCCAACAATGACACACACTTTTCCCCATTGAGCATAACCCAAAACCGAGAGAGAAGAGGAATTGCCTTGGACGATGAAAGACAAAACATCGCCCCAGACAAAGGTCTTTGTCAGACGTGAGACGCGGATGACCGAAAGATGTTCAGCCCCGATGCGACGAATTAAACGGCCCAGAGTCATATAAATCGAGGCGGCGAATAGAGTGGGAGCGAGTAGAATGAAGATGTTTGCCAGTATGTATGGCCCCATAGTGGTCGTGTTACTATGTGCGATGGCGCGACCGATATAGCCAATGATTTCAACTGGGAAAGAGGAGTTAGCTTTTTTAAGCTTGGTAGGCAGATCCATTCTAAAGTGTGCTAACATACACAAGCCACCAAGGGTGAACGCAATACAAAACCAGGTTCTAGTTGCGAACATCTTCCGGGAATGAAGCCCAGTCAATCCCATGAAAATAATCATGAAGATGACTGCCGCAGCCAGTGAGGGGGTATAGTACCAAAAAGTGTATGAGCGACGAACAATTTCCGGCATGTTGAGCAATCGGTGCGGACAAACCGGAGGGTTGGAGATAGAGAGAAAAGCAAGAAGCAAAACAAAAATGCAGCAGAATGCTACGTCAAAAAGAATGAAAGATCAAGAAAGAGACCACGGAGTAAATGCCTTGGGATCGGTATCAAAAGAACAGAAATACTCTATTTATATCTAAATACTAAATTGGGGATCGTCCATATCCAGAAGCATGAGTCCGTGGCGTGTTTTGAAAATACTTGTGCCGATTGTAAACAGCCCATGGGCCTACCTATAACCAGCGCTCAACCTAACTCCACATGACCGTGCTAGGCGGGCGGGTTGCTCGAATACGCGTAATAGGTTTTTCTTTTTCACTCCAAGAGAACGGTACACTACACTGTGTGGCAACATATTTGCCCAATGAAACCCGGTAGCGCCAATCTTAGCCTTCTTGTATCTTATTTACCAGATCAATGTTATCTCTCCATGTCACATATCGAAAGCGTTAAGTACTGTGAATCTTTTCTATTGTGCAGCGATAATGCACTACTTATGGAGAATTGGCAAATATATAATTAACATATTGCCTAGAACAAGATTAGTGGGCTTTCATTAGATATGAGATGACCTCCGGTGTACAGATAATAAATGTAGTATACCCGAACCCACTTAGCTGATGGATTCCTGTTGGAGCCCGTGGGGATACTCGGGTCTATGCGCGTATGCACGGACCACCCGTTACTGGTCCCTTGGATGTTCATCTTTTTGAAATTCTGAGTACGTGTATAGGGGAAACCTTCAGCACACCTCACAGTGCGGGGTACGGAAAATTCCATAATTTAAGATAAGGAGTTTTCCGGTAGACTCCCTTACGTGCCGCGTGGAGCCATCTTCAGACAGGATCTCTCTTCCTCAGCCCTTTTGAACAAGTCACCTCCGCATCAGACTATATCACCAACGTACATTGTCTCAACCGTTTGACCATTCTCGACCTCCGCGCGATCATCACGAGCTTCGGGTGGATTCCTTCTAGGGGCAGGCGGTGGTGAAACCCACGCAGCATGTCCGCATGCCACTGCCGGGCGACCTCCCCGTCGGCGGTGATCAGGGCATTGCGCACGATGCGCTTGCTGGTGCCAAAGGGGCCTTTGGTCTGGCTTCCACACCGGCTGATGGAGTCGGCATTCTGGACGAACAGCTGCCGGATCAGGACCGGATCACGAAGGTAGATGACAGGCAGGCCCCCGATCAGTGTCCATGGGATCCCATCCTCAGCCGCGCCGTCGAACAGGGCCCCATGGAGGTGTGGTAGAACTCATGGGATCATTGTTCCGACAAGAGGCCCAAGGTCGGAAAGCAGGAGATGTACGGGACATCGGGCGGAGGGTTGATCCAGCTGCCCAAGATGATGTGGAGCGCAGCAGAAAGTGTCGATAGCATTGTCTTTGCCGCGACGGTGACGATGTTAAAAGAGTAGGCCAGATGGAACTGCCATTACGCCGGGTTTATAAATCTGCAATTCAGCTGTGGGAAGTCAGGAGGGGAGGTAATGTGCGAGGCATTGCATTTGTGCAACCCGCGATCTTGTTTATTCCGGATTTAGAGTTAGGTTTTGAGTAAGCCCAAAGCCTGATAACTTGAAGTTTCAAAAGTGATTATCGGCTCTGTGCCCGGTGTCCACTCACCTGGACAGGTCAGACTTGCATCATGCCTTGCATTCTTGGACAGGTCTTGTTGGAGTTGATTGTCTGTTGTTCGTATCCGATGAGCCGCATTTTGGCACGTTGGCAGCTGCAGGTGGGCCACAGCCAGCCTTCCCTCAGCTTTATCTAGCCTTGACTTTAAATGGACTACATTTAACTTCAAGTGATAGACGGTGCTTACACAACTGAGCCGCTGTTTACAGAATCACGTGAGACCGACACTAATTGTTATTGTCATCGCTATCATTATCAAGTTCAATCCGCGCCCGCAATTCTGTCCTTCGCTCTCATCGTGAATCCACCCACTCCAGATCTTCCTCGCCCGCCATCTACAACAATGCACTTCAAAATATCCTTTACAGGACTCCTAGTCGCCTCTCTTCTATCAATCACCATCACCTGGCGAGTCTCGAATAATCGCACGGTCACCACCGGCATCCCCGCGTCAGCCAACCCGAACACCATCCGCCAGCTGCTCCAAGATCAACCACTCTTCATCAGATTAAATCCGGTAGTCACTGATATTGACCTCGCGCCCACCGCACCCGAGCGGTACGAGGACGAGTGGCTCAAGACCACAGCAGAGGCGGGAACCCGAACCGCGCCGATCCAAACCTACCTCCTCAGCCAGGTGATCACGCTGATGCCCGGCGCAGGCGGATGGGGACAAAAGCATATACACTTCGAGACCTGGCTACGAGACACCCCGACCGGAGTCAAGACCCGAGCGGACGCCCCCTTTGGCGTGTCGGTGGCTAGTCACTGGGCAGTTGAGCCTACCGCGTTATTGTCCGACCCACCGAGCCCACAAGGTCCACAAGGTAAGAGAAAAAGGAATGGAGAGGCGACGAAGTTCGGAAGCTGACGCAAAGACTAGAATGGCGGCTCACGGTGCAAAGAAGAATCACATGTGTATGGTGGATGATGCCGTTTGTGGCCTACACATACGACGAGGTCCATGCCAGCGTCATCCGGGATTTGATTGAGCTTGCCAGCTGATGGATGGCCGGTCACCCATGTGGTGCCTGTGGCTAAAGTTTTTGCGGAATGATACCTAGTATCTGCCTTGCGACCGTCAACTTGGATGGTTGCGTTGGACTCAATGCAGGTGGGATACGCGGGTGAATGTAGAGGTGGTATGTGCATACATGGACTGCTGTATATGCTCAACATGAACGTTAGGTTGGGGCGCGGAAATCAATCAAGGAATCAAAATCCAGTACTATCATTCAATCCATCATTAGGTAGAATATAACCAACGTAAGACACAGCCAACCTGGGGATGTGCAGGATGGACGCAATACTCCTCCCCGGCGTATACAGCCGAATAGCAAACCCCAAACCCTCAGGATTTAATTCCCCAGTACTGCCTGGTCCGCGCGACCCACTCGTCAACCGACATGGCAGGCTCGGATCCCACCTGAATATTGCCTTCACCGACACTCTCCCGTCGGGCCGGATCATATGCCGGGACGTACAGCATCTCGTGGTCCGGCGCACAGACATCACACAGCTCCAGTGTCCCCTGGCGCAACCGCTCCAAGCAAGCTCGGTCAAATTAGACATTCTGACATTCTTTGCAGACGTAGAAGTCATTTGCGTACGACCAGGTGGTCCCGCATTTCCCATCACACTGGGCCTGGAGAGGGCCCTCGAGCTTCCCATTCTGAACATCCTTATCTCCTGTTGCGCCGCCGAGGAGCTTGGGGACAATCATCGACCATGCCGCCAGGGCCTCGTCGTCCAAGTCCACGAACATGAAGTGGAACGCGAGACGGAAATATCCGTCCGGATCGTTCAGCGGGTCCGTGTCCGAGAGGATGTCAAGGCCGATCTTGACGTGGGCGCGTAGCACGGCTTAGGCTTTCCCCAAGTCACCCCGCAGGGCATGGTAACGGGCGAGCAGCCGCGCGGGATACTGTTTGTCGGCCCAGGTGAGGTACTCCGCGGTGCTCAGCTCCGCGAGTTGCTCCAGTTTGGTCAGCCAGAGGGCTTCTGTGCGTTCGCATTGCTGCGGCTGCCGCGCTTCATGAAAGTAGGCGAGGGGGAGCCTCCGTCTCACCGCATAGTAGACGTGTTCCAGAGGGTCCGTATGTTCCATTTGCCAGAGACGTTCCCACTCCTCGATGGCATTCATCCTACTTGCAACATCCTGGTTGACGTGTTCGTAGCGCAGCAGCGCATGGTAGTACATGAGAGTTCCCTGGCGGCCCTGCTGGACCTCCGCCCACTCGTCGTCACCCGCCTCTTTGGCCTTGACACACTGATCTGTCGCATGAGCGATTGACATGCGGTAGTGATTGCAGGCCATATCAAAGGTTTCGATGTTCACCCGCACCAAAGTGAAGAGGATGTCGTGGAAGTCCTTCTCGTCGCAGAGTAAGCAATATGCCCTGGTGAGCTGGTTGAGTTCCGGGAAGTCACTTGGAGTGTCCCTTAAAGACTGTAGGAACTGTAGCAGACGGCTGTATTGGGCCCCCGCGCGGCATATCCGCATGATCTCGAGAACGGGACGGTAGCTGTTGGAGTAGTCCTACATCAGAGCCTCATACATGGCAAATGCCCGGTCCGGTTGGCCACTGGCATTGTACCACCAAGCCAGCTGCTGCCGCATAGAAGCAAGGAACCAGACAGGCTCGTCAGGGGAACCTTCGGGGATGTGGTTTAACTCAGCCAGTCCTTTGGCTGCCTCCAGCGTCTGTATGGCCGATGCAAAGTCCTGATTACCGGAGAACGCTTCTGCAAGGCGCCACTGCATATTCCAGTCGGCTGGTGCGAGGGAGATCGCGAGTTTGTACTGCTCAATCGCCTCGTCAAACTTTCTGTAGGCATGCAACGTCATCGCAAGGATGAAGATGGCCCTGCTTTCTGGAACCTCTGGCTGCACCTGCTGTCGGCCCCAGTCGACCGCGGCAAAAATTCGGGAGCTGTCCAGCTCCCAAATTTGCGAATCGTCCGTCACGCGACGCACCTGTGGTGTTCGATCTACATAAACCAATCCAATGATTAGCATCATGAAAGAACTCACTCAGCTCTGGGGAGCGCAGTGTACCTTACTGAAGTACCCATATACATTGGGAAAGACGGAGTATATATCCTTGAGAGCCTCGATGTGGAGCAGCCACTCCGCTATCCAATGCCGTGCAATATGCTCCAGCAGGTCTGCATCAGGTTCCGACTTGGTAGTCAGACTTCTTACCCAGTCTTTCTGTGATTCGGAAAGCCCTTTGATGACGGCGGATTCCTGTAGCCATGTGATCACGACCTCCGAGTACGGGTCTGTGTAGATCCAAGCCGATCGTAACTCGGCATCATAGTGACCGGCACGTCTCCACCAGCGCTGGATGGTCTGAGGGTCCTGGAACAGCTTCACTAACGGGGGCCCTAGGGCCAGCTTATCTTCCGCCCCGACCAGCGAAGGATCCAACTGGCTTAGATGGTGGGCGAAATGATTCATCGCATACCCCAGCAGGGGTCCCAGGCCACTAGATGAGTCTGAGTCAATCACCTTCAGACAAGTGCTGAGCATTCGCAGATGTGCCGTATCCTCTGCGTCGATGTCGATCGGCGCAGCCGTCTTTCCCTTCAACAGCTGGCCGAAATACTGCTCGAAGCCAAGCTTCCGGAAGAGGTCGGGGTCGCAGACCGACTCCAGGAACCGACGGACAATGCGGACTTCGCCTTCTGTGACCTGCTCGGGGAGACTCGATGCTGGCTCGTGGAGGATAGCCTTCTTCTGAGCCTTGGCCTCCGCTCGATGGCGGAAGAACTGCTTGACGACGTCCGACGCGAACACCACCCGCGAGTACGGGGGAAAGCCCTTTTTCACATCGCCGCGCGCCACGCCCACGACCGAGATGAGAGTGGAGTAGTGGTCAGTGATGATCATCCACAGCGGTTTCAGCGAGCGTTCCCCGTTTTTCAGAAGCAGCACGGTTTCGAGTTGGGCCAGCAGCACCCGGTCGGGAGCGTACATCATCCAGGTGAGAATCTCGTTCAGATCGGTGATCTCGGTTTCGCGCAGGGTCTCGCTCAATCGTGCTATCTTTCTCGCAATGGTGTCCTGGCGGTTGCTGCTGCCCGAGCGCGACAGGATGGCTCGAATGTCGCCTGGGCGCTGCTGGACGCCGACCTCGTCCAGCAGCAACCCGGCATTGATGAAGTCACCGTGCGCCTTTGCTGTCAGGGCTTCCATCACCTGGCTCCGAAGGGCGCGACTGTCCTCCGATGAGCCGGCAAGATTCTCCAGCCGGTCGATGCGGTTCTCTATGAATTTGTGCAGGTCCGCACCGTTCTTGAGCGCCAGATCGATGACTGGAACCACTTCGTGCCCAAGCTGGTCCTTGAACCTGCCGACCGCCTCGTCCTGCCCAGAGAGGAGAATCCGAAGCCTGAGTCGCCCCAAGGTTGCAGATTCATTCTGCAAGTGCGCAAGGAGGTAAACAAACTGTTTAAGCTGCTCGCGGTTGACTCGTTCAAGACCATCCAAGAGAAGGAAGAAGGTCGAGTCGGTCTTGTACGACTTGGAGAATAGCTGATTCCACAGCACTCCCACATCCGCGGCGGCACTGGCGCTTTGGATGGAGACCAGCTCCTTGCGGTAGACCGGATCAGTATTGGCGATTTGCCATGCAAGCACTTTCAGAGCGCGGATCAGCGATCCCGCAGTTCCCCTCTCTTGGTCCAAGAAATAGTAGGCAACTGAAGTACGCCTTGAATCATCTGCGATCGGGGAGTGGCTCTCCTGCAAGTTCTTGATAGCACTGGTGAAAAAGAGCGACTTCCCGTATCCCTCCCCTCCTGCAATCCCTAGTATTGACATCGATGGGCTTTCCATTCGTGCCCACGAGGTATAGAAGGGATCTGCTGCGAGCCACTCCCCACTTCCAGCGATCCTCTCATCCAGGAGTCGCCGGAACCTGGATTGATTCACCCGCCAGCTTTCGCTCGGCCTGTCGAGGGTCCTATCCAGATCCTCCAATTCCTTCTTCGTGTGCTGATCTATATCTCGTTTCTTTTCTAAATCCAGGATTTCAGTCACGGTGACATTGATCTCCTTGGTTCCCTCCTTAGTCTCAAGGATGCCCCTCTCGCTGATCTTCTGCGATTCAAACCCCAGAGTGGCGCGCATCTGGGATTCTCGCTCGACCAGGCTCTCCAACCGAGCCAGCTGCCCGCTGACCCCCTCGTCCTCACCAAAGGCAAAAACCTTAATAGCGATCAGAACCTTGTGCCCCTTCAGCACCTTGATCGACAGTGCACAGATATCCACAAAGCAAATCAGTTGGTCGTTGATAATCCTCCGCAGGGCAATGTCCACCGCATCGGGCGGCACACGCATATAGATCTGGAGCCGGTCCAACATATCCGAAACATTCCGGAAGAGTTCCGCCAAACTGCTAAAAATCCGCTTGTATTTGGCTCCGGTGTTGATCAGGTATGCGACCGCGTTGAAGCAAAGACTGCTGGGGGCGAAGACCTGCGTCATCACAAGCTCAGCTGTTCTGTCTGCCGGCGTAAGGGTGGCAGTCTCGTAGCCTGGGGGCCCTTTACCATACTCGCGCCTTGGGCGGCAATCCCACCCAACAGTCCAACAAAGGTCAACGTCTTGTTCATCACGGTCTTGAGCTCTTGGTATTTGGCATTCTTTTCGTTTGCCTCCTCTTGCTTGGCGCGGATCTGGTCCAGAACCTCCTCGATGGTGTATTTGGTGGGGGCGGTCTTGAGGTCGGCGTGGGTGGTCTGCATGAACGAGGTGCAGACCCGGTCCCATGCCTCCTGCAAGTTGTACTCATCCTGCTCTGAGTGCGGGATCGTCATCGTGCCCGTTCTCGTTGCGACTGACGGGAGGGAGCAACAGGTTTCAGAGCGTTAAAGACAAAGTTCAGGCACACGGTGACAGAATCGCACGCTCTGCTGGCCATGAATTGCGGGTTATATCCGGTGCATCGCCCGTGTCGCTCTCCCTTCGCAGCTACGGCTGATGGAGATCGCATGACGCGCGTCCGTTCTCATAACAACTATCCAATTAGACCTCTTAATCTCCGGATAGTTACATCGACTACTGCATGAGCGACTGTGATGACCGTGCTGATTTGATGCGGTCGTAGGGGAGAAGGGATAAGCGAGGCGGGTATAGGAAATTCCTACCGACGGGAAGGAAGTGGCGTGCGGATTGGCCTGCCTTACAGTACTTTTCCAGCCAACGCAGGGAGGAGCCAAGGAGAATTGAAGCAAGTCCTGGGGTCTAGAAGGAGACTCGACGTAGACAATCCACCAGCAGATATGCATAGCCGTCCAGATGTGACCGGGGTGAGAGATTCCTACCGCTATCTCCACAAGTGGCTGCCTGAACTACTAGGTAGGTTAGGTAGCCAGCCAGGTCTCCGAGCCTGAGCCTCTGTCAAAATGGGTAGTATTGCTACTACAATTTAGCCAACAGTTAGCGGTGGGATGATGTACCTTGGATATACTGTATTGATATATGGAGAGAGGATGATGAGATAGCAGACATGATAGAAAGAAAGTGAAAATGATTGAAATCATAGGGTGGAGGTTGAATGCTACTAGTAGTAGTTGAAGTCGAAGCTAAGCTTTGACGTTGAGTAATATCACTGGCTGTAGAAGGTGGAATGAGATGCAACTTATTGAGGGCTACTACTGGTACCTACTTAGTACCTAGTATCGAGTGGCTACTAGGTTACCTACTTAGTCGGTTGGGCTTTTCTAGCTTGGAGCGCGGAGAGCCCACCATAGTGAATGGAATGAGGGGGAAAAGTCAGCAAGAGGTTATGCCATGTAATAAGAAAACCTGTGCTTGAAATTCAATGTTCAAGGAAAATACAAGACTCTGACAAATATTCCGCGAGCCTGGATACAATACAACGAGAGAAGAAAGACGACAGTGGGATCATAGAAAGAGAACAGGCTCAACAAGATTTTTAGCGACTGAGAATAGGGTTATACTAATTACTGAAACTCAACAACAAGCTTTGTACCTCGACCTTCTCCCTTGCGAAGTGTATCTAGACCTTCAAATATCTCGTCGAATCCGCCCTTAATCGTCGTAATAGGTGGAGACTGCAGATTCAGGCTGGATAAGTTATCATAAAATTTGGCGATGACTTCGCGGTCCGCCGGCCTCGCTGGGAACACGGGACCAAGGGGCGCCAACAACTGGAACTTGCGACCGAAGGCAGTATAAACCATGAGAAAATCATAGGTCACATTTGCCTTCCGCGGCTTTCCTTGATCAAGAAGTGTGATCACTTTGCCACCCTCCTCTCGAAACACATCAGCACAGAAGGCGGCGGAAGTGCCTTCGGAAAAGCAGTCCAGAGCTTTTGTGATGTTCGGATAGGCTTTCTTGATCTCGCCAATGGAGGCAGATGTCCGATAGTCGTAGACTGCATCGGCACCATAGCGCTTTGCGAGGTCGAAGGAACGTGGCGAGGCCGTGACCACGACCGTGTATCCTGCTCTCTTGGCTAATTGAATGGCGAAGAGACCGACGTTCGAGCCTCCTGAATAGATGAGAATGGTCGGTTGGTCACCTTGTTGAACGCTGCGTCCGTTCTCGATATCGACCCGGTCAATGCCTAGATACGAAAGACCCAGCATCGCGGTGGCGGCGGGAACTCCGTAGGTGGTGGCTTCGCTCAGGGTCGTTTCGTCAGGCACCTTCCAGGCCAAGTCTCCATCGACTTTCAGGTATTCGGCGAATGAGCCAACTTCGGGGTACAAGCCCCCGTGGACAAAGCCAGCGATTCTGTCTCCAACCTTCCAACATTGCCCTGAATTCTTGCCGACCCGAGCCACCTCGCCCGCATAGTCGCAGCCAATGGCGGAGTTGCGTGGGGAAATGAAATCAATGTCTTTGAAGTCGATGGGGTTCAGCGCGACGGCGCGTACCTTGACCAAGACCTCATCATCGGTGATGCTTGGAATTGGGACATCCTTGACCTGCGCACCTTGCCCAAGAGGACTCCGAAGAGCGAGACTCAGGAGACGCTTAGGCAAGAATCGATGTGTGATGATCGCTTTCATTAGGGCGGGTGACTTTTTGGCAATGTTGTGATCTCAGGACGAAGACAGGAAACACTGAACAGATTGGAGCACTCGTGCGCAATACTCAATCAAACTAAAGAACTGACGGGGACCAACGTGAAGGTAGCTGTTTGAAAGGTTGACTATTTGGAAGGTCAAACGAACCTCAGTTCGACGGACGCAAGGTATAATCACCAGGCGATTAGCCCATGGCTCGTTGGAATTCGCAGAATCCCTGGAACAGCAGCGAACTATTGTGAAGCTGCAGCGCTTACAAACCACCACATTACTATGATATGAATCCCGCTTGAATCGCCGACTTTGGAAAAAAAAAAAAGAATGAAAACCTCCATTTCATTTCACTGGACATCATTAGTTTTGGCAAAGGCTGACAAATCGATCGCGCGGTTCCAATGATTGTTTGACAAACCGCTGCTTTGGGCCGACGAGCCACAGCGGTACCCATAGCAGGCGGAGTATTTGCAATATTGATTAGTGATATCCCCGATTGCCAGCATTCAACCTTCCATTAGACCCTTCTTCAACCCCACTTTTCATCCATTAGTAAATTTCTGCATATAGTTTGGTTCTGTAAAATAAAAAAAGATTACAAAAGTTACAAACAATTACAAAAATCCAAAATGAAAATTATTGAATACCAGCTCTCATAGAGCTTTGATTTGATATGCTTTGAGTAACCAAGTTAAACATGAACCAAACCGGGGGCCTCAGTATGGATAGACATCTCAGCGTATATCGGTCACTTGTTATCACTAATATACATGAATTCGAAGCTTACTTTCGGACAGCGCAGGGCCTCCCCCCTGCCTGAAACGAAGCTCTTCATCCCATCCATGCAGCGGCTGTTGGCTTAATTGAAATAATTTACTTCGCTTTCAGTAAGATGCCAGATACTCGCAGCTTTCTATACAAAAATAAACCCAAGGGGCCTTTAGAATTGATCGAAATCGATAGACGGGTCCCGTCGTCATCAAGGCTTATTCCGGCTGCTATGGTATACCCAGCCTTCATGGTCTCACGTAAACTCGCTGTTAGAGCAGAGTGTGACCTAAGCATTCCACCCTTAGACCGGCTCTCACCGAATAACAGCCTAGCAGAGCTTAGTGTCTCAACTGAGGTCTCCATAAGGGTTATGCGGTTCTTGAGGCCGTCAAGTGGAGCTTGCTGTTGTGAAACATTATGCACGTTGTGCCATGCGTCATTGCAAGCGACGAGGATGGCACACAAGTGATGCGACTAAAATTGCTCGCAGCATTCTTAAAGTGTCGATTGGACACTCTACGGACTTCTCTAGAACTTACCTTGCCGCCACCTATTCCTCGAGACGCTCCGCGATCCTTCGCTGGCGTCTTTGTGGCCGTGGTGTCTTTGCTTTTTAGAGGGGTATTTGGTTTGTGCCTGCCCGGTTGAAGGAAGATGCGAGCCCAGGGACAAGTCTTTAGGACTGGGTAAGGACGCGATTCCGGCAGGAGATAGGATCGGGCTGAGAGTAACGAGGTGATCTCCAAGGTCACGGACTCCGCTGATAACGGCAGGCTCTGGTGAAAACCACCCCGAATAAAGAGAGGCAGGTCACCCTACATACACTTGTTGGTCCATAGCGGATTGATTATTGATGATTATATATCAATTCTGACGTCGTATATAAGCTAAATATTCAATAGAAGGAGGGTCCTATCCATAAAGAACTAGCCTACAACTCGCAAGAATCGGAATATGCAGAATATACCATAATACATTACCGGCTGTATTATATCTAGGATTACTTGTGCAAATAACAGATTTCCCTTTGGGTGTGTTATACACTATAGACAATATTATTCTATCAAGAGGCCTCACACACTTCGCTTAATATTACTGATTGAGAGGGAAATGGTAGTGACATGAGACTTCTCAAGTAACTGTATGCATAAAACATATATGGTGTTTGCATGTGGCTCGCTGGCTTGCCTGGCTCGTTTGGATGATCATTACGTTCCTACTGACTGTGTTGGAATCCGACAGGTGTTTTCTTATCGACCAATTGATTGATTTCTTCTGAATCGGACGAACGGTTGTAAGTTCCAAGTTTCTTGCCCCGAAGGTCCAACCTTCGGCTCGGCATGTTCACTAATTATTTATGCAAAATGGATATTGGCATTAAGGTTTGGAATTCAAAAAAAGTTAAAAAAGAGGACAAGCAGCACTAATTAACGGAGCAGAACAAGATTAAATAAGGAGGATTGTGGCTTGTACCTAGGTAAGTTACCTGGCTCGTTTGGATAATTATTACGTTTTTACTGACTGTGTTGGAATCCGACAGGTGTTTTCTTATCGACCAATTAATTGATTTCTTCTGAATCGGACGAACAGTTGTAAGTTCTAAGTTTCTTGCCCCGAAGGTCCAACCTTCGGCTCGGCATGTTCACTAATTATTTATGCAAAATGGATATTGGTATTAAGATTTGGAATTCAAAAAAAGTTAAAAGAAAGGACAAGCAGCACCAATCAACGGAGCAGGACAAGATCAAATAAGGAGGATTGTGGCTTGTACCTAGGTAAGTTACCCACCACCCACACCTATGGACTCGGCTTCCAGCTTCCGCCGCACCGCCGATCTCCGGGCATGCCAAACGTGGGCACAGGTACGAATACGAGCCTAACCTTGCCCTGAATTGGGATCCAAACCAGTCGCCCTAGGCCCCAAGTAGCCTTTGGCGACGCTGGCTACCGATCCACCAACAATCAAGGTCGCTTGGCGCTGGTACTCTAGG